ACCAAAGCCTCTAATTTTATGGACTTCCAAGCATTCGGCAATATTTTTTTCCACACTTATACGCGGGCTGCGTGGCCTATAAGCATCTTGAAGAAACATTTTGGATATCGCTCCTGAAAGGGCGCAAATCTTTATTGCTTAAGCTCTCGATATTTTGACCCAAAACTATAACATAATGATAAAATTGATGCCACCCAGTAGATGTGTAAGTTCTAGTTGTTTGCGACTACCAGTTCTATGTTGTGAATATAAACACATACTATAACTACTATTACATGTACACCCGTCACTTGCAATAAAGTGCATACCGAAATAGTCATAACCACAATACAAGCACATGGGAGAATGCTGCAAATTTATGGAGACCCATAAAGGTAGCAGATTGTGATATGGCTTGGAAACCAATGAAATTTTGAATTGACTACATTTCCTACAATTCCAGCAACCAATTAGATGGCTAGGTGACGCTCAAAGTTGACCCTTTTCTTACTAGGCACAGCAGGGTTTATAGTGTAATCAGGGCCATACTTCCTTGAGGTCCAGGTTTAACGCGGTCTACGGTGTTTCGTACGCGGTTTCATGCTGTTGATGGTGGTTGCAAACAGTGAGCGCTGCAAGTGGCAGTTTCCGCGTGAAGAAGGAAGCCTGCAATTGGTCAGGAACACACACCTTCCCGTTCCGTCGATCGCCAACGCATGGGTTGGGACTGGATGGTTTCGTGTGGTGAAGGGTGGACATACCAAGCCACCCAATTTAAGGATTTTTGTTGATGTGTGGGGATATCCCGAAGGACACAAGATGGAGTCCAAATGTGTGGCATTCGCTTGTTTCTGCGGTGTGCGGAGGGGTACTTACGTAAGAGGGAGGCGGTTCCTCCATCTTTGCTGAGCTGACGAATCTCCATATTTGTGTACACCCTCATTCTCGATAGACTGGCATATGTTATACTGACCGAGACGCTTAGTGTAGCCGCACCGGACCAAAGAAGGTCCTATCACATGCGTTACAGTGACAATTTGACCCAGGGCGTTTAGTCAAGGTTTTCTACGTTCTACAATGGTACTGTTGTTTTCAAAGCGGTCAAGACGGTTATTCAACGTTAATGGTTTTTTACAGCCCAAGGCGTGTTTCAAACCCTCGTGCGACTTTGCCCGCAACCGACTTATCTCACCAGCCCGCTACGTCCAAACACTGTAGCCAGTGCTTCCGCCGGTGAGAGAGGTGAGAAAGAGGGTGTATGAGATCTGAAGACCTGTCTGGATTCTGTGAGGTTGACGCAGCTGGGATCAACAGTTACGACCTTGAATACAAAGTGACGGTGAACCCATTGCCCCTCAAATCATTTGCATTCGGTCGACGATGGCCAGCGCAGACTGTTTTGCTCGTGTTCCAACCAAACCAAGCTTTCGCATCCAAACCAGTTCTTACACAGCTCTTGCGTTAGTGTTCTACATAGTCTATTTTTCTGGTTTGATGAAAACCCACGTCAAAGTGTTTCAATCTTCGCAGAAACATTCCAAGTAGCAACCACGATGTTTTGACCAAAGATGAATATAATATTCATGTTATAATGATAGTTTTTGGAATAAATCCAATTTTTAATTATCAAAACAAAAATGCCATCTTATTATTGTACATTTATTTCTAACTTCGTAAGAAAACAATATCGGTAATTTATAAAGCTTGCATTCTCTAAATTTGATATATAATCATCCTCTTTAAGCATCAATACACCATTTTAGACTTGTGGTAATGCTTTTTTAAAAATTATTGACATCACTCCTGATCATCTGTTGGGTTGAATATGACTAGTATCAGTATTTGGAACGATTGCCACATCGGTCACATAACAGCATGGTATCTCAACGGAATGGAGGGGGCGAGGAAACGACGAAGAGGAGACGAGAAAACGACAAACTGCCCGGGACAAAAAAAAAAAACCCCACATGGACAACTCCTTTGCGGGCTGTAGGTTCGATCGGGTCTCTCTTCGACTCGTTGTCACTCAGGCTGGGGGTTCGATACCCAGACGGCCAGACGGCCTTGGCTTGAAACAAATACAGACTATCTTTACAGAACACCGGATCTTCGTTGATGACTTTCTGTTCTGCTCTCTTTCCGCACTCGATTCTCTCTGTCCAGGACAAAAATAGGTTGTGGGGTGAATGCAATGCATTGTCCCCAAGACCCTGCCGCCACCGCCGCAAGTGGTTCTGGCCAGCAGCAAATATTGGGGCGGAAAAAATTCAGGCGGCGGAAGGACCAGCTTCCGCGTGATGGGAGGGCACTTGCACAGTTGAAGGCAGCCTCGTCTTGCTTGCTGTGGTTCCAGGCCGGTGGCCAGAACCGCATCTGCGTGACGTGGCAAGCAACATCACAGGCAGGCAGCACAGGGGGGACGAAGGAGAGTTTTGATCACGTCAGATATAATAATATCGTTGGAGTTAAACATAGTACGGTAGTAGTCATCACTTTCTGGAGTGATTTCATCAACTTCCCGGGCACTTGTCGTCTCAATTCGGAGATAGATATAAACCCCACAAAACAGAAAATGTGATGAAGACAAATATCATACTCAAGAGAAGAGATTACGTACCCGAAACACTGTTACAGCGAAATAAACGCACCAGAACCAGCAGTTTTGGAAAGGACAGCTACATGCATGCAAAGATAGTTAATTGATTATAAGTTATATATAATACATAATTTATTCATCATTTTTCGTTATTGAATATTTTTATATGATTTTTGGCCTATTCTATCTGATAAAAATCGTATATTATTATTCGATAAAAAAATACAATATGTAGATTTTTTTTGCATATACTAGCAGTTAAATCTTCTAATTTATCTTTCCTAATATGTGAAGATCTCTTACACAATATATTGTTATGGCAAGATGATATTTAATTATTATAAAATTGTCTATGTGAATCTTCTTCCTATTCTTGCATATGGTATTTTTAAGCTACTAATCATTCAAATATATCTTCTATTATGATTGTTACAACGTTTCAAATGAAGGATTATACAATGTTCATTTTTTTGGTCAGTATTTGGATTCATATTCGGGAATGACTCAACTTTATTTGAAGGTGGTTCTTAACAGAGGTGTGGGAAGGGGCAACAACTCGGAGTTCTCTGCTTACTTAGTGGGGTCATTGATAGCCGCGATTGGGGTAGATTTGCAGAGGGCGCAGGCCCGAGTGATCCTTTTGCGAGCGGCATGCACGCTTGGTGAGTCTGAGGTGGATTGCACGGATCGAAAGGGTGAGGAGTAGGAGTTTGTGGGGGGGAGTACCATAGGTGGACAGTCCATACTTGGTAGACGTATGACTGTAGATGATTTCGGGAGCAGAAGTTTGTTTGGGTGTTCGGGTTTGGTCCTTTTAGGTTACAGATGGTTGAAAATTTCTAGGTGGAGTTTTACTCTATTCAAGGTGAGGGAAAGGGATTTTTTGTAGTTACATAAAAATGAGCGGTTGCATTATGATCACTTGCTTCAAAGTCAAGACTGCGACTGCAAAAGCTTCGAATAGAATCCATATGACGCAAATTCCCTTAGGGAAGGAACGAGCCACCCTCTGTGTTCTCTGTTGCATCCACCGTCTGTCGTTTTCAACGGCTGCTCCTCCTGATGTTGCACAGTCCAACTTTCAGAATCACTGCTCCTCTGCCCTCAGCTGCACTAACCTCAACCACCCATCCCATCCCATCTATTGACATGCTCTACTTTCTTGTAGTCCGTCTTCCTAAGCCAGCAACTTTCGTGTCCAAGTGAGTTATTCTGGGACCCACTCCGCACCACCAGGGACTGCGTGCCAACGTTCTGAAATTTTCGGCAGGGACTGCGTGTCAACGTTCCGAAATTTTCGGCGATGTCACTTAACCTTATAGTACAAGCCGTGACGGCTTCGACTGCAAGTTTTGACCAACAGTGTCTTCAGTCGTCCCTGATAGGACGAAGAGCTACACCTAAGTTAGGTCGTTTTCAGGCGGATGCGTTTCAGAGCTATACCTAAGTTTAGTTACTTAGCGCCGTCCAGACATTTTAATGATTGATGCTTTTCACATTTTCAACGCCGAGTTGCTGCTTTTGCAACCGTTCCGACAAACCCGCCGGTAATACTTTTCCTTAGTACTAGAAACCGTGTCTTGTGATTCTTTCCTGCATGCTTGCAGTGCGCATCCGATGCGTCATCGTCACATGGCAGCGGACCTCTTTGCCCACCATCACACGCCCTAAATTCACAGATTCGAACCGTCTGGACATAACTAGGAGAAAAATAACTTAGTACTAATGGGTCCAATGAGTGCGGTGCCACTTCGTTAGTCGTTCCGAGGAGAGGCGCACATGGACTAGGGAAGGAAAACGGATTTCTGTCCATTATATTCGTCAATAACAGCGTCGTTGCAGCCGAGCAAGTAGTAGTGTCATGATGGTGGAGGGCCGTCATGATGGTAACGCGGGACTGGACGGCTGTCATGATGACGCACAGGATGGTCATGATGGCTCACAGGATGGTCATGATGACGCACAGAATCATGATACTACTCATGGCGGCGCTTATCTCGGTCATGAGGAATCCGGATACATGATCCATGGAGAACCGTTGCATCAGCGCCGAGAGCTGCACAAGGCAGTACATCTCGAGCATTTGAAGCATAAAAAACATCAGCAGCAGCATGATGAGGAGCAACGGAAGCATCAGAAGCATCGGAAGCATCAGGAGCATCATGGAACGCATCACAGGGATGATCATGGTGTGCATCAGAAATATCAGAAGCTGGAGGCTCAAGAAGCTCGGCTGCCGATGCCTCTGGCACTGCAGTTAGCACCAACACGGACCCGTCTGCCTGCCCCTGCTCCCTCCGTAATCAATGCTGCTGCTACTAGTATCACTGCTACCACTACCACTACTACTGACACATTTGCACATGCTGCCGCCGCTCCTGAGATGTACCCCATTCAGACAGACAGCAGCAGCAACCGACAGGCAATGACCACCCCCGGAGGTCCTCCGAGCGGCTCCTCTGCTCTTGTAAGCCTCCCTCCTCCCCTTACGGGCCCTCCGTCGGCATCCAATCCCTCTTCAACTGCCGCACAACTAGCAGCTGCCCCAGCAGCAGCAGGAGAAGCAACACCAACGGCAGAGCCAGCACCGCCAGCGTCAGCAGCAGCGCCAGCGCCAGCAACAGCAGCAGCAGGAGCAACAGCAGCAGGAGCAGCAGGAGCAGCAGGAGCAGCAGCAGCAACAGGAGCAGCAGGAGCAGGAGCAGGAGCAGCAGGAGCAGGAGCAGGAGCAGCAGCAGCAGCAGCAACAGGAGGTGGGAGCGGCAACGGTTCCATCACCATCCCGCACATCCCAGCGCCGTCCTTCTCCTCCTCTCTCCCGCCCTCGCTCCTCACGGACCTGGAAGGCATCCCGCCCTGCTCCTGCTTCACCAACTCCGTCTCCGCGCAGTTCAACCCGCACGTGCACGCCATCCGCTACACGGGCGTGCGCAGCCGCGGCAGCAACCGTTGGATCGCGGAGATCAAGGACAACCAGCGCGGCGTGCGCAAGTGGCTGGGAACCTTCTCCTGCCCCGTGCAGGCCGCGCACGCCTTCGACGCCGCCGCCAGGGCCGTGCGCGGACCCAACGCGCGGACGAACTTCCGCGTGGGAGAAACCGCGGGCGTGCCTGGGACCGGGGGAAGCAGGTCGAGGCGGTGGAAGAAAGTCGCTGCTGACAGTAAGGCCGCTGCTCTGGCTGCTGCGGCTGCTCTGGATGCAGAGGCTCAGAAGGGGGGGTCGGAGGGTGGTGGGGTGGGCGTGGGAGAGGAGAGTGCTGCGGTGTTTGCTGCTGCAAGTCCTGGCGTCGCTGCTGGTGCCTGGTCTCTGGGTGCTGCAGGGGGGAATACGTCCTCAGGAATGGCATCCCAAGGCAACGCTGCCAATGCGTCCCATCATGGCATTGCCATTGCCGCATCACAAGACCATGCGTCAGAGTCCCCACGGGAGTTGCCCCGAGAGCGATGGGCGTTTGACTTGGAGGCCGTCCCACCCCGTGATGAGGGCGAAGAGGACGCAGCAGTAGCGGCGGCGGTGGGGGAAGGAGAAAGAGATTGCAGTATGGACAAAGGGCTTGGCACTTGTACTACTGCGCAGCAAACCCAAGTTCCACGCGCACGGGCTGTCAAGCACAGCGCCATCACAGCTCCCTTCCATCTACATCATGGCGCATCACCTCACACCCAAGCATCACCTCTCTCCCACCCGTCACCGCTACCCCACCCATCACCTCTCTCCCACCCGTCACCGCTACCCCACCCATCACCTCTCTCCCACCCGTCACCGCTACCCCACCCATCACCTTTCTCCCACCCGTCACATCACTCCCATCCATCACCGCTACCCCACTCATCGTCTCACCAGCAACGTCTCAGCTTTGACATGTCCTTTAAGCAAGCCCGCATGGAGCCCTCCACGCCTGGGCCTCATCCTGCTGCCCCTGCTGCTTCTCCTGTTGCTCCTGTTGCTCTTCCTCTTACTGCTCCTGCACCTGCTGCACCTGCTGCTGCTGTTTCTGCCGCTCCTCCTCCTCCTGCTGCTGCTGCTGCTGCTGCGACGATAACGTGTAGTCAAGCCCGCAGCACGGACGCGTCCAGGCATACTGGCGCGGCCACGGGTGCTGCTGCTGCTGCTGCTGCTGCTGCTGCGACGCTCCGGGGCGTTCTGTCCCACCAGGTGACTCTAGAGCCACCTGAAAACGCCCCCCCCACCACGATTCGAGCGATTCTCGGCCACATGCTCTGTGCGCGGGGGTCTGGTGCGGTGGGTGCAGCAGGTACAGCAGATGGAGCAGGAGTTGCAGGGGGAGCAGGAAGAGCAGGAGCAGTAGGGGCAGCAGGAGCAGCTGTGGGAGCAGCAGCGGGAGCAGCAGCGGGAACAGCAGCGGGAGCGGCTGTGGTTGCAGCAGCAGGAGCAACAGCGGGAGCAGCGTGGTCCTCTTATAGCCGTGGTGGGCACAAGCAGCGCGAGGGTGGGGCCGGCGTCCCTCACTACTCCCCTCACATCTTCCCTCACCAATCGCACCAACGCCCGGCCATCCTGCATGCACACCAGCAGGGTGCTGCCGCCAGCAACATCTCTCACGCCCTCCCCTCCCCACACAGCCTTAGTCTCAGCCTCCCCCCACCGCACGGCAGCACTTCCACGTGGCAGCAGACGCTTGCACGCTCGGAGCAGCAGCAGCAGGAGGAGGAGGAGGAGGAGCCCCATTCGAGCCAGCCCCAGGGCACAGGAGGCGGGGATTCAGCAGGCGGTGTGGCAGGCAGAGCGAGAGGCACGGCGCGGATAAGGCTGGCTTCAACAAGGGCAGCAACCTCCAAGGGCAGCAGTGGCGGTATGGTGCAACAAGGGGGCAGCACGGCCAACACTGGCATGGCGCGGCCATCCAGCAAGGGCAGTGCTGGTGCCGCAGCTTCGGCAACCCCCAAGGGCAGCAGTGCTGGTGCCGTGGCGCAGGGGGCTGCACCTGCATCCGCTGCTGGGCACACCCTGGCAGAGACTCCTCCTGGCTGTCCTCCTCCTCCGCCTCCTCTTTCCCTGTCCTTGCCCCGTCCTCCTCCCTTTCCCCCGCCTCTTTCCTTGCCTCCTCCTCTTTTCTTGCCTTCTCCTGCTCCCTTCCCGCCCCCTTCCCTCTTGCCACCTCCTCCCACCACATCTTCTGTCCAGTGTGCGTCCCTGTGGGCTCCCTCACTGCCTGCCACTCGCGCCTCTCTCGAATGCCCTTCCACCTGTGCCCCGATTGCCACACCTCACTACGAAGCAGCCTCACCAGCAGCACCAGCAGCACCAGTAGCATCAGCTCCGGAGGCTAAGGTAGGGGAAAGGCTGCAGGTTGGGGATTTGGCGCTCGGCAGGCGTGGTTCGGATCCCTACTCTGTGCATGTAACGGGTTTCATTGTGTCCGCACCAGCTGAACGCGCAGCAGCAGAAGCCACCACAGCACCTGCAGCAGCACCAGCAGCACCAGCAGCAGCACCAGCAGCTGCGGCAGCTGCGGCAGCAACTGCTGCATCCTCAGGGACAGCAACAGCGACAGCCGCACCAGCAGTAACAAGAGGAGGGCGAGTGGCACAGGCAGGCGAGCCGGAGGTGGCGGTGGTGGGTGCGGTGGGTGCACTAGGAGCAGCGGGAACAGCGGGGCTGCACTCACAGCTCTCTGCAGCAGCCGCAGCAGCAGCGGCCGCTGCAGGGCTGCGCTCGCATGAGCTCTTGCAGCTGTCTTCAATGGGGGGAGCCGATCGCCCTTCTGCAGAGAAGAACACGGGATGGCTGCACGCCTTGGCCTCCAGTAGTCGGATGGGAGGGGGTCGGGAGGCCGGCACGGCAGGGATGGAGGGAAACGGGGAGCGGGCGGCTGATAGGTCTGGGGGGTGTGATTCTTCTCCTGGGCGTGGCTTGGTGAGAAGGGAGTGTGGGGTGGAAGGAGGAGTGGCAGGTGTGATTTCTGGAGCGATTGGACTTGCTGGAGGGGTGGCTAGTCGGGGAGGGGGCATGGGGGCAGAGGCGGTGGCTGCTGCTGCGCTGTCTGCTATTCTGCAGCAGGCCATGCAGGGGGGGAGAGGCGAAGGTGCTGCTGCTGTTGAGGCCTCTCTGCAGTGGCAAACGCACATGCAAGTCCAGCAGCAGGAGCAGCAGCAGCAGTAGCAGCATATACAGCAGCAGCATGTACAGCAGCAGCAGCAGCAGCAGCAGCAGCAGCAGCAGCAGCAGCAGCAGCAGCAGCAGCAGCAGCAGCAGCAGCAGCAGCAGCAGCAGCAGCAGCAGCAGCAGCAGCAACAGCAATGGGAGCAGCAGCTTCAGGGGCGGCAGCGGAGACAGGAGCAGCGGAAACAGCAGCAGCAGCAGCAGCAGTGGGGGCAGCAACAACGGCAGCAGCAACAGCAGCAGCAGCAGCAGTGGGAGGAGCAGTTTCAGGGGCGGCAGCGGAGGCAGGAGCTGCGGAAACAGCAGCAGCAGCAACAACAACAACAAAAGCAACCACACATGACACAGCCAAAGCAAGAGCCAGTGGATGAGCATGCAGAGCAGATCGTGCAGCGGGCAGGACACGGGACCAGCACACACCCCAGAGACACCAGAGAGAGTGGTGCTTCAAGAGAAGCAGGGCGGACTCCTCATAAGCAGGCTCGTCATGAGCCAAGGTGTGGCCAAACTGGGCTCTCGCTTGCTACTCCAGCAGACCCACGCCTAGTACCACCATCTTCTGCTGCACTCCCTCCTGTTGCATTCGCGTCCGCTGCTCTCCCCACGGCAGTTGAAGCAGCAGCAGCAGCGGCAGAGCAGCATGCAGCAGTCAGCAGAACTATGGAAAAGAGCATCTGCTGGGCCGGCCAGGGCGATGCATGAGCTTGTGGGTGCTGTGCCGGGGTTCCTCCCTGATATTCATTTGTCTCTGGCGCCTGGTGCAGGTGACAGCAGCAGAGCAGCTAATAGAGGGGATGTAGGTGCTCGATCTGGAGTCATCCCCGATAAAAGGAATGAAAATGTTGTGAGTGGTGCAGGAGAGACGCTAAGTGTCAGCCTGATGGTGCATGGGGCTAGGAAGAGGGGAAGGGCTGGGAAATTGCTGGCAGATGGGTCAAAGGAGACGTTTCCTCTTTTGCTGTCCTCGCCTTTAGGGCTGTTTGACAATAGTGCTGATGGTGGCGCATGGCAAATGAATTGAGGTATTAAGCTTGTTGTACATACCTAATTCATATTCGTAATGCAACGAGCTACTGTAAGTTTCTTGTATATATCGCGTCTGTAGTCTGCATAACAGCTGTCAAACGAAGACCTAGTTTGCACGATCAAACTGTAAATAACACAATCAAATCGTGTCTAGTCAAGAGGTACGGCTTATGTGCGTTGCAAAATGCTCTTCAGAGTCTGCATAAGATGTCGAAGCAGTTTTTGGCTGAATGATCAGAGTGCAGTCTTGTACTCAAACACACCCGTTTAAGTACTGTACTCTATGCGAAGGGAAATGTCAGCGTCAGTGAAAAATGTCGCGACGTGCGGTGAGTGCAACTGCTGCTGCTGACTTTGCTTCGTGCTCCCCCGACTTCCACCATTTATTGTGCCTTGTAGAGAAAGAGACACCTGGAATGCAGCAGTGATTCATGGCTTCGACATGTCATGGCACCTAGCCGACACTGACGCTGCAGCACCGTGTGAAGTAAACCCTAATATAAGGCCACTGCTCGCGTGTATTTAACCTAGTTTCAAGAAACAACACTAAGCTATGCTCGACACACTTAGCAGCAGCAAGGCTTACCCAAAGGCTTACAGAATGAGGTGACATTTGAGCCGTAAAAAAATTATCTCATCAGGCATCAGTAAGGCTACCTGTGGCTATCCACGCCGTAGCTCTTCGGGTTCCTTAAGGCTTTCAGAATGCCGACTTTAAGATGTCGATGCTGCAGCGCAGTCCTAACCAAACCGTCTCCCGCGCTGCTATGCCGGCTGTGCAAGGTGCTAGGGTCGGGGGGGACTGTGCGTGTGCGACCGGGTGTCTGGCGGCTGGCGCGTTGGAGAGCGAACGAATGGGTGCAGATGGGTCGGATACGGCACGTGCAAGAGCTGGTGGAGGAGATTCGCTCGCGCGGACTGCTGCTCATCGTTGTTGCTGTCGTTCTCGCGTATGCCATGTCGCGTAAGAACATGATATCTTGTATGCCATGTCGCGTAGTAAGAACACTATCGCGTATGCCATGTCGCGTAAGAACACTATATCGCGTATGCCTTATCGCATAAGATCATCATAGAGACCTATTGAGGACTGTCATGATTTTTAACGACCCGATGGTAGTCATCTCTGGTGGTCGGAGTCGGAAACTGCTGTTGTTTGTCCCGGTGGTCGTTATCCCAGGTTGTCCCATGTCCTCCCAGCTGCCAGTCATCACGTTTGTTGCGCTCGCCTGTGTCACCTCCGCCCCTTTCATCCACGCTTTCCTCCTCCCGTTACATATGATGCCGCGTCAGTAGCGAACCCCTCGCTTCTCCTCAACCTGCCGGTGGCCCTTGGGATCCTTGAGTTGAGACCCCCCCTCTCTCCTCCATCCCTCTCCACACCTCTCCCTCTGTCACCTTACCTGTAAACCTGCGCCAGTGACAAGCCCCTCGCTGCTCCTCAACCTGCCGGTGGCCCTCGGGATCCTCGCCGCTGCTCGCTGGCTCATGCTTGAGGTGCAGGCGCGGGCCAATGCCAGCCTGCCACGTGTGCACTACGAGCAGGTGCACGCGCCCTTCCAGCCAATCACGACCGCCGACGCCCTCCCGCGGCCGTCAGAGCCGGCTGGGCTGGCGCTGGTGGGATCGCCGCTGGTGGAAGCCTCCCTTGACGAGTTTGTGCGCTCCATTATACGGTGAGTGAGGTGCATGCTCGTTACAAGAAGACTCTCACACACACAAACATACACACACACCCTCTTCATCCTTCCTTTTCCCCACTCGCTCCCTCCCCCCCAACCCCAGGGACTTTGTGACGAATCAGTTCTATGCGTAGAACCCCTCCCTGACGCCGGACAGGGAGATGCCGGAGGAGCTGCGGAGGTTGTGGTGGCACCTAACGTGTTTCTCCCCTTCTTCCATCCTCTACCAACCCACCCCACCCCTGCCTCCCTCTTCCCCCCATCTCCCCCACCCCAGGGACTTTGTGACGAACCAGTTCTATGCGTACCTGACGCCGGACAGGGAGATGCCGGAGGAGCTGCGGTGTGTGCTGCTGGCCGTGCTGGGGGAGGTGGCACGGCGGGCCAAGCGGGTCAACCTCGTTGCGCTGCTCACCAGGTGCTCTGCCTCTGCTTGCTCTGCTTCCTGCTTGCTTATGTGCGTGCATGCTACTACTCGACACACATATTTCTGCTGCGTGTGATGTGATGCATCCACCATTGTGCTGCTTCTGGTCATGCAAAGCCGTTCCACTCTACCGCACCTTGCACCCCTCACTCACCTTCCTGCTCTCTGCTTCCTGTCCTCCCTGCCAGGGACGTGGTGGGAGCGGTGGTGGGGGCAATGGAGCAGTACCAGCGTGCATGTGCGGACATGGGCGAGGGCGAGGGCGAGGGCGAGTGGAGGCGGGTGGCGGCAGGGGAGAGGGAGGAGCGCCTCAAGCACACCCTGGGGGCGTCGGGCGACCTGCACCCTGCATGCCTCTCTGTGGAGTGCGAATACAAGGCGGGTGGGAAGCACAAGGTGGGGTGAAAACCTGCACACAGCATGTCTCTCACTTAACTCCGATTAGTGTTTGTAGACTCCCATTCTCACCTCTGTGTGTGTGTGTGTGTGTGTGTGTGTGTGTGTGTGTGTGTGTGTGTGTGCGTGCGTGTGTATGCGTGCGTGCGTGCGTGTGTGCATGGGTGTCACATGTGCGTGCGTGTTTATGCATGTGCATGAATGTAAATTTGCATGTGCGAGTGCATGCATGCATGTGCATCTGTGCATGTCCGTGTGCATGCATGCATGCATCAGGTGGTGAGAAAGCTAGTGGCAGCACTGTTGGCGCTGGTGCTGCCAGCCAGCGACGCACAGAGCAACGTGGTGCGTTGCATGGCTCGAGAGCTCCTCTCCTGCTGCGTGCTGCTGCCCTCCCTCAAGCAGGCCAACCCGCGGTAGGTAGTGCTCTCAAGCATGCCAAGTAATGCGCCCTAGTAGCAGGCCAACCTCCAAGAACTCATACGAGAACGCCAGCAGCCCCAGCAAAGCCGTCCTTGAAACCTTTCTATGCTTCCAGCAGCACCGTGCTGCTCTAGATCTTCCACATCTGTAGCGACCTGACCTGTTGTGTGCTCAAGCATTTTCTGACTGGCATCGTATGCTTGTGCTCCCTCATTTCTCCCGCTCTTTCTCGCCCCAATCTCTTCTCCCTTTCCCATCCTCCTCCCCTCCCCCGATCTCTCGCTATCTGCTGTCCTCCACACCACAGAGTGATCAACGATGCCATACTCGCCTTTCTGGACAAGCATCCCTCCTCTTCCTCCTCACAACCACCCTCTGCTCCTCCTTCAGCCCCTGCCGCCGCTGTCCCACCAACAGCCTCAGCAGCCACAAAAGCAGCGGCAGCAGCAACAGTAGCTGCCAGTGCAGCAGCAGCAGCAGCGGCGATGGGAGGAGGGGCAGGAGTGTCAGGTGGAGCGCGAACAGGTGTGGGCGGCAGAGGTGTAGGTTCGGCAGCATCGGCGCCGGTCCTGACTGCTTCGGTCTCCCCGCTGAGTGCTGCGGCCGCTTCCCTTCGACAGCAGCGGCAGCAACGGCAGGAACAGTGGCAACAGCAACAGCAGCAGCATGGGCAGTCACAGCAGGAATTTTCACCCCAGCACGGATCGTTGCAGGGCAAGGGCTCTCGGATGGGTGCCTCTTCAAGGAGGCGAGTCCCTCGCAGCCGCAGCAGGCGCATGCGGGCCACAGGGTCGCCCAGTGGAGGCTCATTCGGGGGAGGCGTATCTGGTCCAGGTGGGACGTACGGGGCAGGTGCATTCGGGGGAGGTGCATCTGGTGGTAGGGGCAGCAGCAGCAGCATGCGGCGGCGTGCTGTATTGGGGTTGGGGGGAGACAGTGCGGGGGACGATGACAGCCTGGCAGAGGGCACCAGTGACGGTGGCGTGGTGGGCATGGGCTTCAGCACGGATGAGGAAAACGGCTCCCCTGATGCTGATAGCTCTTATCCTGCTGGTCACGGTGGCGGTGTTGCTGCTGCTGCGGGTGCTGGGCCTGGTGGCAGTCGGGGTGGTGGAGGAGTAAGAGAGAAGCGCAGACCTGGTGGAGGGTTGGGAGCAGCTGATTTGCCTCAGATTGCGCCTCCCCATGCCATGCCTCCCCAGGATAAGCCTCCCCCGGGCCGTTCCCCTGGGCTGCTGCAGCCTATGAGTGCATCTTCCTCAATGGCGTCCCTGGCCCCTCAGCTCATCGCCGCCACACCCCTTCCTCCGCACCCCTCTGGCCCCTCCGGTGGCTTTAATGGCTCTCCTGGGTTTGGGGGGTCGGGTGGGTCGACTGCTGGTGGTGGTTCGGGAAGCCAAGGCATGCTGAGCAGCAGCGGCGAGAAGCACGGCGGCTTTTCTTTGCACTCCCACCAGCCCTCAAGCGATTCGGGCTATGCCCGGCCTGCTGCACCTGCTGCTGCTAGAGGCTCATCTCACCACATTCCGCCTCCTTCTCCCGATCCATCTGGTCCGTTTGTCCACTCCAACGACGGGGCTGTTGTAGCTGCTATTGATGGGGCTGATGAGGTGGCGCCGCGGCGCGGGAGAAAGGCAAGGAGGGAGAGGGAGGTGGAAGGGAAGGTGTTTGGCCGGGTGAAGAGTGAGCCGTGTGAAGCGAGTGAAATGGGTGTGGCAGGTGGGAGGAGCAAGGGCGAGGAGGTCGCAATGCGGTTACCAGGTGACGATGCTGACTTTGTGCAGGCGTTGAAGCGGTACGAGCAGCGGCAGCTGCAGGTGCTGGACAGCGAGCAGATTGACAAGCTCTGGTACACCGATGGGGTGCACTCCCACTCCCACTCCCACTGGCACAGCCACAGCCACAGCTCACACGCAGGCAGGCATGAGGCAGGCGCACAGGTGGTTGTTAACCAGTGCAAGGAGGAATCTGTTGAGAATGGTGGCTGGGAACGACAGCATGGCAGCAAGGAGTCTATTCGGAATGGTTGCGAGGAGCCAGGTTGGAAGGGCGCGACGGAAGGAGGCGGTTGTAGCAAGGGCGTTGGACACAGTAAGAGCTGCCAGGAGGTTTACTATAGGGAGAGGGAGGGAGGAGTTGCGCCTGGGGAGAAGCAAGAATCCCTTATGGGGATTCACAAGCAGCAGCAGCAGCAGCAGCAGCAGCAGCAGCAGCAGCAGGCTGCTCCCCCACAGGTTGCCCCCCTGCACTCGCATGAGGCGACGAGGAACGGCGGCAAGCGAGAGCGAGAGAGGCCTGTGAAGGGGGAAAAATTCTGGAGGGGTGGGTCTGTGAAGGAAGAGAGAGGGATGACTGACCCCACGAAAGCTGCTGCTGGTACCGCAGGCAGTGGTGCTGGATGGAGAACGAAGGAGAAGGAGCGCGAGATGCTATGGGAGGGTGTGTGCTCGGACGAGGAGTTAGGCGGTTTCAGGAGAACTGCTGCTGGTAACGCTGGTGCAGGTGGTGGTAACAATGGCGGTGGTAACCGCAACGATGGCGCATGCAGCGGGAGGTGGAGCGAGGAGCTGGAGATTGGGGTGGCGGTGCGCGGGCTGGGGTTTCTGGTGGAGCAGTCGCCTGGTACAATGCAGATGATGCAGAGGAAGGGCGCTGGAGGAGCTGGAGAGGACGGGGAAGGAGGAGGAGGAGGAGGAGGAGGAGGAGGAGGAGGAGGAGGAGGAGGAGGAGGAGGAGGAGGAGGAGGAGGAGGAGGAGGAGGAGTTGGTGGTGGGGGTGGAAGAGGAGGGGTGGATGCAGCTTGGGGAGGAGGTAGAGGGGCTTTGTCTGCTGTGAACGAGGCTGGAAGGGTGAGGCAGGGAGTGGGTTCGAGTACAGGTGGGGCGACGAAGGGGGTGTCAGGGCCGCAGCAGTCGCAGACACAAGGCGGCTGGGCGGGTGTGTGGGCCACCAGCGCGTTCTGGTCATCATCATCAGCAGCAGGGGGAACAACAGCAGGAGATGTCACAGGTGGCACAGGTGGCACAGGTACAGTGGGTAAACCACAGGTGGCCACTGCAGCTGCAGGGACTACTGCAGCGGGTGCAGCCGTAAAAGGACCAGTGGGAGCGGTCGGAGAGGCAAACTGGAGCCAAGGCGAGACGAGGCCCAGTGCAGGATCAGCAGCAGCAGGAGGAGCAGGAGCATCAGCAGCGGGGTCTTGGCTGAGCTTCATAGGCGCAGGGCCCAGGTCAGACCCGGGAGGCAGAGCAGCAGGTGCAGGCAGGGACACGGCTGGAGCTGCAAACACAGCTGCTGGGGGAATGGGTCCTGAGGGGGGGATGCGTGCACGGGTGGGGCGTGGGAGGGGGAGTTCCGTTTCAGGGGCAGGGGGTCATGCAGGGTCTGGCTCACAGGGGGATGCGGGTGGGCATGATGCGCGGTCGGTGCTGTCTGCTGCTGCTGCCACTGCTGGGTGGGTGGAGCGGAATCTAGCCGCGTTTGGGCTGGCTGGTGCGTTTGGGATGCGAGGTGGGGTTGGTGGGGGCACAGGTGAGAAGGGGACGGGAGGGACGAGTGGTGGAGAGGTGGGTGGAGTGGGTGGTGGTGGAAGTGGGGATGATAGGGTGCTGCTGGCTGAAGCAGCAGAGAGGGATCCGTTGAGTGTGGTGCGGCAGTGGGAGGAGGAACAGGAGGTGGAGGGAGTGAGGGAGAGGCGTGAGTGGGAGAAGCAGGAGGAGCGGCAGCAGGAGCATAAGCAGCAGGAGCAGAGGTGGCGACAGCAGGAGCAGCAAGGGGCGGTGCAGGGATGGCAATCAGGATACGGGCCTGGGGAAGGGAAGTACACGGCTGGAACCTTCTTAGACTTGGAGGGCTTGGGCATGGAAGAGGAGGAGGAGGAAGAGGAAGAAGGAGGAGGGATGCTGCTGAGCGCGCGTGTGAAGAAGGGGCGCGGTGTGATGCGTGCATGGGACGGCCCTGGTAGTAGAATCAGGGGCAGTGGCAATGCCGTGGGGGGTGGGATAGGGGAAGTGGGGGGAGTGGGGGGAGTAGGGGAGGAGGCGAGGGGGCAAGGGCTGCGGCCGGCGTGGTTGCTGGAGAGTGAGTGGCTACAGCAGCAGCAGCAGCGGAGGGAGGAGGAGCAGGCTCAGCTGGAGATGCAGCAGTACCTGGGCATGGGGCAGGGGGGTGATAGCAGGGGGCAGGCGGGTGGGAGCAGGGGCGAGGAGGGGAGCAAGGAGATGCGTGCGTTTGGAGAGGGCAGACAGATGCACGCACAGGTGGGGTACTTTAGGGAATCTGTTTGGTGAGTGCGTGTGGTGGTAGCGCGAAGGGTGTGTGTGTGTGTGTGCAGCTCAGGTGGGGGACTTTGGGGAATCTGTTGGTTTGAGTGCGTGTGGAGTGGCAATGTGAAGGAGGTGTGTGCAGCTAGGGTGGATCTGTGGCCTGCTGTGTGCAGGCATTTATGTTGCACGCTTGCTGCAAGTGTGTGTGGGTGGCTGGCTGGCTGGCTTTAAGGCTGGTTGTCTGGCTGGGTAGGAGGGTGGGAGGAGTGTGCGTGCGTGCGTGCGTGCGTGCGTGCGTGCGTGCGTGCGCGTGTGTGTGCTGATGTGCTGCAGGTAGGCGGGCAGGAGGGCGGCCACTCCAGCTCGCAATCTTGTTGTCACGTCATGTACTTATCTCCATGCATCCATGCATCCATCCATCCATCCATCCATCCATCCATCCATCCATCCATCCATCCATCCATCCATCCATCCATCCATCCATCCATCCATCCATCCATCCATCCATCCATCCATCCATCCATCCATCCATCCATCCATCCATCCATCCATCCATCCATCCATCCATCCATCCATCCATCCATCCATCCATCCATCCATCCATCCGTGCCTCCATTCCATGCATGCATGCTTCCATGCATGTGCAGATCGTGGGGGCGTTCTCAGCGGAGGCAAGGGGCGAGGCCATAGTGGGTTACTCCATTGCAGTCACAGGCCTCGATGGCTCCGCTTGGATCGTCCGCCGCAGGTGCATGCACTCCTGCTTCCTTGAGCCCATGTGCTCGCCCTTGTGTGTCATGGTGCCCCTGTGCTCTCTCTGTGTCCCTTTCTGTGTTCCGTTTTCCACCATCTTTGGCACTGTCTCCTCTGCGTGCGACATCAAGTGGTATTTTTGAGTCGACTCAAAAATCGACTTATCAAGTGGTATCAACACGTTAGTAGCTCATACCCTGGTATCCAACTAGCCCAACATACCCTTCCATCCACTCCAAAGCCCCCTCCCCTCCCCTTCCTCTTCTCTCGTTCCCTTTCCCTTTCCCCGCCCGCTTCTCCCCTTCCACTTCACCCCTCTTCGTCAACCCCCAGGTATCGCAACTTCTGGCAGCTCCACCAGCAGCTGAAGCGGCGCAGCCCCACAGCAGGCAGCCTGCAGCTGCCAACGACTCACTCCGGCATACCATCTCATTCATCGCCCCCCCCCCCCTCCTCGTCTCCCCTCTCCCCCCCCCCCCCCTCTCCCCACAACACCCACCCCATACCCCCCCAGGTATCGCAACTTCTGGCAGCTGCACCAGCAGCTGAAGCGGCGCAGCCCGTCAGCAAGCAGCCTGCAGCTGCCGCCCAAACGGTTCTTCCACGGCGGGCGCGACGAGGAGCTCATTCGCGACCGCCTGCTGCAGCTGCACGCTTATGTCAAGGTGGGTGGACGCTTACCCTCACCCTCATGTGCGGGTGTGCAAATTCCTCTTCCGCCTCAACCCATCTCGTCCTCACTACCCTCTTGTTGGTTCCCAGGTTTTTAACCCCCCACCGCCCTCCCATGCGACGCATCAAAACTGCTTGCTAGTATTTCGATCTCCCCCTTTCCTGATGCTCTGCCACCCAGTCACCTTGCCAGGAAATCAAAGTTATGTGAGTGAAGTTCTCCTCCCCTTACCCCCCTCCTCCCTCTCCCTTGTTGCACTTCCATCCACCCACCCGTCCCCCCCGCCCTGGCAGGGCATCATGGCCCGCGAGGAGCTGGCCACATCACCAGAGGTTATCGACTTCCTCTCCCCTGACTCCAAGGTGGGGTGCGGGGGGGTGTGGTTTGGTGTGGTGGGGTGCGGTGGTGTGGTGGGGTGTTGTGGTGGGTTGTGGTAGTGCGGTGTGGCGGGGTGTGGTGTCTTGTGCTGCAGTGCTGTGGCACCGTACCTCCTTGCTGCTATGCCGTTCCCACCACACTTGCTTTCCCACCCTTTCTCTTCACCTGTCTCTCCCTCCATACTCCCTCAACCTTCTCTCGATCCCTATCTCCATCCCATCTTTCCACCCATTGCTCAACACCATCTCTACCTCTCATAGCTCTCCCCCATCGATCTCTCTCGCCCATTTCTCTCCCTCATCTCTCTCCGCAATATCTCCCCCCTTCCCTTCCCCCCATCGCTCTCCCCCATCTCTCTCTCCCACCCATGTCTCTCGCCCATCTCTCTCCCCTGTCTTTCTCCCCCATCTCTCTTCCCCATCTCTCTCCCCTGTCTTTCTCCCCCATCTCTCTCCAGTGATCTCTCCCCCCAACTCCCCCCTGTCCGCTTTTCCCCCACTGCTTCTCGTCCCTCGCTCTCCTGTCTATTCGTCTCCGAACCCCTTGAATGGTCCCCACTCTGCCCATGCTCCCTCAGGCCTTTGACTCCAACCTCACCATGTCAAAGGCCATCTCCTTCGCCTGTGAGGGTGTGTCTGAGGCGCATTAAAAAAAAAAAAAAAAAAAAAAGCTCTAATCCCCCCCATCCCCCCTGTGCTCCCTCAGGCGTTTGAATCCCACATCACCGTGTCAAAGGCCATCTCCTTTGCCTGTGAGCATTCCTCCCCCGCTGCTGCATGGTCTGGTCTGATTCCTTTTGCCTCCTCCCCCCTCCTTTTGTCGATGTTGCCCTCCCTATTACGCTCTTTTGGTGCACCTTACCATCTCCCTTCCGTTTTCTCCACTCGCTTCCCTCCCTCCTCTCAACCCCTCTCCACCATCCCTCCACCACCACCCCCCTCCCCCCCCTTCCCCACCGCTCCTCCTTTCTCCCGCCCTGCTCTCCTTTCCCTTTCCCCCACCCTGCCCTCCTCACTGCTTCTTCTATTCCTTCTTGTGAGCGTCTAGAAGGTGACAGCACATGGGAAACAATGTCTGAGACATCTTAAATTTTCCCTCCCATTCTCTTGCCTTGTTCTCCTCACTCAATTTTTCCCCCCTTTCCTCCTTGTAGTGAGTGTGGACGAGGTGACAGACGATGTGCAGTGGCAGCGCGTTAAAAGCACGTCCCAGCTGCAGCTGCTCTCCACCATTGCTACTAGCGGGGATGACACTAGCTCTGTTGCCACTTCCCCTCGCTACAGTCACCGCCCCTCCCGACCAACCAGCAGCCGCCACGTGGGGGAGGTGGGTGAGGAGGAGGCGGCTAGAAGAGCAGCGATTGGACGACAGAGACGAGAATTTGGCAGTGATGGTAGTGGGAGGAGTGGGGAAGGAGGTGGTGGTGGGTGTATAGTGGGGCTGCACGGTCGAGAGGAGTTGAGGATGGTGAAAGGAAAGGGCCGTCCTTCTACGGTTTGGGAGGGAGTAGGGGAGTGGTCAGAGGGGATTCGAGAAGAAGGGTGCGAGACGGGGGATGAGGAGGAGGGCGATGGTGGGGTATCGGGAGAGGAGAGAGGAGATGCTTGGGCTGGGCGGGAGATTCGTAGTGAGGGAGGGAGGAGAGAGGCTGACGGGAGGTTGAAGAGGCGTGTGGGGCCAAGGGGTGGGAGCACGATCGGTGGGAGTCTGGTGGATGGAGGGATGAGGGGTGGAGGTGAAGGGATGGGCGGGGAGAGGGATGCGGATGGGGAGGACGATGTGTTGAGCTATGGATCGAGACAGAGCCTTGGCGGCCTGGAGTATGACCTTCAGCGGGCGCAGGGGGCAGGGGACGAGGAAGGAGGGGTGAAGCAGCAGAAGGTGCAGCAGCATGGAAGCTCGTGTGAGACCTCTGAAGATGACCTGTGTCAACAGGGTGCTGCCCGTGTGCCTGGGGATGGGCATGGGGATGGTATCAGAGGTGGGCGTGGCGAGTCAGGTTTTGTTGGGAGAGGTGAAGCTCCGGCAGGGCTGTTTGAAGAAGATGGTGATGGTGAGGATGATGGTGATGGTGATGAGGAGGGTGAGGGTGGGGTGGTGGTGGGAGCAGTCCCTCGACGTGGCTTGCATGTGCCAGCAGAGCAAGGAGGAGCCGTGGATCGAGGAACCGAGGAAAGGGATGGTTCTGTCAGAAGGCACGATGGGGGGAGTGCACTGGATGCGACCGTTCCTGCTGATGTAAGTCATAGTTCATTGGCAGAATCAGGCCAGCGTGTGAACTGCTACGTGCATGACTTATTGTTTGTTTCCGCTTTAGCTGCTCGTCTTCTCTGCACCTTCCATCCATCATGTGAGTTTCATTCTCTCTCCCTCCCTACCCATGCATCTTGGACATGCCTGGCTGGGGGGATGCCATGCCATGCCATTCCATGCCTTGCCATGCAATGCCATGCCATGCCATGCCTTGCCATGCCATTCCATGCTGTGCCGTGCTGCAGTGGACTGCTGCGAAGCTGAGTGCACCACTCCTGCGCCTGGTGGAAGTGCTGCTGCACCTCGACGACCACGGCTGGATTAGGTCAGTATCTGACGGCATTCCAAATGAAAAGGCTGATTGATGCCGTGGTATAGCTCTGGAACAGGTTGGTGAAGGTGCCTAGGCAGGATCGGACGAGCTTGACAAGATCCTAGTGTTGCTGTTTCAGGCCAAATTCTCCTCACCAAGTTACACGCTCCATCTCTCCCTGCTCTACACCCCCTTCGTCCTTGACAGGCGGCAGGTGGTGTGGGTGGCGAGGCAGGTGTTGGAGCTGAGCATGGGGGATGCCATTGATGACTTCCTGCTCTCGCAGATCCAGAAACTCCGCACTGAATCCACCGTTGCCACCATCATTCGCTCCCTGCACCAGGTCTGGAGCTGTTCACTGTGCACCCTCATTATCGCTCCCATGACTTCCTCTTCTGTCAACCCCACCTCACCCCCCTGCTCCCCTTTCCCCCTCAACCCCCAACACTGTCAACCTCACTTATGCTTCCTAGCCTTCTTTGTTTTTGTAGGTTGTATTAGCTTTTCTTGCATGCCATCTCTGATTTTTTTTTTATATTTTCGACATTGAACGCCCTCATTTATTCACGTCAGAGGTTGTGGCCGGATGGTATATTCTACTCGCGCCACCCAAATTATCGGGCCTCAGTGGCAGCTTCGAGCTCCCGGACAGGCTCGTCTGCTCCTGCTGTCTCTCGTCCCGATCCTCTTGGGCTCAACGTACCTCCTGAGTCATTCCAGCAGCGACTGGAGGCTGCTGATAAGGCTGCCAGAGTTCATCAGCTTCTGCTTGGTAAGTCGTTATAACAGGGATGAGCTGCCTTTTGGTTTATAATATGTGAATTTGCACTGATTGATTCCTCTCTTGTGTCTTTTATGCAGAAATGGCACCTGCTTCAATTGTTCCACTGATTGGTCTGCGGCATTATCAGCGATCAGTTTCAGACCTCTTCAGCTTTGTACAGGTGGGCCATCGCTGTGTGGTAGTTTTCCTAACACTGTTTCGCTTCCCTCTTTGCCTTGGACGTCCCTATTGTGTGACCTTGCTCACTCCACCACACGTTTTTGTTCGGAGATTGCAGTCACAGGTGTGTGTAAAGCAGCTGGCGCATGCACTAATGGAGGTGGTCATTCTAGCCCTGTTTCCAGAGCTGCACGTTGTGGTTGCTGAGATTCGCCATGGCCTTATTTAAGCCACATTGTTCAAGGCATCCACGCATAATCTTACCGTATTCTCCCGGATAAAACACCCCCCCGTAATTGTACACCCCCGGGTAGCTAATACGGGGTGGGTGTTATATCCGACCCCGTTTGTACTATACCCCCCCTTTTGGGGTGATTTTCTATAACACCCCCCTTTTCTTATAGATTCCTATTATAGCTGTTATCGAGTCCGATCCCTTACGGGAGGATATCGCGAGAATTGCTCCCTAGGTGAAATTTCGCGTGTACTTTCACTTAAAATCTGCCAAGATTTCCCCCCTCCCACAATCTCGCTGTCGCCACGCTGGCGAATCTTCCGCTGCAAGTGGCCCAATAGGTGAAAATCACCTTCTCACATGAGGCACAGACACGTGACCAAACCAGTCAAGAAGTGACTGGTACAGTAAGAACGCACCACCATGCGCGATTCTGGCCTCGGCGGTTGCATGAACCCTCGCCACGCAATTGGCTTTGTTTTCACCCTATCAAGTGCCAAAATTGCCCACTCGAATATGCCACGTGGCAGATTCCAGTGGGCGGTCACGTTATCCTCGTATACTCGGTTTTGCGGCACTGGTCAACAATCTTGAAGTGAAGTCAGACACCTGATTTTGTTTCACATCTTTTCTACTTGATAAAAAATATACCATATAATAAGACCCGGGTATTATGTAGGATTTTCCTTTGAGGAGACCCCCCCCATTTTTTCCCAGTGGTTTTCATAATACCCTAGGGTGTTTTATCCGGGAGAATACGGTATCTGTTTGCTTCATCCATTATAACTTCATGCACACGTGTACATAAGCTAGATTGCTCATACTTACTTTCAGAATTTCTGTGAATGGCATCGGGATACGGTAGATGCATTGGGGCTATTCTTCTGCACCAAAGCCACGTGTTTGGAGAGCCCTTCCCTGCGCCATTTGCCATCTGTCTTGGCTAGTCTTCGGAGATCTTGGATTGACCTGAACGAATGTTCTTCTCTTGTCTTCGTGTTTACAATCATAGTTGTCTGCCCACTCCTGTCTGCGTTTTGAACCAATGTATGAGGAGGCTTTCCTTGTGTCCTGCACCAAGAAATTCTCAGAGCGGCCAGAGCCTTTCCTTCTGCCTTGTGCTGTGCCAAAATCAGAACGACCAGAACGATCCCTGAATGAGAGCCCGAGTCTTGGATGAGAGTCAGGCTTCTTCCTGTCATCTGTGTTGACGTTCTCATACCTGCAACATTGACAACGATGACCAATTAGCTATGCGTACTTTTATCAACCTAAATGGGTTCTACGCAACCAGGACTGACCTGCTTTTTTGCAACGGGTCGTGCAGTGAGGCCTTGGATGTCAGGACCTTGCTTATCTCCTTAGCTCTCTGCATCGCCAAAACAGCTGCCGCTAAGGCGGGACATGCACCCGCAGACTTTCGAGAGGCATTCTGTTGCATAGCAAGCGCTTCCTGGAACTGTAACATCGGCTTGGCAACAATCTCTTGCAACGCGGCGGTCGCCCTCCCTTCATGTCCGGGCAGGAAATTGGAAATTGTGTTGGCAGAGGCTGTCAAAGCTGTCTTGATCCTTCCTTGAGCGGTTTTCGCCAGCTCAACCTTCAACTTCACATCTGCAATCTCCATGTTGTTCATGTCCAAGGCGACCTTCGCTTCTTCCGGGGTCGAATAACGAATATGAGCAACGGACCTGTCGTTGTTGAGATAGTCACATCTTGTAACCGTTCCGCAGAAGGAGAATAATTGAAGAAGCTGTTCACGTGTAATCGCACGGGTCAGGCTTGTGACGTGTAGCGTGAGATTAAGCTCGCGGTCGTCCATGCCACCTGAAACAATGCGTGAGGTTGCGTTAGGATTTGTATTGCCAAAGAATGAGTTTCATCCACGTTCGTCTATCCACTTACGGAAGTGGCTAAGCTCAACCTCGCAGGCACGAGCTTCATCAGTTGCTGCATTCTCCGGGACTTTCAGGTTGGCGTTAGCGGCCGCTTTGGAGACCTTTCGCAGTGCTACTATAGCCTGTGCTGCTGCCATTGCCGCGGCGGACGGATTAAGCGGAGCCGCGTTCGCCATGATGTCTCCAGTAGGATAAACCTGAAGCTGTCGCGTGACCCGAGAAGACTATGAAAGAAAGGATGTACAATTGCATGCCATGATTCGAAAGGTGAATTTGAATGCCACTGGACCTTCATTCGAAAGGCCCATTTCGTGGGTGAAGGATGATCCATGCCGAATCGCGAAGCCTTGGGATTTGAGCTAACTTCAATGTCTCCCTTGGTACCCCTTGAAGTCGGCTGAAGGACACCTAGCCTCTGATGTGGGTGGGATGACATAGGTGTGTCGTCTACACTGTACGCAGAAACCTACTGTAGTACCGTACATAAGGTGTGGCTTCTAACACTATTTTTTTCACAGCAATTTGCAGGTACAATCAACCTGACAATTTTGTATGATTTACGTGATTACTGAATGGGCATCAACACCACTCAGGCTATTTGTTGATGCTTAACTACAACTTGAGCAACATGATTCAACAAACAAATCAGAGTGGCCGGCGGCTTCTTTGTACATCACACTACAAGACATGACTTGGGTACACCAAAATACTTTTCCAACTCATCCCGGGACTGCTTGTAATTGAAGACTCTACGCCATCGGTCATTGTGGAGCTTGTAGTGCAGCACCTGCAAGCATGCACAGCCAGGAAAAAACACCACTTACATGTACCAGTATGAACTCAGACACAAGACGACACAAAACAACGCAGACACAGCTTCAATCTAAGGTGCAATACACACCTCAATGAGTGTATCAATGGCGTCGTCGTCTTTCAGCAAGCTGATGCCAAAAGCCCATGCCTCGTTGTGTCCATAGTCGTCCTGCTGCCTCTTGGCCTCCTGTGCGATCACCGAGTGGTACGACAACCGCTGCCACACCTTCTGCACTGTACCTTGCAGCGCACTCCCATGCCCCGCAGTGATAGCCTGTTGGCACAAGCATGGAGCACATGATCATAAAGGAGAAGACTAAGACCCGCTGACAGCATGATTGCAGAACACTGTCATACACATTCACAATTTGGAAAAAAAGGCAGGGGTATGGGTAATGAGGGGAGAGAGGGAGAGGGGAGGAGGGATACAAGGCAAGAGCCAACCAACTGGGAATGGGATGGTCCAAACGGACAATCGGCGGCACCTTGAGCTTTGTGAGCATGTTGGGAATGTCCCTTTCCTCTATGCGCACTGAGAATGAAGCATAGTCCAAGGCGTTCTCAAATGGCAGGTGGATGCCGTCCTGTTGTGCATTGGACACACGCAGCATGCATGCACGCGCACCAGTCACCGTTCCCCCAACCCATGAACGCCAATCACCATCCCCACTCATGAACACGCATTCAATAGGCATACGCACAATCACAGGAGTCACTGAAAGAATAGCTTTATTCAAAGGGAGACGGGCGGCACCCGATCAATAAAGAAAGGGCAGAAAGAGGGTAAGGGGGTAGAGGAGGGATGATGACAGGGATGCACCTGAATGATGACTGGGATGCACCTGAATGATGACTGGGATGCACCTGAATGATGACTGGGATGCACCTGAATGATGACAGGGATGCACCTGAATGATGACAGGGATGCACCTGAATGATGACTGGGATGCACCTGAATGATGACAGGGATGCACCTGATGACTGGGATGCACCTGAATGATGACTGGGATGCACCTGAATGATGACAGGGATGCACCTGAATGATGACAGGGATGCACCTGAATGATGACAGGGATGCACCTGAATGATGACAGGGATGCACCTGAATGATGACTGGGATGCACCTGAATGATGACTGGGATGCACCTGAATGATGACTGGGATGCACCTGAATGATGACAGGGATGCACCTGAATGATGACAGGGATGCACCTGAATGATGACTGGGATGCACCTGAATGATGACAGGGATGCACCTGAATGATGACAGGGATGCACCTGAATGATGACTGGGATGCACCTGAATGATGACAGGGATGCACCTGAATGATGACTGGGATGCACCTGAATGATGACAGGGATGCAGCCATGCTTCATCGCCTCTTCCATGTCAGCATTGAAGCCATTGCTGGGGAAGACTCCGCAGAACCGGGCGTTGCCCAGCTGAGCGCTGTGCCCCTTGCCCCTCTCATTCGTCACAATCACCCCCTCCTCCTGCTGCGACCCCAGCTGCCCCTTGTTATTTGGCACCGAGGCGAATTCTCGAGCCACGGCCTGCCGAATGCCGAAGCTGAACCTGCACACTCGGCAGGCAGGAAAAGAAGGCAAGAAATTCGAGAAAAAAAAAAGAGTTAGGTCCAGAAAAAGAAGCAAGTGAAAGGACACTTCTGTGCTCCGGTCTTGGCCATTTGATATTTAATCTTGACAGATTCAATGGCTCAGTTGATTGCATGTGCATGCAGTGGTTATACCTGGTATCAGGAGAGCCCCCCTTGTACTCAGATCCTAAGTCACCAGCGAAATAGAAGAGGTGCTCCCTCTCCTCAAATGACCTGCTCTTCGCAAAAAAAGGGGAGCGAGTGGAGAGAATCAGATCGAGAGGAAGAGCGTAATAGACGTGGGGTTGACAATGTCGCAACATGGGTTGGAACGGGAGAATTCCGAAGAAAAAGCAGCATCTGCTGCGCACAGGTTCAGAGGCCTACCTGAGCCAGTACTGCTCATGCAGGTGCTTCACATTGGGCGGCAGCCAGGCTGGCAGCACAATATCCTTGGCAGCGGAGTAGCACAGGTGGCCGCCCCTCAGCGTCAGGGGTATGTCGTCCCACCGCTGCTGCGGTGCCGCCTTGACTGAGTGGGAGTGAGCTGCCATGCTGTTGCCCCAGCTCGTGAGCATGCTGCCGTGCCAGATGGCTTGAGGGGCCAAACAAGCCCCTTCATCTGTGCCCATGGGCTGGAGGGGAGAAGGGGGGGAGAGAGGAAGAGGGGCAAAAGGGCGGATACAACAATATCGATGCAATTCGCCACTGGATTGGGGGGAGGGTTGAGCATTGGCATAAACAGCATGAAATGCACAGCACAAGGCATCTGACAGTTACCATGCCCATGAGCTCTTGCTTGCAAGGGAGCAGCAGGCAGGGCAGAGCGGCGTACCCAGAGGTGGTCGCGGCCGCGACTTCTGTTCCAGTGGGGGTAGGCATGCACGATGTGGCGGTGCACTGCTGAGTACATCTCTGCCACGTGCCACGCCCAGCTGCCCTGCACGTGCGGCTGGCAGGGGGAGAGAGGAGAGGGTGTGGGGAGAGAGGAGAGGGTGTGGGGAAGACGTGAGAAGACGGTGGCTTCGTGTTATGGTTCCAGTGGGTGTGTGTGGGGGTAGGCATGCACGATGTGGCGGTGCAATGCAGTGTACATCTCTGCCTCATGCCACGCCCAGCTGCCCTGCACGTGCGGCTGGTAAGGGTTGCAGTGCAGAGGAGAGAAGGGTGGGGGCAGACGTGCGGAGAGGGAAGTGTGTGAATGGTGAGCTGAGGTCATGTGAGGCGTACTGAGCCACACCACAAAGAGGATTCGTCATGGTACGATACGTGTCTAGCCTCGTCTCAAAGGGCTTGTGTGAGAAAGCCCAACCAGGAGCCCGATGCCGGAACGGAAGCATCTTGTCAGAGGGGAACAGGTGGGCTGCAGAGGCCTTTTCTATCAACTCAGAAGGAACGTGTGCTTTAGGACAACGAGACGAACCCCATGGTTCAGGTAGAGAAAGAGGCCTGGTGGCGTGACTGCTTTAGCGTTTAGAGCGATTCTTCATAACAGATACACGACTTGCGCAAACTAGTTTTGGTTCGTGTAGAGTGAACCTTCATCATTCATTACAGGTACGGTGAAGGTTCACAATGTGCCATACCAGGAGCTGGATGCCGGAAGCATCCCCGGCGTTGGTGAGGCGCAGGCAGAAGCAGGAGGCGTAGACGGGCACAAAGAAGAAATCGAGGGTTGAGACGTCTCAAAGTGTGTGATGAGAGCCCTACCAGGAGCTGGATGCCGGAAGCATCCCCGGCGTTGGTGAGGCGCAGGCAGAAGCAGGAGGCGTAGACGGGCACAAAGAAGAAATCCGCCTCCTCCGCGTTGGTCGTGCGGTGCTTGCTTGCCAGCAACGCCTCGTGCAGGGCGATCTGGGGGAGGGAGGAAGGGAATCAAGGAAGGGGCATGGGACTTACGGGATGGGATCGGATCCAGGGATAGATGGTGACTCAAAACAAAGACGGTGGATGTGAGGTGCTTTTAGTTGCAAGGCAAAGACAAAAGGGACCTGACTCACGAAATAGCTTACTTCCATGGCAGCTCTTCCATGCCATGGGTGTAATCACCCTACTAACCCCTAAACCATGGCCCATGGGTGTAATGACCCTACTAACCGCCATGCCATGGGTGTAATGACCCTACGTACCTCCATGCCGTGGATATGGTCGGGCAGGAAGGCGGTGCGGTTGAGGCGGTCATACAGCCGAGGCACGCACTCCTTCTTGCCGCGCCGGCCCTGCAGCAAGTTGCTGTTGAACTGCGGCGGTAGATCGTAGATGTAGATCAACGGCCGCCGCTTCACCACCTCGTTCCGCCCCCCTGCTCCAACTGCTCCCCCTGCTGCCCCCCCTGCCCCCCCTGCACCTGCCCGATCACCAGCAGCGTTTCTCCCACCATCAGCAGCACCCTCACCACCATATCCCCCTCCCTCCGCATCTTCTTCTGTCTCCCCCTCTCCCTCCCCGTCCTCCTCGTCCTGTCTCCCCCTAAGCCATCGGCGCTCATGAGAGTCATGCGGGCCACGGTCAGCAACAGGCACATCCCACTCCACAAAATCGCCCGTGCCACCACCACCCAAGGCACCTTGCCTATCCGTTAGCCTCCCCAGGGAATTTCCTCCTTCGTCTAGCCCAAGAAGTCTCCTCCTCCTCCTCCTGCGCCTCCTCCAACCCAGCTCCTCATCTCCCTCTCCCCCTCTCTCCCCTCCCCTTGCCCCCTTCCCTCCATATGCTCTTCCACCCCCTCCTTCCTCCTCCCCAACCTCCTCTTCTCCCTCCTCCCCTCCCATCTCTGCCTCTAAGGCCGCCTCCTCTTCCTCCTCCGTTGGACCATGATTCTTCCCTCCCCCGCCCAAACCCCCTCCTCCCTTTCTTGCTTGAGGTTGTGCAGCCAGGCCAGGCTCGGTGGAGGTCCGGGAGCCGGAGCCGCTGCCGAACCTCTTGGCCTGGTCGAAGGGCTGCAGCCAGGCCGGGAGCTGAGGGTCGGCGAATGTGGCTTGGGAGGGCACGCTGCAATCAACGCTGAACCAGCCCTCGTTGCACTGTGTGCATGGGGGGAGGGGTGAAAGGGAGAGGTGAAGAGCGAGAAGGGAAGGGAAGGGAAGGGAAGGGAAAAGGGGGTTGGAGGACGGGGATGCAGAAGGTAGCGGTTTTCAGGTCAACTGGCGATTGATATAACACTACACGGCATTGCATTGCATTGCATTGCAGTGCATGGCATCAACCCCACGCACCTGGCAGTGCCCTCACGCACCTGGCAGTGCCCTCGTATGCACGTGCCGTGCCCCGAGCACTGGTTGACACAGAAGGCCGCCACAGGCACGTGACAGAATGCCCCCACCGCCCCGTCATAGTCACACGTGCACCGCGCCCGCGGCTCCGCCCCGCCCATCGCCATGCTGCCGCCCATGCCCACCCCCACTGCTTCAGGACGGGTGTTGCACCAGCCGGGGTAGTGCGTGGTGTTGGCGTACAGGGCCTCCGTGTCCTTTCGCGTTCTGTCCACCGCTGCTGCTCTGAGGAAGGGAAGAGGGGGGGAGAGGGGAGGAGATGGAGGGAGGGGGAACACGTGTGTTGCACCAGCTGCAGCCGGGGTAGTGCGTGGTGTTGGCATACAGGGCCTCCGTGTCCTTTCTCGTTCTGTCCACCGCTGCTGCTCTGAAGGGGAGTAAGAAGGGAGAAGGGGAAAGAGGATCGGAGGGGTGAAGGAAATTGAAGGGAGAGTGGAAGTGGGGCTGTGAATACGCGTGTTGCACCAGCTGGGGAAGTGCATGACAGAGGGGTATTAGGACGTCGACGGGCCACCGTGTTGTGCTCTGCTCACAGGTGATGCACTCACAGTGCGGATTGCATTAGCCAAGGCACAACAGCAAGTGGCTCACAAGTCATGCGCAAAGCCACAGGGGTCGGGGACGGGACGGAGGGGGAAGAGGGAGGCAGCACCGCAGAAGCAAAGGCCTGAGTGCAGGTCGCACTCCCCCGCACACGCCCACGCACTCCCGCCCACCACTCCCGCAGAAGACGTGGGTGGGGAGGAGCAGGGATGCGCGTCCATGTGAGAACAGTCCGCCCCTGTCAGTTGGGCGGGTGGGCGGTGCACGGGTGGGTGATGCAAGAGATGAGTCTCTATTTCACGGCGTCTCAAGAAAGAGTGCAACCATGTGGGAACAGTCCATTCTTGCCACGCAGGCAGGCTATTGGGAAGTCAGACCGCGGTGACAGGAGAAAACAGAAGCAGCTTCGCAACAGTATAATAATATCATTATTACTATTGTTAATACTATTACTTCTAGTATTAACACTAGTACTTATACTGTTGACAACAACAATAACTCCCACCTGTGTATCCGATGCGGCAGCGGCAGCGGCCAGTGTCGTAGTGACACGTGCCCACCCCATTGCAGTCCTGCATGCACTTGTTGCCGTACACCTCCTGCATGCCATGCCATGCCATGCACCCCATGCATCCCATGCGTCCCAAGCACGCATGCACCCAATGTACTCCATGCATCATGCATGCATGCAAACGTAGACGGATGCATGAACGCACGTGGGGTGAGGTAACCATGCATTCCATGTCATGTACACATGGAAAGGCGTTTACCATTGGCGGTTATACAACCAACCTCGAGCACCTTCACCCAATCCCATTCTTCCCCTTGCTTCCCTCCCCTCGAAGCCCTCCTCCCGCACCCTCCCCTTCCCCCAGTCCCACCTCCCTCCTTATTCCCCCCCGCACCCACCTCCACGGTCTTGATCACCCCCGACTCCCCATTGCAGCTGCTCAGCCAATCACCAACGTCGAATCTCCACGGCGCGCCTCGCCACGTCACCACCTCGTCATCCAGTCGGCTCCTCTTCTTCTTGGCATCCTCCCCCACCACCTCCCCCTCCCGCCCCACCCCCGCGGAGTCCCTATAATCCTCCACTTCCGCCGCCTCTTCACCCAAATGTCCCCCGCCGCCCGCGCCTGCCCCCGCGCCCGCTTTCCCCCATCTTCCCCCTCCCCGCGCAGGCTTAGCGTCCGGATACAGCCCCTCTTGCGGGTCTTCCCCCGGTTTTCCGCCACCCCAGTTTCCGCCAGCGCCGGTTCCCCAATCACCTCCACCCGCTCCCCGTCCGCCTGACGGTAACGTTGACGGATCTAGAGTGGACGCGTCTACGCCTTTAAACGAGTCGACTGGTAACGGATGGTAACCTCTAGGTTCTCGCGATGAGCCGGTTCCTGTGCCGTCCAGATCAGACGGATAAAAAGAATCTGAGCCGTCCGATGGGGGTGTAGTTGTGGTGGGGGACACTGCTGCAGGGGAAGTGAGGAAGATTATAACGAGGATGATTACTGCAACGGCTGCGATTACAGGCCATCTGAGCCAAATCGCATCGGAGCAGAGCGACGCGAGCGACGAAGACGAATACGAACTAGGCCCCAGCGGTCGATCTAAATCCAAATCGAACGGTCGACGTCGCTTCCCTCGCTTCCCTGACGGATCCAAAAGGCTATCCCCATCGTTGTCCTCATCCTCGCTATAATCCTCCTCGCTAATCTCGCTATACTGACCGCGCGATCCCCGCGCGCGCCTGGCGGGGGGGGAAGAGTGCGGCTGTTGCTGCGGAGAGCGCGGAGAGCGCACTGAATAAGGGGAGAAAGCGCCGTCGTGCGACGCGTGGAAGTCGGGAGGCGGGTGCAGCAGCAGCTCCTCCGTTTCGGGAATCGGCAGATGGTCTACTAACGGGGGACCGCTGTGGCCCTCCCTCTCTAGAACCTCCATCGTTAGTCCCGTCTACGAGCGCTAGGATTCAAGATTTTCTGCTGTTTTTCTACTGCTACAAGGATATCTCTCGCAGAAAAAGCTGCACTTGCATTATTCGAATTTCCTGCGAAACCAGAAATTGTTACACCGAGGCGAAACGTGTCAACTTTGTTTCAAAAGATTCCCCAGGCGAATCGAAACGAGCTGTACGCGAAGCCTTTCGCAATGCCGAACGGAGTCCACGTTGAAAACCAGTCAGGCGAATCAGACCAAGCTGGGGTGGTGTGGTAACTCGATCTATTTGTACTATATTTCTTCGCCTAAGTTCCCTACACTCCCAACCAGCACACCGCGCTCAATCCGGAAACCCGCACGTTTTTTACGATTTCCCAAGCGGCCATTGCTGCTCCCATCCATGGCAGGCAGTGCGACGGGGTTATTCCGAGAGAAGTAGCCTTGCCATCAGCGGTGTTGCTGCGTGGGCCGGTAGTTAATGTCGATTCCGGATGAAAGTTGCTCTACCAAACGCCACACCCCAATCTCGCAGTGATTTAAATTCACCTTGTCGCACTCAATCTTTCTGCAACCTCGCCATCGCATCGCATCCGATCGCACCGCACACAACCTTGTTCTGAAGCGCAAATGCAGAATCAGCCGCCAGGGCCGCTGGGTCCGCCGCAGCAGGCGCAGCCTCCTCCGCCGTTCGCATACGGCCACGCGCAAGGCCCGGGGCGCGGAGCGGGAATGGGGATGGGGGGACCGGGGCCCGGCGGACCAGGAATGGGCGGACCGGGTCCCGGGCCTGGACCGGGGATGGGGCCACCGGGACCGGGGGGCGCGGGGATGGGCGGACCAGGACCCGGGGGACCGGGGATGGGGCATGGTCCCGGACGCGGTATCCCCGGCCCAGGCGGACCGGGGGGACCGGGGGGACCGGGGGGACCGGGGGGGCGAGGGGGGCCGGGGCATGGGGGCCCCGGGCAGGGGTTTGGGCGCGGAGGGGGGTTTGAAGGAGGGTTTCATCCTGGCGCAGGGTTTGGGGGGCGCGGGGAGTATGGGGGAAGGGGGGAGTATGGCGGAAGGGGGGAGTATGGTGGCGGACGGGGCGGAGATTTCGGTGGGAGAGGCGGGTTCTTTGATGGTAAGTACGCTGATACTTCTCCCAATTCACCTCTGCCTCCTCCCCGTTCCCCCGAACCCTTGCTTCCGTCCCTTCCTCCCTGCAGCGCGCAGAATGCAGCGACGCACAGTGGACTGCAGTGCCACGCCACAGTGGCGCTCTACCTGCCTGCACGCCCTTATGCTTGCAATGCCTTTATCCTCCCCCCTGCCGCTCTGTGCAGCGCGCAGGATGCAGCGCAGAGGCATGCAGCGGCGCACGGTGGACTACAGCGCCACGGTGGCGCTCTACCTGCACGCCCATGCCACCAAACCGTGGCAAGCTGTCCCCCCTCAAACCTTCCCAACCGCTCTCAACAACCCTCAACCACCCTCAACCCACCACCAGCGCGCAGGATGCAGAGGCGGGGCATGCAGCGGCGAACAGTGGACTACAGCGCCACGGTGGCGCTCTACCTGCACGAGCGCGCGCGCCAGTGGGACGCGCGCGACGCCTCTGACCTCCTGCCCGCCTCCTCCGCTTCCCTCAAGGTGGGCTTTAAGTGACGCCTCTGACCTCCTGCCCACCTCCTCCGCCTCACTCAAGGTGGGCTTTAACTCGACTCTCCAACTGCTTAAGGCTGGCTGTATTTGCCTCAACTGTCGCCGCCAAAACGCCCGCGACTACTTGGACCTCCTGCCCACCGCCTCCTCGTCCCTCAATGTGTGCTCTGCTCTGAGTCGACTCCAACCGCTCGAGCTGGTTTGATTTGCCTCAACTGTCACAGCTGAGACGCACGTGACGACTCTGACCCTCTGGGCCTCTGCCCACTGCTTCTGCCTTGGTCAGTGTGGGCTTCGCCCGCACACCACTCCTGTTTCATTCTTCTGGTATTCGCCGCACACCACTCCCGCTTCTTCCCTCCCCCACCTCCTCAGTCCTTCCCCCTCCCCAATGTCCTCCTTCCCAACCATGCAGCTGCTGCCGTGCATGGCATACGAGGACCGCCCAGCAGCCAGCATCGCGTCTCTTGAGCCTGCTTGTACTACCTCTCACTTCCTCCCCTGCCCCACCTTCCGTTCCGCTGCCCCTTCCCTTACCCCTCCCCCCCATGCAGCTGCTGCCGTGCATGGCATACGAGGACCACCCAGCAGCCAGCATCGCGTCTCGCTTTGTGCACGCCTCCACCAACAAGATCCGCTGCCCCATCAACCAAGTCGTGGTACGAAGGGGTGCAGTGTGGTGATAAGGCATGGCATGGAATGGGATGGGATGGAGTGCGGTGGGATGCGGTGGGTTGGGGTGGGGTGGTGGTATGGTAGGCTGCTGCATACTGTTGCCCTGCCGCTGACATCACGTCACAGCACATCTATCAATCTCCTCAAAAACTCCTCATGCCCTTCCAACATTTGAGGCGCCTCAAAAACTCCTCATGCCCTTCCAACATGGCTCTTCCCCCAGCCCAACCCCTCCCCCTGCTCTCGCCCTCTCCTCCTCCACTCCACTCCACACACCCCTAACTCGTCTTCCTTCCTCTCTCCCAGCGCCCCTCTCCGCGTTGCTTACCTCACCCCACCCCGCCCCATCTCTCCCCACCTCACCTCACCTCACCCCACCCCACCCCACCCCATCCCGCCCCAACCCCCCAACTCCTCGCCAGTGGACGCCCACGGGGCGGCGGCTGCTGACAGGGTCACAGAGCGGCGAGTTCACGCTGTGGAACGGGCTGTCCTTCAACTTCGAAATGCTCATGCAGGTGGGTCCGTGTGGGGGGAGGGGTGGGGGGGGTGGGGGTTGAAGGGGTGCCGTGTGGGTGGGTGGGGCTCTTGATGTCGCTCTTGGGGGCGCTGCGGCGAGTTGACGCTGTGGAACGGGCTGTCCTTCAACTTCGAGATGCTCATGCAGGTGGGGGGGGAGAGGGTGGAGGGGAAGGGTAGTGATGGGGGTGCTGTTCTTGAGGTTGCTGCTAGGGGGTTGGGGTGCTGCTGCGAGTTCACGCTGTGGAACGGGCTGTCTTTCAACTTTGAGATGCTCATGCAGGTGGGGGGGGAAGGAAATGTTTCGTAAGCCATGGTATTCAGGTGAGGTGGGTTTGAGTCGACTCAGAAGCCGGCTACCTTGTTACAATGGCTTGCGGCGCTTTCTCTGACAGAGGTGCGTTATGGTAACAGAGGTGCGTTATGGTGACAGAGGTGCGTTATGGTAACAGAGGTGCGTTATGGTATCAGAGGTGCGTTATGGTAACAGAGGTGCGTTATGGTGACAGAGGTGCGTTATGGTGACAGAGGTGCGTTATGGTAACAGAGGTGCGTTATGGTAACAGAGGTGCGTTATGGTAACAGAGGTGCGTTATGGTAACAGAGGTGCGTTATGGTAACAGAGGTGCGTTATGGTAACAGAGGTGCGTTATGGTAACAGAGGTGCGTTATGGTGACAGAGGTGCGTTATGGTAACAGAGGTGCGTTATGGTGACAGAGGTGCGTTATGGTGACAGAGGTGCGTTATTGTAACAGAGGTGCGTTATGGTGACAGAGGTGCGTTATGGTGACAGAGGTGCGTTATGGTGACAGAGGTGCGTTATGGTAACAGAGGTGCGTTATGGTGACAGAGGTGCGTTATGGTAACAGAGGTGCGTTATGGTAACAGAGGTGCGTTATGGTAACAGAGGTGCGTTATGGTAACAGAGGTGCGTTATGGTAACAGAGGTGCATTGTGGTAACAGAGGTGCGTTATGGTAACAGAGGTGCGTTATGGTAACAGAGGTGCGTTATGGTGACAGAGGTGCGTTATGGTAACAGAGGTGCGTTATGGTGACAGAGGTGCGTTATGGTAACAGAGGTGCGTTATGGTAACAGAGGTGCGCTATGGTGACAGAGGTGCGTTATGGTGACAGAGGTGCGTTATGGTAACAGAGGTGTGTTATGGTAACAGAGGTGCGTTATGGTGACAGAGGTGCGTTATGGTGACAGAGGTGCGTTATGGTGACAGAGGTGCGTTATGGTGACAGAGGTGCGTTATGGTGACAGAGGTGCGTTATGGTGACAGAGGTGCGTTATGGTGACAGAGGTGCGTTATGGTGACAGAGGTGCGTTATGGTGACAGAGGTGCGTTATGGTGACAGAGGTGCGTTATGGTGACAGAGGTGCGTTATGGTGACAGAGGTGCGTTATGGTAACAGAGGTGCGTTATGGTGACAGAGGTGCGTTATGGTGACAGAGGTGCGTTATGGTGACAGAGGTGCGTTATGGTGACAGAGGTGCGTTATGGTAACAGAGGTGCGTTATGGTGACAGAGGTGCGTTATGGTGACAGAGGTGCGTTATGGTGACAGAGGTGCGTTATGGTGACAGAGGTGCGTTATGGTGACAGAGGTGCGTTATGGTGACAGAGGTGCGTTATGGTGACAGAGGTGCGTTATGGTAACAGAGGTGCGTTATGGTAACAGAGGTGCGTTATGGTGACAGAGGTGCGTTATGGTGACAGAGGTGCGTTATGGTGACAGAGGTGCGTTATGGTGACAGAGGTGCGTTATGGTGACCGAGGTGCGTTATGGTGACAGAGGTGCGTTATGGTGACAGAGGTGCGTTATGGTAACAGAGGTGCGTTATGGTGACAGAGGTGCGTTATGGTAACAGAGGTGCGTTATGGTGACAGAGGTGCGTTATGGTGACAGAGGTGCGTTATGGTGACAGAGGTGCGTTATGGTGACAGAGGTGCGTTATGGTGACAGAGGTGCGTTATGGTGACAGAGGTGCGTTATGGTAACAGAGGTGCGTTATGGTGACAGAGGTGCGTTATGGTAACAGAGGTGCGTTATGGTGACAGAGGTGCGTTATGGTGACAGAGGTGCGTTATGGTGACAGAGGTGCGTTATGGTGACAGAGGTGCGTTATGGTGACAGAGGTGCGTTATGGTAACAGAGGTGCGTTATGGTAACAGAGGTGCGTTATGGTAACAGAGGTGCGTTATGGTGACAGAGGTGCGTTATGGTGACAGAGGTGCGTTATGGTGACAGAGGTGCGTTATGGTGACAGAGGTGCGTTATGGTGACAGAGGTGCGTTATGGTAACAGAGGTGCGTTATGGTAACAGAGGTGCGTTATGGTGACAGAGGTGCGTTATGGTGACAGAGGTGCGTTATGGTGACAGAGGTGCGTTATGGTGACAGAGGTGCGTTATGGTAACAGAGGTGCGTTATGGTAACAGAGGTGCGTAATGGTAACAGAGGTGCGTTATGGTGACAGAGGTGCGTTATGGTGACAGCGGTGCGTTATGGTGACAGAGGTGCGTTATGGTAACAGAGGTGCGTTATGGTAACAGAGGTGCGTTATGGTAACAGAGGTGCATTATGGTAACAGAGGTGCGTTATGGTAGCAGAGGTGCATTATGGTAACAGAGGTGCGTTATGGTAACAGAGGTGCGTTATGGTAACAGAGGTGCGTAATGGTAACAGAGGTGCGTTATGGTGACAGAGGTGCGTTATGGTGACAGCGGTGCGTTATGGTGACAGAGGTGCGTTATGGTAACAGAGGTGCGTTATGGTAACAGAGGTGCGTTATGGTAACAGAGGTGCATTATGGTAACAGAGGTGCGTTATGGTAGCAGAGGTGCATTATGGTAACAGAGGTGCGTTATGGTAACAGAGGTGCGTTATGGTAACAGAGGTGCGTTATGGTAACAGAGGTGCGTTATGGTGACAGAGGTGCGTTATGGTGACAGAGGTGCGTTATGGTGACAGAGGTGCGTTATGGTGACAGAGGTGCGTTATGGTAACAGAGGTGCGTTATGGTGACAGAGGTGCGTTATGGTGACAGAGGTGCGTTATGGTGACAGAGGTGCGTTATGGTGACAGAGGTGCGTTATGGTGACAGAGGTGCGTTATGGTGACAGAGGTGCGTTATGGTGACAGAGGTGCGTTATGGTAACAGAGGTGCGTTATGGTAACAGAGGTGCGTTATGGTGACAGAGGTGCGTTATGGTGACAGAGGTGCGTTATGGTAACAGAGGTGCGTTATGGTGACAGAGGTGCGTTATGGTAACAGAGGTGCGTTATGGTGACAGAGGTGCGTTATGGTGACAGAGGTGCGTTATGGTGACAGAGGTGCGTTATGGTGACAGAGGTGCGTTATGGTGACAGAGGTGCGTTATGGTGACAGAGGTGCGTTATGGTGACAGAGGTGCGTTATGGTGACAGAGGTGCGTTATGGTGACAGAGGTGCGTTATGGTGACAGAGGTGCGTTATGGTGACAGAGGTGCGTTATGGTGACAGAGGTGCGTTATGGTGACAGAGGTGCGTTATGGTGACAGAGGTGCGTTATGGTGACAGAGGTGCGTTATGGTGACAGAGGTGCGTTATGGTGACAGAGGTGCGTTATGGTGACAGAGGTGCGTTATGGTGACAGAGGTGCGTTATGGTGACAGAGGTGCGTTATGGTAACAGAGGTGCGTTATGGTAACAGAGGTGCGTTATGGTAACAGAGGTGCGTTATGGTAACAGAGGTGCGTTATGGTAACAGAGGTGCATTATGGTAACAGAGGTGCGTTATGGTAACAGAGGTGCGTTATGGTAACAGAGGTGCGTTATGGTGACAGAGGTGCGTTATGGTAACAGAGGTGCGTTATGGTGACAGAGGTGCGTTATGGTAACAGAGGTGCGTTATGGTAACAGAGGTGCGCTATGGTGACAGAGGTGCGTTATGGTGACAGAGGTGCGTTATGGTAACAGAGGTGCGTTATGGTAACAGAGGTGCGTTATGGTGACAGAGGTGCGTTATGGTGACAGAGGTGCGTTATGGTGACAGAGGTGCGTTATGGTGACAGAGGTGCGTTATGGTGACAGAGGTGCGTTATGGTGACAGAGGTGCGTTATGGTGACAGAGGTGCGTTATGGTGACAGAGGTGCGTTATGGTGACAGAGGTGCGTTATGGTGACAGAGGTGCGTTATGGTGACAGAGGTGCGTTATGGTGACAGAGGTGCGTTATGGTGACAGAGGTGCGTTATGGTGACAGAGGTGCGTTATGGTAACAGAGGTGCGTTATGGTGACAGAGGTGCGTTATGGTGACAGAGGTGCGTTATGGTGACAGAGGTGCGTTATGGTGACAGAGGTGCGTTATGGTAACAGAGGTGCGTTATGGTGACAGAGGTGCGTTATGGTGACAGAGGTGCGTTATGGTGACAGAGGTGCGTTATGGTGACAGAGGTGCGTTATGGTGACAGAGGTGCGTTATGGTGACAGAGGTGCGTTATGGTGACAGAGGTGCGTTATGGTAACAGAGGTGCGTTATGGTAACAGAGGTGCGTTATGGTGACAGAGGTGCGTTATGGTGACAGAGGTGCGTTATGGTGACAGAGGTGCGTTATGGTGACAGAGGTGCGTTATGGTGACCGAGGTGCGTTATGGTGACAGAGGTGCGTTATGGTGACAGAGGTGCGTTATGGTAACAGAGGTGCGTTATGGTGACAGAGGTGCGTTATGGTAACAGAGGTGCGTTATGGTGACAGAGGTGCGTTATGGTGACAGAGGTGCGTTATGGTGACAGAGGTGCGTTATGGTGACAGAGGTGCGTTATGGTGACAGAGGTGCGTTATGGTGACAGAGGTGCGTTATGGTAACAGAGGTGCGTTATGGTGACAGAGGTGCGTTATGGTAACAGAGGTGCGTTATGGTGACAGAGGTGCGTTATGGTGACAGAGGTGCGTTATGGTGACAGAGGTGCGTTATGGTGACAGAGGTGCGTTATGGTGACAGAGGTGCGTTATGGTAACAGAGGTGCGTTATGGTAACAGAGGTGCGTTATGGTAACAGAGGTGCGTTATGGTGACAGAGGTGCGTTATGGTGACAGAGGTGCGTTATGGTGACAGAGGTGCGTTATGGTGACAGAGGTGCGTTATGGTGACAGAGGTGCGTTATGGTAACAGAGGTGCGTTATGGTAACAGAGGTGCGTTATGGTGACAGAGGTGCGTTATGGTGACAGAGGTGCGTTATGGTGACAGAGGTGCGTTATGGTGACAGAGGTGCGTTATGGTAACAGAGGTGCGTTATGGTAACAGAGGTGCGTAATGGTAACAGAGGTGCGTTATGGTGACAGAGGTGCGTTATGGTGACAGCGGTGCGTTATGGTGACAGAGGTGCGTTATGGTAACAGAGGTGCGTTATGGTAACAGAGGTGCGTTATGGTAACAGAGGTGCATTATGGTAACAGAGGTGCGTTATGGTAGCAGAGGTGCATTATGGTAACAGAGGTGCGTTATGGTAACAGAGGTGCGTTATGGTAACAGAGGTGCGTAATGGTAACAGAGGTGCGTTATGGTGACAGAGGTGCGTTATGGTGACAGCGGTGCGTTATGGTGACAGAGGTGCGTTATGGTAACAGAGGTGCGTTATGGTAACAGAGGTGCGTTATGGTAACAGAGGTGCATTATGGTAACAGAGGTGCGTTATGGTAGCAGAGGTGCATTATGGTAACAGAGGTGCGTTATGGTAACAGAGGTGCGTTATGGTAACAGAGGTGCGTTATGGTAACAGAGGTGCGTTATGGTGACAGAGGTGCGTTATGGTGACAGAGGTGCGTTATGGTGACAGAGGTGCGTTATGGTGACAGAGGTGCGTTATGGTAACAGAGGTGCGTTATGGTGACAGAGGTGCGTTATGGTGACAGAGGTGCGTTATGGTGACAGAGGTGCGTTATGGTGACAGAGGTGCGTTATGGTGACAGAGGTGCGTTATGGTGACAGAGGTGCGTTATGGTGACAGAGGTGCGTTATGGTAACAGAGGTGCGTTATGGTAACAGAGGTGCGTTATGGTGACAGAGGTGCGTTATGGTGACAGAGGTGCGTTATGGTAACAGAGGTGCGTTATGGTGACAGAGGTGCGTTATGGTAACAGAGGTGCGTTATGGTGACAGAGGTGCGTTATGGTGACAGAGGTGCGTTATGGTGACAGAGGTGCGTTATGGTGACAGAGGTGCGTTATGGTGACAGAGGTGCGTTATGGTGACAGAGGTGCGTTATGGTGACAGAGGTGCGTTATGGTGACAGAGGTGCGTTATGGTGACAGAGGTGCGTTATGGTGACAGAGGTGCGTTATGGTGACAGAGGTGCGTTATGGTGACAGAGGTGCGTTATGGTGACAGAGGTGCGTTATGGTGACAGAGGTGCGTTATGGTGACAGAGGTGCGTTATGGTGACAGAGGTGCGTTATGGTGACAGAGGTGCGTTATGGTGACAGAGGTGCGTTATGGTGACAGAGGTGCGTTATGGTAACAGAGGTGCGTTATGGTAACAGAGGTGCGTTATGGTAACAGAGGTGCGTTATGGTGACAGAGGTGCGTTATGGTAACAGAGGTGCGTTATGGTGACAGAGGTGCGTTATGGTAACAGAGGTGTGTTATGGTAACAGAGGTGCGTTATGGTAACAGAGGTGCGTTATGGTAACAGAGGTGCGTTATGGTAACAGAGGTGCGTTATGGTAACAGAGGTGCGTTATGGTAACAGAGGTGCGTTATGGTAACAGAGGTGCGTTATGGTAACAGAGGTGCGTTATGGTAACAGAGGTGCGTTATGGTAACAGAGGTGCGTTATGGTAACAGAGGTGCGTTATGGTAACAGAGGTGCGTTATGGTGACAGAGGTGCGTTATGGTGACAGAGGTGCGTTATGGTAACAGAGGTGTGTTATGGTAACAGAGGTGCGTTATGGTAACAGAGGTGCGTTATGGTAACAGAGGTGCGTTATGGTAACAGAGGTGCGTTATGGTAACAGAGGTGCGTTATGGTAACAGAGGTGCGTTATGGTAACAGAGGTGCGTTATGGTAACAGAGGTGCGTTATGGTAACAGAGGTGCGTTATGGTAACAGAGGTGCGTTATGGTAACAGAGGTGCGTTATGGTAACAGAGGTGCGTTATGGTAACAGAGGTGCGTTATGGTAACAGAGGTGCGTTATGGTAACAGAGGTGCGTTATGGTAACAGAGGTGCGTTATGGTAACAGAGGTGCGTTATTGTAACAGAGGTGCGGTATGGTAACAGAGGTGCGTTATGGTAACAGAGGTGCGTTATGGTAACAGAGGTGCGTTATGGTAACAGAGGTGCGTTATGGTAACAGAGGTGCGTTATGGTGACAGAGGTGCATTCTCTGAGTGCTGTCACGACACGTTCTCCTTACTTTTGTGTTCTGTGCAGGCCCACCAGGTGGCGGTGAGGAGCATGGTGTTTGAGAATTCTCAAAAACCAGCTGTGGAGCGCTGACACGTTCTCCTTGTGAGACGTCTCACAAGCACGTTCTCCTTACTCTGTGTTCCGTGCAGGCCCACCAGGTGGCCGTGAGGAGCATGGTGTGGAGTCACAACGGCAACTGGCTGGTTTCAGGGGACGACTCAGGATGCATCAAGTGAGACTTGTCTCGATAGGCGAACCACCGTGACGTGAAGCTTCTGTTTGTTTTGGAGTTTTCAGACCCCTTGTATTGATTTTCAAGTGCTTTTGATTAAGCTTCAACTGCTTCCTGCTTACCCCATTGACTGCATTGACTGCATTGACTCCATTTGACCCCGTTGACCCCATTGACCCCATTGACCCCATTGACCCCGTTGACTGGCAGGTACTTCCAGACGAATCTGCGCATGATGAAGGAGAATGCCACGGCCCACAAGGAGTCCGTGCAGGGCGTCAGGTATGTGCGTTCTTCCCTTATAGGGCGTCTGGCGTCTGGTACTTTCTTGCCTTCCTTTTACAGCTCCAGGTATTTCGATCGGACCAATCTGCGCATGATGAAAGGAGAATGCCCGCCACCGCGCCGCGCACAAGTTTTGAGGCGCCTCAAAAACCAATCTCCGGAGTCACTTTTGAGAATTCTCAAAAGTTTTGAGGCGCCTCAAAAACCAATCTCCGCATGGTGAAGCGGAATGCCTGCCACCGCGCCGCGCACAAGGAGTCTGTGCAGGGCGTCTGGTACTTTCTTCTCTCCTTTCAGAAAGCCAGTCAGGTATTGTCGTTTCTGTCAAGTGCCACTGCTGTGTCCTGAATGTCTTTTTTGGTTGTCCTAGTTAGTCAGCTTATCTCTGCCCCCTCGCTCTCTACTCTCTTCCCTGCCACCTCACCTACCCCAGCTTTTCAAGCTCAGACCTCAAGTTCTGCTCATGCTCTGACGACACGGCGGTGAAGGTGTGGTACTTCACCCACCCATGTCTGCCACTCTTTCACCCACCTGTCCCCCTCTTTGCCTCCCTTCCTGCCACCCACCCCACCTGATCCAGCTTTTCAAGCTCCGATCTCAAGTTCTGCTCATGCTCTGACGACACGGCGGTCAAGGTGTGGGACTTTGCGCGCTGCCAGGACGAGGTCACCCTCGCAGGCCACCGCTGGAATGTGCTGTGTGTGGACTGGCACCCCTTGAACTCCCTCATCGTCTCAGGTACGCCTGCTCCGTGCCTCTCCGGTAAGGCTGCTCTGCCTGCCTTCCTTATCCACGCACACATGGTGCATTGCACACATGGTGCATTGCACACATGGTGCATTGCACACATGGTGCATTGCACACATGGTGCATTGCACACAGAAGGCCACCGCTGGAACGTGCTGTGCGTCGACTGGCACCCCTTCCTTCCACTCCCTCATCGTCTCGGGTACGTCCACATCCCTCCCCTCCCTACCTACCAACTTGTGAGTCGACTCAAAAGTCAGCCGCCTTCAACTCCCTCATCGTCTCGGGTGCGTTCACATCCTTGCCCTCCCCCACCGGTCTCCACCCTGCCTGCTGCTATCAAAGCGTGACTGCTAGTGGTGGAACGTTCTGTCTGCTTACTGCCTGCCATCCCACCCCACCCCTCCAACTCAGGTGACTTTTGAGTCGACTCAAAGGTCACTTTTGTCTGCTTACTGCCATCCCATCCCACCCCTCCAACTCCCTTGTCATCTTAGGCACTTCTCCATTTCTTCCTCAACATGCCCTCATCTTCACATGCAATTCTCTCCCCATCCAATCCGCGTGATTGAAGAAGGGTTTTGAGATCAAAACCCTTCTTCAATCACGTGGCATCTCAAAACCCTTCTTCAATCACGTGGCATTTCTCCTTCAACATGCCCTCATCTTCGCATGCAATTCTCTCCCCATCCAATCCGTTTGCTGATCAGTTCCCTCCTTCTGGCATTCTTCCTGGTCTTGACAGCCGCTCTCCGCTCCCCCCCATGCTGCCCCCCTGTCAGGCGGCAAGGACACGCACTCGAAGCTCTGGGATGCGCGCACGGGACGCGAGGTGTGCACCCTGTGAGTCTGGCGCTGTGATTGTGCTACGCTCCCTCCACCGTGCACCATGCGCCATGCCCCATGCGCCATGCCCCATGCACCCATGCCCCATGCGCCATGCCCCATGCGCCCATGCCCCATGCACCATGCACCATGCACTATACACCATACAGAATGCGCATTGCTCATCTCGCAGCATCCACCACCCACCACGCACCACCTCTCAACGACCTCACCGCCCTCTCCACTCTCCACTTACCACGCACCACCTCTCAATCACCTCATCGCCCTCTCCACTCTCCACTTACCATGCACCACCTCTTAATGACCTCACCACCCTCTCCACTCTCCACTTACCACACACCACCTCTCAATCACCTCACCACCCTCTCCACTCTCCACTTACCATGCACCAACTCCCACCCACCACCCTCCCTCACCAGGTACGGGCACAAGCGCACCATGCGGTCAGTGGCATGGAACTAGAACGGCAACTGGCTCGCATCATCACCGACCACCCACCACCACCCCACCCCTCACCCATCTCTCACCACCTCTCACCACCTCTCACCACCTCTCACCCACCTCTCACCCACCTCTCATCTCACCCGCCCGTTACCAGGTACGGGCACAAGCGCACGGTGCGGTCAGTGGCATGGAACCAGAACGGCAACTGGCTTGCATCATCCTCCGATGACCAGCTCGTGAAGGTGAGCGTGCTCCTTTTAAGTCGACTCAAGAAGTCGACACAAAAAATTGGAACCAAAAAGTCGACTCTGAAGTCCTTTAACAATCAGCTCGTGATGGCACATCCCCCTTGCCTCCCTCTTCCCCCACCGCCCTTCCCCAGCTGTACGACATTCGCACGCTCAAGGAAATGGAGACGTTCAAGGGGCACTGCAATGTGTTGTCAACCTCACCCCACCCCACCCCACCCCACCGAACCCAACCGCCCTTCCCCAGCTGTACGACATTCGCACGCTCAAGGAAATGGAGACGTTCAAGGGGCACTGCAATGTGTTGTCAACCTCACCCCACCCCACCCCACCCCACCGAACCCAACCGCCCTTCCCCAGCTGTACGACATTCGCACTCTCAAGGAAATGGAGACGTTCAAGGGGCACTGCAATGTGTTGTCAACCTCACCCCACCCCACCCCACCGCACCCAACCGCCCTTCCCCCCAGCTGTACGACATCCGCACGCTCAAGGAAATGGAGACGTTCAAGGGGCACTGCAATGTGTTGTCAACCTCACCCCACCCCACCCCACCGCACCCAACTGCCCTTCCCCCCAGCTGTACGACATCCGCACGCTCAAGGAAATGGAGACGTTCAAGGGGCACTGCAATGTGTTGTCAACCTCACCCCACCCCACCCCACCGCACCCAACCGCCCTTCCCCCCAGCTGTACGACATCCGCACGCTCAAGGAAATGGAGACGTTCAAGGGGCACTGCAATGTGTTGTCAACCTCACCCCACCCCACCCCACCCCACCGAACCCAACCGCCCTTCCCCAGCTGTACGACATTCGCACGCTCAAGGAAATGGAGACGTTCAAGGGGCACTGCAATGTGTTGTCAACCTCACCCCACCCCACCCCACCCCACCGAACCCAACCGCCCTTCCCCAGCTGTACGACATTCGCACTCTCAAGGAAATGGAGACGTTCAAGGGGCACTGCAATGTGTTGTCAACCTCACCCCACCCCACCCCACCGCACCCAACCGCCCTTCCCCCCAGCTGTACGACATCCGCACGCTCAAGGAAATGGAGACGTTCAAGGGGCACTGCAATGTGTTGTCAACCTCACCCCACCCCACCCCACCGCACCCAACCGCCCTTCCCCCCAGCTGTACGACATCCGCACGCTCAAGGAAATGGAGACGTTCAAGGGGCACTGCAATGTGTTGTCAACCTCACCCCACCCCACCCCACCGCACCCAACCGCCCTTCCCCCCAGCTGTACGACATCCGCACGCTCAAGGAAATGGAGACGTTCAAGGGGCACTGCAATGTGTTGTCAACCTCACCCCACCCCACCCCACCGCACCCAACCGCCCTTCCCCCCAGCTGTACGACATCCGCACGCTCAAGGAAATGGAGACGTTCAAGGGGCACTGCAATGTGTTGTCAACCTCACCCCACCCCACCCCACCCCACCGAACCCAACCGCCCTTCCCCAGCTGTACGACATTCGCACGCTCAAGGAAATGGAGACGTTCAAGGGGCACTGCAATGTGTTGTCAACCTCACCCCACCCCACCCCACCCCACCCCACCGAACCCAACCGCCCTTCCCCAGCTGTACGACATTCGCACTCTCAAGGAAATGGAGACGTTCAAGGGGCACTGCAATGTGTTGTCAACCTCACCCCACCCCACCCCACCGCACCCAACCGCCCTTCCCCCCAGCTGTACGACATCCGCACGCTCAAGGAAATGGAGACGTTCAAGGGGCACTGCAATGTGTTGTCAACCTCACCCCACCCCACCCCACCGCACCCAACCGCCCTTCCCCCCAGCTGTACGACATCCGCACGCTCAAGGAAATGGAGACGTTCAAGGGGCACTGCAATGTGTTGTCAACCTCACCCCACCCCACCCCACCGCACCCAACCGCCCTTCCCCCCAGCTGTACGACATCCGCACGCTCAAGGAAATGGAGACGTTCAAGGGGCACTGCAATGTGTTGTCAACCTCACCCCACCCCACCCCACCGCACCCAACCGCCCTTCCCCCCAGCTGTACGACATCCGCACGCTCAAGGAAATGGAGACGTTCAAGGGGCATACGAAGGAAGTCTCATCCATAGCATGGCATCCCGTGCACGAGGACCTGCTCGCCAGTGGCGGCTCCGATGGCAGCATCCTCTTCTGGCTCGTGGGGTGGGTGCGGTGGGGAGCATGGGTGCAGCATGGGGTGGTGTTAGTACAATAGGATGTGAGCATACAGAGGCACTAAAGGGGCACACTAAGGAGGTGGCTTCCATAGCATGGCATCCCGTGCGCGAGGACCTGCTGGCCAGTGGCGGCTCTGACGGCAGCATTCTCTTCTGGCTCGTGGGGTGAGCTGGGAGTGGGGGACTGGTTGGGGACTGGTTGGGGCATGGGTGGGTCGTGGGTGGGGCATGGGTGGGGCATGGGTGGGGCATGGGTGTCGCATGGGTGGGGCATGGGTGTCGCATGGGTGGGGCATGGCATGGTGGGGCATGGGTGGGGCATGGGGTGCCACTAGTACTGTAGGATGTGAGCACATGGGGGCGTGCAAGGGGAGAACAAAGGAGGACGCAGAGATGACAGGGGCGCATGAGAACGAGGTGCTGTGGCTGGCATGGCACCCGCCGGGGCACACATGAGCTCACTCAGAGTTGAAACTCGTAGGTTTCGAAAGGCAGCAAGCCTACTGAGAGTAGCGATCTATAGCACTAGTCTACTAATCTGAAAAGAGAGGGAAGTAGTAAGAGGTGCTGTGGCTGGCATGGGACCCACCGGGGCACACATGAGCTGGCTCAAAAGCCCCTACCCTCCCTTTGTAACTAGGTGACTTTAGAGTCGACTCAAAAGTCACCTCGACTCAAAAATCACCCCGCCGGGGCACACATGAGCTGGCTCAAAATCCCCTACCCTCCCTTTGTAACTAAGTGACTTTAGAGTCGACTCAAAAGTCACCTCGACTCAAAAATCACCCCGCCGGGGCTCACATGAGCTGGCTCAAAAGCCCCTACCCTCCCTTTGTAACTAGGTGACTTTAGAGTCGACTCAAAAGTCACCTCGACTCAAAAATCACCCCGCCGGGGCTCACATGAGCTGGCTCAAAAGCCCCTACCCTCCCTTTCCTTGCCCCCTCCAACCTCCCAGTTCGAACACAAGCGGGCCGGCAGCAGAGGTGACAAACGCACACGAGAATGCAGTGCTGTCGCTGGCATGGCACCCGCTGGGGCACACGCTGTGCAGCGGCAGTCGTGACCAGAGCACCAAATTCTGGAGCCGCAACCGGCCTGGCGATGCTGTGAAGGACCCCATGGGATCAGTCAACACTGCTTCCCCTGCTGCTGCTGCCGCCGCCACTCCCGGTTATGCTGGTGAGTGTGAGGAGTGTGAGTGAGTGTGGGTGTGATTGCAAGTGAGTGGTATCGAGTGTGTGGGTGTCAGTGAGTGTGATTTTAGGGGGGGTCCAGCGCGTTCGTTTTCCGTACATTACAGTTCATCCAGTACGGTAATCTGTACTGCGTCACGGTTCAAAACGGTGCAATTTTAAAACCGCTGTGCACCGTTTGATATCGTTTCAAACCACGACGAATGAACTGTATAGTACCCGTAAACGTACGCGCTGGACCCGCCCTTAAGTGGGAGTAAGTGTCAGTGAGTGTGATTGTTTTTGGGAGTGAGTGTGAGCTTGTGAGCTAGTGCGAGTGTGCATGAGTGTGAGTTTCGCCCCCCCGCCCTTTCCCCCCGTTTTTTTGACAAAGCAGGACCCCCTCCTGCTAAGGAGCCAGCCCCCTCAGCACCACGGCCTGCCTCTGCCCCTCCCTCGTCTGGTTCACGCCACCCGCCACGCCCACAGCAGCAGCAGCAGCAGCGGCGGCACCAGCACTCCCAGTCTCACAGCACCCAGCCCTTCCCTCCTTCCGACAGACGCCCCTCCTACCAGCAGCAGCAGCAGTTTCAGGAGCAATACCAGCAGCCATACCAGCAGCAGGGCCAGCAGTACCAGCAGCATCAGCAGCGGCAGTTCCACCACCCTCATGCCTCACACTCCCTCTCCTCCTCCGGCCCTCCTCCTTCCCTCCCTCCCCACGCGCCTCCCCCTCCTCATGCTCACTCCATGCCACCACTCCATGGGCACCCACCAAACATTCCGCCAGGCCCGGGAAGCGCCGGGCCTGGAGGCTTGGCACATCCAGGCATGGGAGGAGGTGGGGGGCCAGGTGGGGGTTATTCTGGGCAGGGCAGTTTTGAGGGAGGGGGTAGGCCAGGCCCCTTGGGTGGGATGGGTGGAGGGATGGGTTATGGGATGGACGTGGGGATGGGTGGGGAAGGGGGTATGGGCAGACCAGGGTATGGGCCTGGGGGGGATATGGGTCTTGGTGGCTTAGGGGATGGTTTTCATGGGGGTGGTGGGGGTCTCATGGGGCAGTTTGGTCATGGGCAATATGGAGGCCAGGGGATGGGCCATGGACCCCCTCCACCACAACCACCGCCTCCCTACCAGCAACGATATCCTTGAGAATGTTATAATCAATTAATTTGATTTTGAAGACATGCTCAAATCAAAAGCCCAGTTTGCATATTGCATTCAGGGCCAACAGTAGCAGGCAACCCAGTGAGGCTCCAATGTGGGGTTACATTCAGTATTTGGGCAGTGCATAACCCATGATGGAAGGAGTGCATGTCAAGAGTATCTTTATCGATGAGACATCAGTGCTCTGTTCTGTGGCCAACTGAGACAGTTCTTTATTGACATTGAGCAGCACCAAGCAAAGAGAAATTGCTTGGGCCACAAGACTGACAGGCACTTCTCCCTACAAAAAGCAAACATAGCAAAACAATGAAGCAGATCCTCAGCCATTTGGATCAATGCAATGCCACAGCTTGAGTGGCACAATGCAGGACAACTGTCACATGCAGAAAGCAGGCACGAGGATCAAATTCCCTCACTGCAACTTCCAAGTATCATCATCCTCATTCCCACTTTGCTCCGACCACGGACTAGAACCATCTGGCTTCTCATCTTGAGGTCGAGCCAAAGAAAGCATTCTCCACATCTCTTCCACTGGCAGAGACATTGCTGCAACTGCTTCATCCGCCCTCACCAACCACCACCCTGCTCGAATTTCAGCTTCCAGCTGCCCAGGCTGCCAGCCTGCCCGGCCAACTAAAACGTAATTCGTGGAATTCGATTCCAGCTCAATGTGCGTCCGACCTAGAAAGCACCGAACATTGACCGTCGGATCTGAAATTTCAGGTTTCTGTTCCCTGGGAAGCATCTTTATGGAGGGTAGGTCGGAGCCTATGATCAGGCCTGGCAGGACTTGGCGCGACCAGCCTCCATCAGGGCTGCGAGCATGACTGAGCTTTGCACAGGAGCAACGGCAGCATATCCGTCTTGCTCGCGCTGGCATGGCGCAGCATGGACAGCGTTCAAGCAACAGCCAGTCAGACTGCCCGATTGGCCCTCCCCACGCAAGGTTGAGCTGGTTCTTGGCTAAGGATCGTTGGACGGATTTAGGAAGGTCCAAGAGGTGTGATCCTATTTCATCATCCTGCACAACATTTAGGAGTCTTAGGTAAAACCAATGCATCACGAAGGGTGCAACGAAGTAAATGAATGGGACGCACCTGCATGGGCTTGTTTATAACAATGCCACTTATTCCAACTGACGGATGGTAGTCGTACAACAGCACCTGCATTCATTTCGGTTAACGCAGACAGAAGCTAGTGAAAAAGGCGGAACTCAAGTGAATAGTAACACGAAGAACCAAGACAACTAGGAGATCGTACCACTGATTGATAAAAGATGGAGGCTGCCATTGGCATAGAGGGAGAGGCAACCAAAAGCATTCCAGGATGTACTGAAACGGATGCGCCTTCACGCCAGAGTGTTCTGATGGTAGTAGCATAGGGAGAACAAATAACATGGCATTGTTATCACCGCGCGTTCGTTATTGCTATCAGAAGGGCCGCTTGGATTTCATAGCATCTGTGCAGCGGCTTCATTTCAGCAGAGTCGAGTGTCATCTTATCATGCCGCTCGGTCGAGATTGTAATCAGTAACTGTTTCTTTGGCCTTGCTTTATTTTATCCTGCTTATCAACGAACCTGGAAATGGTGTGAAGTAGAGAGTGGAGCTGGAAAATGAGTGTGGCGAACTCCATGTGAAACACCAACAAGACGTAACAGGTAACCTGCACGATGACAATGGGTGTCAGGCGCAATGTAAAGCTTCTTAATTATTTTTGCAAAAGCTCAGCCAGAAGTTAGCATCATAAACCTGAGGCTTACCAGGAATACGAAGAAGCCAGTGAGTTCGCGCGAGTAGAACTCGATCAGGCGAAGCAGTCTGAGACCTATTGATAAACGGGGAGGCGCTACCGAGAAGCGTTGTGTGCAGACGGAACATCTGTACAATTGCAAGTGGACATGACAAGAGTATCGGAAAAACGAGAATTATACAGCGCACAACAAAGACACGCAACGGCATGGCTCAGCTAGCATAATAGAAAACCGAGTTAAGGCCACTCACACAAGCGCCGGAGTGTAGTTGGTTCCAGGATGCCGAGACGCCATCACAGCCCATTGCCATCTTCTTAAACACGCAAGATGCACATACGCTTGAGTGCCTGCATGAGCGGTTGTATGTTAACACAACGAGGTGATAATCGTGCAACATTGAAGATTAAGCAGCTTCGATACGCTTTCAACTATTAGAGGACGTGAATAGCATAACAAGGAATCATTTTCGTATCCCTGAATCTTTTACGACGATCACGGCATCAACATCTCGTCAACCTCGAGTCAGGACCTCGACCAGGGATCACAATGAACAGACTTCACCGCCTTGCGGAAACCCGGTCCCTATTACGTAAGCTATTCAGAATCAAACGACCTCATGGCTTTCTCATAACTCCTTTCGCTGATGCTCACAACAGGACGCTTGGGTTAGAAAAATACCAGTGCAGGCACATGGCGAAATCAGGCTGTCGTCAGACGACGATAAACCGCAGTTGAATATCGCTGAAAGGCCCGTCTCTTGACGCGTTGGTAACGGACTACTCTCTAAGCATATTCTACAAAAACCTAATTGCTCTCCGTTGCTATCCCCTTTTCCCTTGCTACTAGATTCCATGTCTGCTCGACACCATCAACAGGCGAAGCTGCCAACAGGAAAGCCAAAACAACGTCACAACATTTTCCGGAAAATAGAAGCTCGGGTAAATAGCACTTGTCTCGGAAGGTCCGACTGTGGAAATGGCGCCTAGTTGTGATGCTAGGAACGTCAATACCAAGGGTGTTCAGGAATTGAAGCTGTTTTTCATCAGTGAGCTACCTATGCTGGTCAACCCAAGCTGTCGGCCTCACGGTAGAGGGGAATTGGGTGGGATGGGGGAAGAAGTTGGGTTGCACATGTACGAACGAAATGCTTGCCAAGCTGTTACCCCCACCAAAAGACACCTCCTGTGTACGAGATGACGAAGAATGACGATAATTCGCTGACTGACTTATCGAAGCTCTTCGCCTGGCGTTCAGTCCAGCCAATCAATGGACAGCAAGGTTTGGCCCTGGGGATGACCAAGGCCGCACCACTGCGGCATGGATGGAGAAGTTGCGCTTGCTCGCACTGGTGAATGCAGCGGCACCGCGTGTTCGATATGTGAGCGGGGCAAGGCTGGTTGACTCTATTTTCGTGCCACGCAATAGCCAATCGAAAGCGAGCCTCGCCCCTCGCTTGCTTGTGGCGAGAGTCTACACCGAACCGCGGCGGCGCCAATCGAGGTGTGGGTTCCAAGGGGGAGAAGAACGTGGCCTGAATAGGTAATATCGATGGCACCGTTTTTAGGCTTGGCTACTTTCCTCGACAGTTTTGACGCTACGCACTCCTTGGGCAAGGACCTTATACGTGTAGAACCAGCCGCGACTGACTCGACACTCTGCATCAGTTTCATTATTCTGAACAGGTAACTGCTGATTGTTGTACGTATAATGTTTTCAGTAGTGTCATATCTTGTTGTACAAATTTTCCATGCATAATATCAGAGAGTTCTGCTGTGAAGAGAACTTCTAAAAAAATGTATGATCTGCACACGTGATTCGCCTCTCAGATGTACAACACTCTGTATCAAGCATACCACCCGAGCTTTCTCCTTTTATACCACAAATTGCTTACTCTATCAGGTTTCTATGTTTAAGACCTTTGGGGTAAGTAAGAAGCAACATACAAATCGTACTGATAACAGCATGCAGAAGAGCACCTCGTGACAAGTTCCATATGCAATATTCAAGAACACGCTTCTCTCCTCTTTCAAGACCCAAACAAAAATCACCCACACCACCTTTGTACATGACACATCCTGGCCTAGGCAGCAGCATCTGAGGGTTTCCCAGCAAGGATAAGTGAGATCTCGAGGCCTCTGGAGAAGGCCTGGTTGAAGACAAGGCGGGTCTGGAAGGTGGAGAAAAAGGGGAACCAGGAGAGCACTGCGACTGGCAGGAAGATCATTCCCCCCATGATTGCATCGTACACCCGCGCCAGGGTGCGCACCTGCCTCCACCACCACAGCCGCTTGTTGTGCACAGGTCGCAGCGCTATAATCACCTGCCGTACAGTCACAATCCAGATGCGGACGGAGGTGAGATAGGAGGTACAGGCGAACATGAGTGGGAGGAATTGGAGTAGGAAGGTGGGGGAAAAGAAGGAGCGGGGGAGGGTGCCGAAGGGGGGGGGATGGTCAGGAGGGGAGGAGGGCGATGCAAGAATGGGAAGGGGAGGAAGAAAATAACGAGGGGAGCACTAAGATGATGGAAGACTGAGGGAGGGCACGATGGTGTAACACAGGAAGAACATATACCTGCAGGAGGCCCCAGCCGGTGAGGGGGATGAAGAGGAAGATGATGGAGCAGAGGTCGCCAAAGGTGAGCGAGGTGACGGTGACACACACGGCAATGCTGGTCACGAAGAGCACTGCCACTGTGATCTGCAGCAGCCGGATGGGTAGCTGCGCCTCCCACGCGCGCGAGAAGTTGAACACCTGGTGAGTGGGCGAGGGGGAGAAGAAGGCGGGGCGGAAGAGGATTGAGGGCGAGGGAGAGGGAAGCGAGGGGGGGGAAGAGTGAGGGGGATGGTTATGGATAGACAGAAAAGCAGCGAGCTTTTTGCAAGGGCTTAAGCTGTGGTTGAGATGGATGAACGACTGAAGCGAGAGCAAGGGGCGATAAGACAGGGCGAAGGCACCACGAGATGCGGCAAATCAGCTGCGGCGATGCAGCGAGGGAAACCCACTCGCTTCTCTGTTGACTCACCCAGAAGACAAGAGCGACGACGACAAAGATGATCCAGGCATACGCATACACCTGGGAGCAGGCAGTAAGGGGAAAGTGGTGAGGAGAACAGAAAGAGAAAGGCACAAGGATGGTACAATGAGTGAGGAGGAGGGGGGCTGGCAGTGGGTACAATCAGATGATTGTGACGTGGTCATCTTTGGTGGCGATGGTATGCCTTAAACTCGCGAAACATGCGTCTTGTGTGACAGTATGAACTGTGACTGTCAGCAGTGTGACAGTACGTGTGGATGGCAGTCCACAGTGGGATGGGACTACATCAGGCCAGATGGCACACAGCACGAGGGCACTCATGAGGATGCTGGTGTTGTCCTGAGCTGAGCGACGTTGAGCTGGTAGGCGAGGCCATGGGGCACGAAGAACAAGCGTGGCGACTAAAGATTCAACCTAGAAAGTCAGATTTCATTGCGAGTCGACGAAAACTCACGAGGATACTGGTGTTTCCCTGGGCGACGTTGAGCTGGTACACGATGCCGTAGGGCACAAAGAAGAGTGGCGACTATTGCGCCAATTTAGAGCAAGAATTCATAAACGGGCCCAGAACTCACGAGGATGCTGGTGTTGCCCTGAGCCACGTTGAGCTGGTAGACAATGCCGTAGGGTACAAAGAAGAAGCGAAGGTTGAGCACCACCTGGATGATGCGACTGCGGATGCTGCGCACGTGCTCCTGCCAGCACCAAGGGCAAGATGGGCGGTATGGGCAGACACAGATGGGAGGGCTTAGCCAAAGGAGCACGTGTAAGCGTTGAGGGGAGAAGCGTGTGGAGGCTTAGGAAGAGGACCAGATGAAGGCATGGCATGTCTGATGGATGCACGTGGCAGAAACATGCACAGGTGCAAGCACGAGCACGGCAGAGCAGCAAGTGCGTAGAGGGGCTAGCATGCACGCAGTTTGTGTGAGAGTCCGGAGGAGATTTAAAAGAATCTCCTGTCAATGAGCGGAATGGCTTCCCTGTCTCCATGTCCCACCACGACTCACCGTCTCCTCTTCCCACCACGACTCCCAGCTCTGCTCGCCCTTCACTCCCACACCACCCTTGTACCACAGCCACTCCACCCAGTCCTCAAAATCCGCCACCGTCCTGCCACGGTCAAACCACAGCGGCACAGCAGGAACGGGAAAGGAAGATATGAGTAGGACGAAAGCGGAACAATTTTTTCACACTAAAGCGGAAAAGAGTGAGGAAGGAAAAACGGATGATGAGGAAACGTTGCAAGCGGTAGCTACTTTTGCCATTCGAAGCCGGCGGGGTTGAAGATGTAGGGCGCGTAGCACCAGGAGAGAGCCAGGAACCAGGAAGACACGGTGATGAGCAGATAGACCAGGCTGGAGCTGCTGCCCCCGTACAGCATGTACACTGTCAGCAGCATTATGGCCTCTATGCTGGGCGGGGAGGGGAACACATCACGAGCATAAATGAACATAAGGGAGAGGGGCAGGGTAAGGGGGATGAGGGTGGAGTAGCTGCTACCTCAGCACAGCATGTATACTGCCAGCAGCATATGCTGCTGATATTGCCGGGGGCGGTGGACAGAGAAAGACAAGAGTGAGAAGAAGATGGAGCGACTGCCCCCATACAGCAGGTGTACACCATCAGCACCCCCATCCCTTTTTCCTCGCTCCCCTTGTATTTTCAGAACCATTTATGAAGTATGAGCGCGAGTAGAGGCAGCAGCTGTCAGCAAACTAGATGTGGCACGCAATAGAAAGCGCCCTCGTGTTACACACCCGTATGTGAAGTGCGAGCGTGAGTAGAGGCGGTAGTTATCAGCGAACTTGATATGGCGAACGACGAAGCCTCTGCCAGTGGCGCGGTACTTGGCCCCGCCGTGCAGCAGCGTGCGCAGGAAGTAGTGCGCTCGCGTGCCCAGGGAGAAGGTGAAGAAGACGGACGCCAGCTGCAGCTGCATCGTTATGAAACTCACCACCGCCTGGTGGGTGGATGTGGGAGAGGGCAGGGGGGAAGAGGGTAGGGAAGAGGGGTTAGGGAAGAGGGGTTTGGGAAAATGGGTGGGAGGAAAGGGCCACTTTCAGGAAACCCTGTTGATTGCGCCACATCAAGGCACTCACTCCCAGGAAGCCCTGTTCGAGGATGAAGAGTCCAACGAAGCAGAAGATTAGATTTCAATACCTGTGTAAGATAGCTTTTGGAATCCCTGTGTGCTACGCATCCAACATGCCTTCTAGACTCACCCTTAGAAAGCCCTGTTCGAGGATGAATCCCATGATCATGGGCACAGCGGTGAAGAATCCCGCTTGGATGAGGAACTGCGTGTTGATGGCTGACCCAAACCTTCACCCACAGGCACATAGACTCCCCAACCTGCTCACCCTTAGAACGCCTGCAGGAGCCTCATTGCAGGAGCCTCATTGCAGTGTATGTTTTTTGAGAATTCTCAAAAAGGAGCCTCATTGCAGTGCACTCACCCGCAGGAAGCCCTGTTCGAGGATGAAGCCCATGATCATGGGTACGGCGGTGAAGAATCCCGCTTGGATGAGGAACTGCGTGTTGATGGCTGACTCCAGCGCCAGGTTCGCCACACTCTCACTCTGCGACGAGAGAGTTGCACCCACTCCTGATAGACTCTGTGGGAGGGCGGGTCGTCACACACACACATCGAAGCAGCATGCAGAAGGGATTGATAAAGAGATGAGAGATAGAGCTGACCCCATGCGTACGCAGGAGAGGCAACAAGCCACACATGCCATGCAAATTCATGAGGGGTTTAGTGGGGGAAGATAGTAGACTGTTGTGCCTAAAAACGGGAGCTTTGATGCATGTCCAGGTGTCATGGAGAAACAGCAGCAAAGACCAAAGAAGCACAGGAGGGATTCAGGGGAAGCTTGTGGGCTCTTGGGCCGGTTCTCTTGCGAGGTGATGTATGCATGCAGAAGTGGAGAGTAGGGGATGGTGGCGTGGCTTACCAGGTAAACTCTTCCGTAGAGGAACAAGAAGGCACAGAAGGAAGTGAGCTGCAGTGGAGGGGTAGGAGATGTGTGGGCGGGGAAAACATGCAGAGAGGGAGGTGTGGCTTGAAGAGTGGGCTGACTGACATGATGTGGTGGGCAAACGGCACGGATAGATGGAGGTGAAGAAAACGAATTTTGCAACGGCTGGAGGCAAAAAAAACAAAGCTTCTGGAAGCGGCTTATGGTGGTCTGGTATGGTAGCTTACAGCGGTGCAGAGGAAGAAGCCAACAGAGGTGAAGTAGAAGGAGAGGAGGCGGTAGAAGTCAAAGAGCTGACCCAACCGACAGATGTCTCGTGATAACACCTGCACGTGTGAAGGAGCAGACACACAGAGAGACAGATAACACATACATGCACAGACACAGAGACAAAGACACACATACATACATGGCCAGTCATGCATACACACACACGCATGTGCACATGCATTCTCTCCTCTCCCGTACACGCACAATCATGCGCAAACATGCACGCACACAAAGAGTTGCTGCGTTGTGAGTGCACTTTAAAAGGTCCTTGTTTTGAAACAAAGTGAGGAGAGAAAAATGCTTCTGCCACCTCATGCTTTCTGCTGCGTCAAGGCACACACAAGCAAGTGACACAACAAACACACATGCCGGTGAGGTGGGCACACACGCACCTGCTCTCCATTGCCACTGGCGACCTTGGCCTCAAAGAGAGCGATCTGGTTGAGCCCCACGTCTCGCCCCTTGCCCACCTGGCACGCACACACAGACATGGATGGATGGAGGGAGGTACAGATGAGGAGAAGCCAGAGGCGAAGCCAGAGAGAGAGTTTGGTGGCATACGCAGTTATGCAGAGAGAAGGCGTCGCAGAGCAGTTTGACAGTGAAACGATGATATCCTTGAGTGGTTTCGGCTTAGAAGCACTATTATCCTTGAGTTTTTCAAGTGGTCATAGCATCATTGTGGGCTTCGCAGTCTGACAGGTGATGCACGGCATAGGATGGCACGACAGAATCCAAAGCAGCAGCACTTGAAGGGCTCACTTGTATGTACTCGTGGTGGGTCACGTTGCCTTGTCTCAGCGTGGTGTTAAAGCCTGGTGAGGGCGGATAGGGAACGTGGAGAAGTGACGGGAGGAAATGAAGTGAAGGTAGACAAGAGTAGGGCAGTCAAGAATGAAAAACAACGAAGAACACTAGGCGATGGTTTCAGGAGAAAGCACCTCCACCCACCACCTGGCACCCTGAACCAGCACGCGTGATGCTGCCGTGCGTGATATGGAAGAGACTAGAGTAGCATAGCAGCAGCAACAGCAGCAGAAGCTACACATGGCTACTCATATGGTAACCTGACTACTCATGGCGTACCAGCAAAGATGTCTTCACTGATGTTGATGGTCTTGGACGCCTTGCTCATGCCGCCACGTGTGATGTGGAAGAGACGGTCAAACACGTCTGGATGCCCGTAGTGCATGCGCACCCTGCGGAGGCAGAGGAAAGGGCAGGGCAGAGGGCGGAGGGCAGAGGGCGGAGGGCAGGGGGGAGGGCGCAGGTAGGAGCAGAAGGGAGGGTGGAGGGGAGGGCGAAGAGCGAAACGGGTTACGACTTCCCCTTGGGGCTACGAGACCCTTCCAGAAACATCCGTGATCCTGTCACGCAGACTACAAAGCACACTGAGATAGACGAGGGATGCATAATAGTAATAATGTAAAGACAGCATCGTGTGATGTTGTTCGGCATGTGGATGCCTCACATGCTCAATGGCTAAACGTTGCACTTACTTGCATCCTAGCTAGTGGTGGCATTGGCAACTAAGCATGACACTTACTTGAGAGGAATGGCAAGGAAGCGCTGGCCGAGGGTGACGAAGCTGGTCTCCTGGTTGGACATGAACCATGCCAATGAAGACACACTGTGCACGGGGAAGGGGTCAAGGAAAACACGCCAGTGAAGATTTGAGTCGACTCAAAACGAGGGTGACGAAGCTGGTCTCCTGGTTGGACATGAACCATGCCAATGAAGACACACTGTGCACAAGAGGGAGGAGTGAAGGAAGGCAAGGTGGGGGGGGTACAGTACAGTATCTCAAAGACACAGGGAAACGTCCAAAATATCCAAGGCACCAAACAATATGACAAGATGCCTCAAAGCTCAAGGTACATGGGGAAAGCTACAGGGTTGACAAGGCGGGGTTTGACAGAAGCGCGTGCTCATTCCTGTATATTTCCCAACAAGCTTCGCCTGTCACCCACCTGCCGGTGAAGATGTGCTCTCTGACACCAAGAATCGACGGCTTCCTGAGCCCGTGCTTCTTCGCTAACTCCCAACACCCACTTACCAAACCAAAACTACTCACAGTTACCCTCACCCACCTGCCGGTGAAGATGTGCTCTCTAACGCCGAGAATCGACGGCGTCCTGAGCCCGTGCTTCTTGGCAAGCTCCTGCAGCAGATTCCGCATCTTGAGCGTCTCCTCAAAGTAGTTGTCCTGGTTCATGTCGATCGTCTGCAGCGCCTCTCCAGTCGCCACGCGTGGAGATGACGGCATGGTTCTGGCTTGGTTCACCGGCTTCCCTCTTTTCACCACCTCTATACAAAACAGCACGCGCTCACCCACCGTATGAGATGTGCAATCCCCTCACGGTCACCCACCTGCCGGTGAAAATGTGCTCTCTGACGCCGAGGATCGATGGCTTCCTGAGCCCGTGCTTTTTGGCAAACTCCTGCAGCAGGTTGCGCATCTTGAGCGTCTCCTCAAAGTAGTTGTCCTGGTTCATGTCGATCGTTTGCAGCGCCTCCCCGCGCGTGAAGATGATGGCGTGGTTCTGGTTCTCCGGCTTGCCCTCGCCCAGCTTCGCCGGTCCCGGCAGCTTCACCTTGTAGATGTCCTGCTCGCTGCCGAACGTGTCCACCTTTACCAGCCGTGAAAAGTACTCCGTCTTCGGGCGAGCATCGGGGCGACTTGGGTCAGCTGGGAGGGTGACTACCTCGTCGATGTATGCCACTCGCAGAGCCTCGTGCCTGGGTGCAGGTGTTGTCAAGTTAGGAGGGGGGGGTTTCCAGGAAATAGTGAAAAAAGAGGAAGGGGGAGAGCACCTCAGCAATGCGATGCTTCACCTTGTGGATGTCCGCACGGCCTTTTGATATTCCATCCAGTACACTCGTACCACAACATATCAATTTGTTTCCCTCTTCACCCTTCTCGATCACACTCCACTGCACTCCACCCCTTTCCACCGCACTCCACCGCACTCACTCCTTCATGAGGTTGAAGATGTCAGCAGCGCGCTGGTCCTTGTCAGCCTTCTGCTTGCCGTAGATCTGGCACGTCACCACGTACGTGAACTTCACGTCCGCCAGCTCCTTGGGCTCCACCTTCGCCAGATACAGCCTGTCCGCCGGGTCCAATGGGAGCCCGTCCGCTCCCAGCTCCAGGTCTGACGGGCGGAAGAGGGGAGAGGGGGGGAGGAGTAAAAAGCAGAGGAGTGGAAACTGACAAAAGGGAAAACATATGAAGGAGGAATACAATTGATTCCTTTGATGCAAGGGGTGTGCTGGCGTCTGCGACCAACAGCGTCCAGCCTGCACAAGGGGCAACTTGCTTTCCATGTAGCCTAGCAGCCTGAACGCCCTGAGTTAGTGTGGCATCTTCTGCCAGAGCGTAAAAAAGCATAGTTGCAGCCATCTCTAATACCAGTCCTCGGATGTGGCATTTGAGTTGGGGTAGTGCGTGATGCCATGCCATGCCATGCATGGTGCAAGGAACAACCCATCTGTAGCCATCTCTTTCAAGTCTCGCTCACCTGTGGAGTTTGGCGTTTCCATGTAGGCGAGCAGTCGGAGCGCGCGGTGGTAGTACATCATGCCGCGCACGGTGCGGGCGAGGGTCTGGCCGCGGTACGACGCCCACATGCGCAGCTCCTTGATGTCGTCCTTCGCCCTCAGCCGCACCTCCAGCTCCTTCTCGCCCATTCCCACTCGCTGCAGGAAGTTGGCCCACTCGTCTGGAGGAGAGAGGCAGAGGAGGAGAGATGGGGAAGGGGAAAGGGGTGTCTATTAAGGTGCCTCATACGTGGTAATGGGCTCACAGCTGCACCTCCACCTCCTTCTCGCCCATTCCCACGCGCTGCAGGAAGTTGGACCACTCGTCTGAGGGAAGGGTGGTGATTGGGTTTGAAGAGTTGAGATGGAGAGGGACAGAGGAGGAGATGGAGAAGGGGGGAGGCGTGTCTAATGGGGAGGCTCAAACGTGCTTGCATGCTTGCAGAAGCACATCCATCTCCTTCTTGCCCATGCCCACACGCTGCAGGGCACACTCGTCTGGGGGAAGGGGTGGTGATTAGGATGAGGGGTGGCTGAGTGACATCAAGAACAAGGGCGACAGAAGCAGCATGCAGAAGGACGTGCTGCAGTGGGCAGTGGGCAGTTGGAAGCACACGATGGGCCATGCGCAGTGGCAGGCAGTGTGCCCAGTGCGTGCAGGAGCAGAGAAGCTGTCGCAGGCATGTGGAACATGGTCACAAGTGGCAAGAGGCAAGTCTACACAAGTGGCATGTGGCATGTGGCATGTGGGGCATGACAGACGCACCTGGGAAGATCTTCTGGAGGTAGAAGAGGGTGGAGATGCCATCCTCGTTGGGCTTCACCAGCTCTGCCATCGAGTAGGTCACAATCTCGCTGTAGTACGGTGTCATCACACTGGCAGGGGGCAGAGAGAATGGGGTACAGATGGGCAGGGGTGCAGAGGAAAGGGGAGGGGTCAGTGCAGAGCAGGTCACGACCTTGCTGTAGTACGGCCTCAAGGGCACATATAGAAGAGGCACAGCGCCAGCCAGACCAGGAGCTATCAAGCAGTCCCCCAGTCATAACAGACTAAAGGGAGTTGCTTCAATTTGACTCACCAGAAAGGCAGCGTGTCAGCGACTTTGGGGGCATCAGGCATGCGCATGTGCAGCGAGTTGGTGAAGAACTGCAGGCGGCGCCGCGCCTCCAGGTTGTGAGGCACGTCCATGGCCGACTCCTTGATCGTCAGCAGCACGTGCAGCCGCTTCACCCAGCCACCTCAACGCACATACCGGTATTGGAGAGGAAAGAGGCACAGCGCCAGCCAGAACCAGGAGCTACCGAGCAGTCCCCCAGTGGTACCAGGCTAGAGGGAGTTAAATCAACTCAACGCACCAGAAGGGAAGTGTGTCGGCGACTTTGGGGGCGTCAGGCATGCGCATGTGCAGCGAGTTGGTGAAGAACTGCAGGCGGCGCCGCGCCTCCAGGTTGTGAGGCACGTCCATGGCCGACTCCTTGATCGTCAGCAGCAGGTGCAGCCGCTTCACCGCCGCCCGGTTCGCCGGCCATGCCACTGCTGCGAAGAGGCAGTACGACTGGGGCTTGCCTGATACGTCCTCCAGGCTTGCTCTGGGAGGAAAAGGAAAGGTGGTAGGAGGAGATTATTAGGCGCCTCAAAACTCATCACAGGCAGTACGACTGGGGCTTGCCCGATACGTCCTCCAGGCTTGCTCAGGGACGGGAAGGAAAGGAGGCAGGAGGAGATTTTTTAGGCGCCACAAAAAATCGTCACAGGCGGTACGACTGGGGCTTGCTTGATAATGCACCCATGGTTGCTTTGGAAGAAGGACGAAAGGAGGTAGCAGGAGCGAGGCTGGTTGAAGCCGGGAAGGGACAAATAGACTACCTCCCAGCTTCTCATCCCCAATATCCTCACATGGAGTCGATTTGGGACCACAAGAACTACCAAACTGCCCCAACCCGCCATCCTATCAGAATTTCAGGAGAATTTTCAGACTGAAACCCTGAGCCACGCACCGGTGGTTGGGGGAGAGGAAGTCGAACTTGACCGTGTCATAGAGCGCCTGCAGCGCCTGCACTGACTTTAGAGCCTCATCAAAGTGACTTCAACATGGCGCAACCAGCCAGAACGTTTCTAGCCCTAGAACCCCAAAGGTACGCACCGGTGGTCAGGGGAGAGGAAGTCGAACTTGACCGTGTCGTAGAGCGCCTGCAGCGCCTGCACTGCTGCCCGCTGCGTCATCTCGTTCTGGTCCTGGATCTGAATCAGGGGGAGGGCGAGGAGGTGGGGGGACGGAGGGAGAGGCGAGGGAGGAAGAGGGGTGATGGGAGGTGGATAAAAAGAGTAATAAGGGTTTCGGGTTGAGGGTGAGAATGGCAGCAGGAAGCTGAGCAGCATGGCAGTGAGGGATGGGTAGTCGAGGATGACAGGCAGGGCATGCAACAGATTCCGAGTGGGTAACAGGAATCATTGGAACAATGCATCAGGCAGTAGTCAGCAGGGCAGGCAACAATCGACTTGCAGGGCCAGCAGGAACTGACGAGCACGGCAGTGAGCTTGGAGAGGCGGTCGAGGATGACAGGCAGGGCGGAGAAGCGGAAGGTGGTCAGCAGGCTGCCGTTGTTCCCCTCCACCTCCAAATCGTCAAACAGCCGGCTGATGATCCGCGCCTCGTACACCCCACTGCCTGCCTCCTGGGTAGCAGCAGCGGCGGTGCCAGTGGTGGGTGCGGTGCGGCTGGGTTCAACGATGGAGAGCAGGAAGGGGCGCAGGCTCTGGTAGGCCTCGAGCACGGCGCAGCGCATGTACTCGTCGCCTGTCACCTTGCGCCACACGGTTGATTGGGACTCCTTGCGGCCTGACGCCTCTCCGACTGCCAGGAGGATCTGCAGAGGGTGATGGGCACAACATGAGAGAGAGGGAGAGAGAGTGAGTGCAGAGCAGAGCCAGAGCAGTGCGGGAGAGTGAGTGCAGAGCAGCGTGAAAGAGTGAGTTCAGAGCAGCGCAAGAGATTGAGTGCAGAGCAGCGCATGTGCCAAAGGGACGACCTGTCAAAGCAGCACATGCTGTTTCTTGACGGATTTTTGCCACAGTGACAGATGGTAGTTGCTTCCCCTGATGCAGTACCTGATTGGCGAGGAGGAAGAGCGGCCATTGCACCACTGTGACGTTGGAAGGCAGAGCAGGCATGATTAGCAGGTCGTACTCCCTGCACGCACTCACAGAGACCAAGACACAAGGCACAAGTTTGTGCAAGAGACAGTCCGTTTTGGTGTCCTGTTATGGTGGATGAATGGAGGCCACTCATCACAATTTATGAATGCAGGTTGAGCATAGGAGGCAGGCAGCAGCATTAGGAGGAAGCATCACTTTTGAAACGTCTCAGGAGCAAAAGGAAAGTCTGAGGATCAAGAGCAGGCAGTAGGCAGTAGGAGGCAGAAAGCAGCAGGTGCAGCACACCCCCACCCCACCCCACCTGTCGGAGAGGTAGTCCTCCTCTCGCAGCAGGCGGATGATTTCGTTCCACGCGATGGCAAACTTGCACGCCTCCCGTCGTGATGATAGCAGCAGCTCACTGCCGCTCGCCGGTTGCTGCGACCCCAGCGGCTGGAAGCGGGCTGATGAGCGCAGCGATGTGGAGCTGAGCAAGGAGGCGGGGGTGGGGAATGGGCAGTTGGTTGGGGTTCGTGTGTGTGCGTGCGTGTGTGTGTGTGTGTGTGTGTGTGTGTGTGTGTGTGTGTGTGTGTGTGTGTGTGTGGAGTGAGAGCGGCTGGAAGAGAAAAGACGAAGATCATTGATAGCGGCCAATGAATCTGAAAGCCGCTGAACGATGTCAAAGGATGGCACAGCATCCCATGTGTGTGGCACAGCATCCCATGTGTGTGGCACAGCATCCCATGTGTGTGGCACAGCATCCCATGTGTGTGGCACAGCATCCCATGTGTGTGGCACAGCATCCCATGTGTGTGGCACAGCATCCCATGTGTGTGGCACAGCATCCCATGTGTGTGGCACAGCATCCCATGTGTGTGGCACAGCATCCCATGTGTGTGGCACAGCATCCCATGTGTGTGGCACAGCATCCCATGTGTGTGGCACAGCATCCCATGTGTGTGGCACAGCATCCCATGTGTGTGGCACAGCATCCCATGTGTGTGGCACAGCATCCCATGTGTGTGGCACAGCATCCCATGTGTGTGGCACAGCATCCCATGTGTGTGGCACAGCATCCCATGTGTGTGGCACAGCATCCCATGTGTGTGGCACAGCATCCCATGTGTGTGGCACAGCATCCCATGTGTGTGGCACAGCATCCCATGTGTGTGGCACAGCATCCCATGTGTGTGGCACAGCATCCCATGTGTATGGCACAGCATCCCATGTGTGTGGCACAGCATCCCATGTGTGTGGCACAGCATCCCATGTGTGTGGCACAGCATCCCATGTGTGTGGCACAGCATCCCATGTGTGTGGCACAACATCCCATGTGTGTGGCACAGCATCCCATGTGTGTGGCACAGCATCCCATGTGTGTGGCACAGCATCCCATGTTTGTGGCACAGCATCCCATGTGTGTGGCACAGCATCCCATGTGTGTGGCACAGCATCCCATGTGTGTGGCACAGCATCCCATGTGTGTGGCACTCGCCTGACACTCTACCTCACCTGCCATTGATTGAAGTCCATTTGATCCATGATCCTCCGGCTGACTTAAGAGACACTCACCGCGTGCGGTTGAACTTGTTCTGGTGGTGCACTGTGTTCATGAAGGCTGCTGGGAACGAGCGGAAGCGCGCCCGCAGCATGGAGAGCGTGCGGATCTGATACCATATGGAGTGAGTGGATGGACGGGAGGGGAGGAATAGAGGAGGCAGTGCAGGGAGGAGGAAGACAGTAGGATTGAACGGATTGAGGATTTGCGAAACGAGCAATGGTGCTCACGGAGGAAGTACACAGTGGTTGCTACGCTGTGATAGGTACGAGATGTCTGAAAGAAGAAGAAAAGAACGAACGAACCCATGATGCTTACAACCCTGAAAGGCACCAGGTGAACACCTTCAGAACGATTCCGCATGCCACCTTGTTATTCCTCCCTCCCCCCCCCCTACCTGCTTACCTCCCTTGTGCTTACTTTCCCCAGATTCTCAGCTGTTAACCCTTTCTGTAGCTACATTCTTTCCGGTGCTTATCTTTCCCAGTGCTCACCTCCCCCAAATGCCACCAGGCGCCAATGAGTGTGCTGAGTATGGCAGACAGCACAGTGTACCAGATCTGTGCGTCTATCAGGTAGATCTGGTAGAAGGGTCAGGGGCGAGGGAGACGGGCGGGAGGGAGAGGGGAGAAGGAGCTTTCTGGAGGGGGAGAAGAGAGGGAAGATGCAGCGAATAGATGTGTTATTAGTGGACTATGCATTTGGATAAGAGACATGTGGTGAGTATGAGATGCATGTGAATGGCGTACCACAAAGACTGGCGCCCAGATGGAGAGAAGCGTGAGGGCGTTGTAGTTGCCTGGTCAGGTGGGCGGGGGGTTGTGTTGGGTGAGGCCAGAGGGAACAATGTCAAGGCAATGCAGCAGAGGAGAGTATTGGCAGAGGTTAAGCACGCACTCGCAGAGACAAGGCCCTTCCAGCGGTACTTGAGGTGCTTGAAGCCAATGATGTAGCGCGTGGCTTTGAGTCAACTCAAAAGAGATAAGTCACATACTTGCAGCGACTAGGCACAGACTTGCAGCAAGAAAGCACGTACTTGCAGAGACGAGGTCCTTCCAGCGATACTTGAGGTGCTTGAAGCCAATGATGTAGCGCGTGGCTTTGAGTCAACTCCGAAGAGATAAGTCACATACTTGCAGCGACTAGGCACAGACTTGCAGCAAGAAAGCACGTACTGGCAGAGACGAGGTCCTTCCAGCGATACTTGAGGTGCTTGAAGCCAATAATGTAGCGCGTGGGGCCAACGAGAGGGAGGATCTGGAAGTAGTAGCTGAAGAGGCACTTGCACAGCAGCAGCACCACCCAGAACAGCGAGTACCTGCATGCGTGCACGTTTGTGTGCATGTATGTGTGCATGTACGGATGAAAATGCAGGCATGCATGGACAGGAAGCGGAGATACATGGAGGAAGGGGGGTGGGGGTGAAGACGGGGAGAAGATGGAGGGTAGGGTTGGGATTCAAGGAAGGGGGGAGTCAGAGATAGGATGGAAAAGGTTGGCATGCGTGATTGTACAGTTGTGCGCAAATGCGGGGGAACGAGAGAGGCAGGTGGAAAAAATGATGAGGGGCAACGGAATGACGTCTTTGGCACGCTTTCGCACTCACAGGAATGTGTCTTTGAAGCTCTCGTACATGCCCCTCCCTGTGTACACCTCATCCTGCGCAGGGCAAGCGATAGAGGAAGGAGGTCTCAGGTGATGAGAGATGGTGATGATAGAAGAGATGGTGATAACAGATGGTGATGATAGAAGAGATGGTGATGATAGAGGGTATTATGGGCATACAGAGTGGTACGAGCATGTATCAGGAAACAGGGGAGCCACAAGACGAAGAAGCTGGTGGAACCACTTGCCTGGCTGGCAGAACCACCCCAACCAGCAGACAGAACAACTGACCACCGGACAGAACCACCATCCACCTAATAGAACCGCCACCCACCTGGTAGAACCACTTGACGAACTGGAAGAAGCGGTGGTGGCTGACGCGGTCGAGCTGGGAGCGCAGCGGCGTGACAAAGCGCATGAGCAGCGAGAGGACGACTGCGGGGATGACGTAGATGGCTGATAGCATGAGGAAGAGCGGGCGGTAGGGACTGCTGGTGTCGAATCCCGAGATGAAATACATGCTGGTAGTGGGAGGGTGGGACGTGTTTGGAAGGAAGGCAATGGGGAAAAGGGGAAAAGGCGACATTCGAGTAGAGTCAGATGACCAGGGAGGAGCGAGAGAACCACAGCCGGGATGGCGCAGACGGCTGTTAGCATGAGGAAGAGCGGGCGGTAGGGGCTGCTGAAATCAAAGCCCGACTTGAAATACATGCAATTGTTGTGGAGCGTAGGGGGTGTTTGGAGGAAGAAAGGAGGAGAGAACATTAGAAGCTGCTGAGGTAAAACCTCTGATTGAAATACATGATGGGGAAGCAGGAAGGGGTGGGAAGGGGGGGAGAGGAGGGGGGAGGGGAAGAGAAGGAGAAAATGCTACATTGTGGCTGACCTTAAAGATCAAGAAAGAGGCGAGCAAGTCTCACATGAGGAAGAAGGAGAGGAAGCCCCCCCAGGCGCCGAGCACAGCGAGGCGGAGGAACTTGCGGGAGATGGTCTGCACACTCATGCTGCGGTAGGCCCCGAACGACAGCAGAATGTCAAAGAGCACTGCAGGGAGGAGGTCGAGATCAGAGAGAGTATGGGAAAACACGGGGAGGAATTGGGGGGATGGTGAAGAGGGGTTGGAGGGATTGCTGTGGAGTGGACTGAGGTGAGGTGGTTAAAAGCGCCGATGATGTGATAGAAATCCACCCTGAATGGACGGACGTGGAGGTTGGTCTGAATGGGGTTATCCAGTATGAGCGTACCTTGGAAGAAGCGGAGGATGGCGGCCATGGGCACCACAGAGAGCACCTTCATGAGCGTGGTGGACCCGTCCTGCCCGCTGAACGCCACGATTGCCATGCCCTGGCGGATGAGAGCATGTGAGTGGGAGAGAGAGAGGGCAGAGGAGGGGCAAGTGGGTTGAGATGCTTGGAAGCCTCAAGGGAGAGCACCTTCATGAGCGTGGTGGACCCGTCCTGCCCGCTGAATGCCACTATCGCCGTGCCCTGCAGGTAGAGAGCATGTGAGTTGGAGCAAGAGAATAGGCTTGAAGAAAGGGCAGGTTTTTTAAGGCTAAGGGAGAGCATCTTCATGAAGGTGGTGGACCTGTCCTGCGCCCGTTATTGCTCTGCCTGAAGCGAAAATGCATGAGCAAATGCGGAGTGTAATATGGTTCTAGGCGTCGCCGTTCAATTAGAAGTTTTAGATTTGAAGGGGGTTGGGTAGTGGGGACCTGCGAGAGCGTTGGAAACTTCATGACAAGTGCAGTATGGGATGCAGCACATGCATACGTGGAGAACATACCTGGAACATGAGCAGCAGGAAGGCCCACATGCGATCGAAGCCGCGGTAGAGGTGCAGGAAGGAGCGCCACTCCACAAACAGCGTCTTGCTCAGCCGGCTCTTGCTTGAGAAATCCTCTCCCTGCACACACAGAGAGGAAACCACAAGCGTGGAGCAGTGTGTGTAGTCAAAGAGAGCGTCCAGCACTCTGCTTGAAGTGAAGTCTCCCTCACCAATGAAAACCTAGATAGCCAGGAACAATAATAAGTAGTTATTGGCAGTTGAGACAGAAGAAGGGAAGTAAGGAGTTCGGAAATCATGATATCTGGGGGGGTGCAAGCTCGTGCATGCACTGCACTAACTGACTGGAATTGAGATGACTCGACTGGATTGAACACGACAGCAATCTGAGGGTTCGTCATGGTTTTCCTGTACTGACCGTGACGGTTTTGGGGGTTTCCATCTTCTTCCCAGGGTCCTTGCTTTTGACGGGTGGGGGCTTGAAGAACACGTGGCTGGTGCGGATTGGCCAGCCCAGCTCAAAGCAGCGCTTGCTCCTGAGAGGCCAGGTGGAAGGGCATGAAGAAAGGGAGAAAGACAGGAAAAGGGAGAAACGAATGCCAAGTTAGTGTGAGGAGAAAAGGGAGGCGCTGGATACAAGAGAGAGAGCAGGGAGAGTGTGAAGAGACAAGAGGACGAGTGAGTAGACAGGGCGACGGGATGATGGATGGGGAAGTATGATGTGCAAAGCGGGAGCAGACTGCGGGGGAAGGGATGGCAGGGAGGGAATGTGTGCGTGGCGTGGCAGGGAGAGAGTGTGTGCGTGGCGTGGCAGGGAGGGAGTGTGTGCGAGGCGTGGCAGGGAGGGAGTGTGTGCGTGGCGTGGCAGGGAGGGAGTGTGTGCGAGGCGTGGCAGGGAGGGAGTGTGTGCGAGGCGTGGCAGGGAGGGAGTGTGTGCGTGGCGTGGCAGGGAGGGAATGTGTGCGTGGCGTGGCAGGGAGCGAGCAGCAGACCAGAAGAACTCGTTGAAGTCGTCGTAGTTGCGCCACGCGGGGTGACCCTTGGCATCGCTGCCGTGGCCCGCATAGTCCGACTCCTGCACAGGGATGTCGTGGTGCAGGTTCACACAGAGAAAGGCGGTACAGTGATGGGGCGGAAAGGACAAGGAGTGGGTGAGGGGATTCAGTTGTGAGTAAAGCAGCACGGTGAAACAGGAGAGGAGTTGGAAAGTTGAAATCAAGTCCACAGCTCAAATCAGACGCCACTAGAAAGCCCATGTAAGAGTTGCTCAGACGCCATTCTGTGTTTGTGCCAAGAGCAGGTAGTCTGCTGCTGGTAGCCTACTGACCTGCTTGAGGATCCGGTAGAAGGGCGTGATGACGTTGTTGAGGAAGGCGTACTCGCCCCCCGTGCCCATCATGCGGCTGTGCTCCGCTGCTGTCTTCTGCATCATCCCCGCCAGCTCACTCGCCATCTGCGCAAGGTGGTGGTGGCCATGGGGGATGGGGATGGAAAGACGTGTGTGTGACTTGGTGGTATAAGCTAGTTTGACTCAGTTGTCACTTATAGAAAGATAGTGGAGAGGCCATGAATCTGTGGAGAAGTTGAACGAGAAGGGGGGAAGAGGGAGGGGGAAACGGGGTTGTGGGAGGGGCACAGGGGAAACAGGGCCTCGCCTTATCCAGGGTTCAAGGTTTATGTGCTGTGACAATCCTGGTTGACTGACTGTAACCAAGAAACCAGCTGGAAATAGGGCAAGAGAGGGCAGGAGGCATGTATGGTCCCAGAGAGGGGATGAGCATAGCAGCGAGTGCTCAACCAATGGAGGAAAAAGCTTCACGCTGTCATAATTACCTGGTGAAAGAGGTAGCAGAGGCACTCTGGGAGGAATCGGACGTTGGCTGCCTCGCCCCATATGAGCAGAAAGAGGCACGTGTGCAGCATTCGGTGCTCAGCCCTGCAATTCACAGACACACATACAGGCACACACCACACCACACCACACCACACCACACCAGCACCGCAGTCACGGCCATCCAACGTCAGGACCAGCCAGACATGTGGACCAAAGCAAGCCACGTCAGTGCCGTTGAGGATTTAGGCTCTTTGTTTCTTGGGAGGGATGGGGGGTTTTGAGTGAAGCACGGAGGAAGTCTACACCCTAAACCCGAAACCCTGGAGGATATATATGGCACGATCAGAGATGCAAGAGTCAGATTTCAGACCACGTGTTTTGACATGCGATGGCAAATATGCGAGATTCTCGTACCAGAGCGAGAGGAAGAAGGGGGTGTGGGGGGAGAGGGAAGGAGGGAGAGGGAGGGGGGGGGGGGGGGTTGAGGGGAGAGGAAGGAGGGGGAGAGGAGCGGAAGGGAATGGAGGAGGGTGGGTTTCAACAGGGCAAGATCAGGGGGTGCGTACGTGAAGTAAAGGATATCGACGTGGAGGTACTGTGCCCAGCGAAGGAAGTTTCCGAGCACCTTTGACGAAACGGAATCAAGGGCCAGGTTCATTGCCTGGTGGATGACCGAATGGGGGCCGCCAGGAACAGGCAGGCAGGGAACAAAGGGTTTCTGTGGCTTGGTACGAGCAACAGGCAAATGTCATCAGAGCAACGTAGAAGGCTGTGCACCAGGGTTCAGTTCAGAGCACTCGGAGGTACTAGAACGCACAGATTACAAACCCGAACCTTCCAGTCTGTTCTCACTGTGTGTGCAGTTCACAACCCTACTAACCCCTTCCTCTACAGGTGCCGGGATGCCATGCACACGGACGCGAATTATCAGAGCGCTGGCGGACATGAAGGCAGCAAGACTTTAAAACCCAAACCCTGAGGATACCAGTGTGGCCCCATCCTGGATATTGACGTAGTGACTCACTGCAGCATCATCGGACATGGAAGCAGCAATTGGCGTCCCCTTCTCATCGTACGTGCGGCTGTTGGCCAGCAGCAGCACAATGTGCTCCCTCTGGTTCCGCACGTTGTCCTCCTGTGGTGGTGTGGCAGAGCAGCGCACAGCACAGCAAATCAGGGGGTCGGGGGACGGAGGATGTTAGGGATTGAATGGGATAAAGGGGGAGGAAAAGGAGCCGGTTGTTGCTTCCAAGTTGTGGCACACAAAATGAGGATAGAAGGAGAAAAATGGTCACTCAAACAGGAACGCCAGAGAAGTTGCAGCCGTTCCAGGAACAAGCAGAGATGACATCACGATAACAAGAGCAGGGTCACTGACTTGGAAGCCGAAGACGAACTGGAGGTAGTGCAGCATGTCCTTGAAGCGGCCTCGGTTCGGCACTCCTCTGAGGTCATGGAGCAGCGCAATCGCTCCCCCCACCCGCCTCTTCCACTGCTCACGCCAACACAGTCACGCATTTAGACGTTAGACGTCTCCAGTGTCAACAGATGCATTAATGCAACACAGCAGATGCTATTGTGATAACGAGAGGCCAATGTGGTAACCAAATAATACCACGAATATAGCTCTACTCCATTCCAAGCTAGCCAGACTTTGGAGTGAGGTCAGCCGGTGGTTTATTCTGGTTACCACATATAATGTGAGACTCACAGAACACAAGCATGGGTGTTGGGTTTTTTACCAAAGGAGCATCAGTGGGAATGGGTGCGTCCAGATCGATCATGTTGAAGTTCTGGCGGGTGAAGATTTGCGTCTTGGCAGCAGCAGCCATCTTATCCTCCCGAATTTCCTGAAATTGGTCATGAACCGAGGAAAATTTGTCAAGAGCCTGGTTGACTGACTAAGACCATGCATGCCACGATCGAGTCCACTCTCCCATTTAAATTTCAATTCTTGTTCTCCAGGCCCTATTCCTTGCTCCCTCCTCTCAAAATATCAATAATGATTTTCTGCTGCTCGGTGACTATCACATCTCTCCCTGCTGAGTCGCATTCACCAATCACTGTTCAAGGCTTACCTGTTGCACTTGCTTGCGCTCGGATCCCGTGACCGCCTGTGAGAGGCCCTCGGTCACCTCCATGAGGACCCGTTCCGTCTTCCACGCCTTGCCCAACTCCTCTCTGCATATCCCACACGCATCCACCCCATTTCGTCATGAAAGCCGCATGAACAGAGCGTGGTGAACGCAACGACTGGCTCAAACGACACGAATTCTCGGTGGGGAAAGGGAGTTGTTGGACAGAAGCGCAGAAAGAGAAGCTGGAGCTGCTGTACAAAAACGCGAGGCTAGAGTGTCAGACGGAACGCACTTATTATTCTCGGGATCCATCTCCAGCCCGCGGACATAGTCTCGATACGCGGTGTAGAACTCATGGACCATGTCCATGTCCCTGCTCGGGTCCGCCGCAATGTCGCTCTCCTGCATCAACCGCAGCCACGCATTAAAACGCACATTTCGGCGAATAACGCACATTACGGACGGATTCTTGACATGATACGCATCTAGGTGTTACTCGTGCACATCCCGTTTTCCAGCCATAGAACAGCAACGTTACTCGTTCTCCTTCCGCTTCCCAATCACGGTTTCTATGTTGAAGGCATGGACAACTCACGGGCAAGAGAATGTGCAACGCCGTGACGAACTGGAGCACTCCGCGGCCTTGCATGTTGGGATCAAGAACCATCGCCTTCTTGTAAGCAGCATCGAGAACTGAAATGCGGGAAATGGGAGCGCGGAAGGTGTGGATAAGCGTGGCGCTGATTATCCAACCATCAAATACTAAGATGGGAGAAAGCTGTACACAGTAAGCAAGCGTGGAAATCATGTTACAAGAACAAACAAAGAATAAATCTATAGCTGGACACACGACAGACACTTAACCAACAGGTACGCTCAGGAACCATGAAAATTTGGACACTTACTAAGTCGAGAGATGCGTGGATGTTCGGCTTCTAGGTCCTTCGCCGCTGCGAGGTAATCAGGTATGTTGGACCTCTGAGCTAGTGTCGGAGGCACGATATTGAGGCCATCGATCTGTCCTTCCGGTAAGACGGACTGGAAAAATACAGACTGTCGCTGTCTCGCTCGCGATACAGACTGCTGCGCGGCCTCGAGCACTCTCCGCCAGTTATCTACAACTGGAGGTGGAATATCTTCCGCCATTAGGACTACCCTATCCTGTGAATGCTTCGTTCGTACTACCTACGAAATGGAATCGAGTACGTCAACGCATTACGCCATAGATGCCAACACACAAAATATTATAAGCTATACAAGGGCTTCACGGATAAAATTGCTTCTAGCAGGTAGGCCCGCTGATACACAAGGAATCAGCCTGATCATGGAAGTGGAAAATGAGCCGTGTTGTGTGGAGTTGACCAGAAGCAGGGAGGAGGTCTGGGGGATTGATTGGAAAATCCTCCTATCCTGATTCCTGACTCTTCACTTCAAAGGCTCTCTGGCGAGGCAGCAACAATTATGGGGAACATATTCATGGGCAGACACGAAACATTTTTCCAGTTGTAGGGGTCGAACGCGATTGGCTGCTGTGAACATCTCTGAACGCGATCATAGCCAACAATGATGCCTGGCAGCTTGGGCAAAACTTGAGTTTGGATGAGTGCGGGAAGTCCGCGGAACGCGTTCCATCCAACGCAAGATCGATGTGAAAGGGAGCGCAAGGCACGGCAGGCAGGCTCCTCACCTTGAAAGCTCCAGCCTTGCCAGGGATTAGAATGTCGGTCACGGCAAATTTCAGATGACCAGAAGCTACCTTTTGTCCCGCCGTCGATGCTTTTCTTCCAGACCGATCAGGGAATACGGGTAGCGAACACGACCGCGAATCACACTCACTTTCCACATCATCGATATTGTCGTCCACGTGACAGCATTCGACTTGCTAATGTGCTGGTTATTGAATCGCTTGAGTTTTCGCATACGTCGTCACTGTCGTTAGCGTCGAGTTCATCAGAATGTGTCTGACTGGGGCTGGAACAATCGGTTTTCCGCTACCAAGTTCTCATCACACCAACACCGAGAACACCAAAAATAAGCTCATTTCGCCAACACCAGATCACCATTTTTGTGTCCTCCAGTTTCCACCATCACTTTCTCTACCTCACTGCTTCACGATGGATAGTGATTGCTATCAGTGGTCCTCGGGACTTTATTTTTATTTGTGCCAATGAGAAATCAATTCTAGCTCTTCCAACGTGTAGTCTGCACCGAATCTCGTCAAAATGCCTCCACACGACTTAGGAGGTCCTTCAGGAGGAAATATTCCATCTACTGGTGCACCGCATGAGCCGAAACACCCGATATACAACATAGTACCCACCGATCCTGATCACTGGCCACAAGCGAAAGATGGCAATCCGAACCATCTGGCTCCCGAGGTGAGCTCCGCGAGCGCACTGAATGTGCCTTGTGCGATGTGGTGACGGATCCAGAGGGAATGTTGGGGAGACGTACCGGAAGGGAATTCACCAGCCTTACTGAACGCCGACGCTGTTTCAAGGGCGATTCGCATTGTTTCCCGAATACAGCCTAATGGAGTTTTATTGCGAGTCAATGCATGCGGTTTTCGGCTCCGAGCGCCATTTGTTGCCGTGACGTTGCACGCAATGCAAAGCAATATGTCAAGTGCTTATGGTCTGGCTCCATTATACCGCTGGCTGTCGTCGTTTGCAAATAAATCAACCCATATCACCGTCACGAAAATAATCATTTCAGGTGCGAGCTGCAGTGGGAGCTCTTCGAAGGGTCGGTGCGAGCTTGGGATGGACCGACGACCGAGGCAATCCGCCGACCGACGTCTTGGACTGCCTTCAAAACGCCTTCAGCTTTCAGGTGAGCTGCGCTTCTGACAGCTGAATGGCTTTCTCGGTCTAGTCGCTGATACGCACAATTTTCGTACTGACTTCCAACGGTACATCATTTTCAATGTTGCTTGAGACGATCTGGTTAGGTTCACTGTTGACAGCACTGACCTAATAATGCTGCTGAAGACGTGGTGACGGTACAGATATTCGACATGCTTGAAGGATTTGCGTTCTACCTCTATTTGTGTTCTGTGCTCGTATGCTCGCATGCAGTCTGGTAACGTTATCAACCAGAGGGAGCATCTGGTTCTTCTGCTAGCCAACACTCAGATGCGAATTCGGCCGTTGGATCCCCTTGAAGCGGAGCCTCTGGTACGCTCACATGCATCTCGCGAGGTTGATTTGATTTGCCCAGCGTTGCTTCATGCGAAGCGTTGAAAGGACAACGTTTGCAGTGTCTTGACGCATGGATTTTAGATGAACCGGGCCATCAGGGTACAGCTAGCCGATGGGGTTACTCTTGGCAGTCCGCGAACACTGAACGTCTAGTATGTGTGAATGAGCAATGGATCCTTTCGATGACTAGAGTTGTTTTGCAAGGCATGTCTGATTAAATTTCATGCAACATTTCATCCATCCACTGAGGAAGCTGCCACGTTTTTCCCTGCTAACTCTTCTGCTGCAGCTTGACCCGAACGTGATCACGCTGGTGTGCGACCAGCTGTTGAGCAACTACAAGTCCTGGTGCACATACGTTGGCAAGAAAACTAGCATCATGTCAGTCAGTCTCCGTATTGTCACGTTATGTTATGTCTTTCGCGTGTCACGTGTTAACATCCGTCACCCCCTCAACGCATGCGGATTTACCTTCCACAAATTTCGTGAGTTTCTGCTGGGGCTTGTCCATGCTAATGCACTCTTTCTTACAAGCAGCAAGTTATTTCACATCCCTCCATTGCTGTTTCAAGGCCTCGCATTATATCGATCATGGCTCTGGGTCCCATTTCCTGCCACTCTCCCTGTGGCTTCTCCAATCCAGTGACGACTCGGCTCTGGTTGGTCGCAAGAGGACATCCCCCCCTACGGGCAGCACCGATATAGTCTATTGCTCCCTCTTCCTGCTCATATGGGGCGAGGCAGCCAACGTCCGCTTCCTCCCGGAGTGCCTCTGCTACATTTTCCACCATGTGAGAGCCTGCTTTCCACCTTCATCATGTGAACGCATGACCCAGTTTGTTTCACACCTTCCTCCACTGCCAAGTGAGAAAGTTCAGCTAATGAGAAATCTCGTCTCACAGTCACAGATCTCTCTGTGGGGTCGTCGTCACCATGCGGCCCTTACACCCAAAGTTCATGCTGCTACAGAAGCCAACAAGCGTCCGTTTTCTTTCCACTTACTCTCCTCTTTCTCCCCTCCCCCTCCCCCTTGCCCTCCCAGCTCGCAACAGAGACGAACGAGCTGATGACCCAGTCCGCCAGGGCTCTTTCTCGCGACCGCAGCATTCCCAGCCAGCCGTACGGGTTCCTCAACACCATCATTCAGCCGCTCTACAATGCGATTAAAGGAGTAAGCCCTGTGAACTTTGTTTCAGAGGCTGTGTACTCTGTAATACCCCAGCAGTTAATCGTTGGGAGTCAATCCAACTACTGTGTTGCTTGTTTCCCCTCCCTTTCTCCCATTCGTCGTTTCTCTCATATCTTTCATCTTGTGCATGGCACTCAGCACTCAAACCACGCACGTGTCTCCCATCTCCCATCTCCCCTCTCCCATCTCCCATCTCCCCTCTCCCCTCTCCCCTCTCCCCTCTCCCCTCTCCCCTCGCCCCCCTCCCCTCCCCCTATACCAGGAGGCGGACAGCAATGTGGGTGGCAAGCTGCCGCACGCCAAGTGGCGCAACTACGACGACTTCAACGAGTTCTTCTGGTCGCCACGCTGCTTCGACCGCCTCTCGTGGCCGCCCAACCAGTCTGCTGTCTTCTTCATCCCCCCGGTATTGCCGCCTCCTTCCTTCACCCTGTCTGCCTTGCTGTCCTCCCATCCCGCCAGTACTTCTGTCTTGTTGTACCACCGCTATAACCAACCCTCCGGTAAGCTGCTTTTATAAGCACGACACCATGCTGGTGGTGCTCTCTCCGTTGAATCGCACATTCTCGTGTGCCTCCTGTTGCCATCCTCAGCATGTTTAACGCACACGTCGCTGTCTATGTCATGATGTGTCTTGCTCTGCTCCTGTGCACCTACGTGCAGAACAAGACGGGCCACGAGGGTGGCAAGACGGGCTTTGTGGAGCAGCGCACCATCCTCAACATGTTCCGCAGCTTCGACCGCGTCTGGATTCTCCTCATCTTCGCCTTCCAGGTGAGTTCTTCTCTTAGCACTTCCTATTTTTGAGGCACCTCAAAAAGAGGCGCCTCAAAAAGAAGTCTTCTCATCTTCGCCTTCCAGGTGCTTATCTTGGCATTTCCTCCGGCCCGCCCATCCCATCCTCATGCATGTCATAACCTTACCTTCCGCTTCTCTGCTTCCTTGCTCACCTCCCACCCCCCCTTTTCCCCCTTCTCCCCGCTTCCTCCCCGCCCTTTCCGATTCACTGTCGGCCGCCCAATACCTGCTGCTCTACCTGCCCCCCTGTGCGCCAGCTGATGTTCATCACGGCATGGAAGGCGGAGGACAGCAACCCCTTCACGTACTTGGCCGGAGACAGAGATACTGTGGCGCTGCTGCTCACCTGTTTCATCACATGGGCCGGCATCAATCTCTTCCTTGGTGAGAGGCGGTGCTGCGCGGTGGTATGTGGTGGTATGCGTTGCCTCTGCGATGCTGTGGAGTAAGAGTGGTGCGTCGTGACGAGTTTGAAGTGCATCTTAGAGTGGCTTGTATGTGCTGTATTCAAGGCATTGCAACACGAGCTCTTTCCGTCTCACGGCGCTTCTTGTACTAACCACTGCGCCTGTCTGCATGTCCCACTCTGCCTTCTCTGTACCTCGGCCCCACCTCTATGTCCCTCCCCACCCCCTCTTTGCTCATTTCACCCCCTTTCTTCCTCTCACCACCATTACACCTATAGCTCTGGCAGACATGGTGATGGAGTGGCGTCTCATCCCTCCTTCAACATCCGCTTCAACATTGTCCCTCCCCCACCTTCTTCCTCTCCCCTCCATCACACCCGCAGCTCTGGCGGACATGGTGATGGAGTGGCGTCTCATCCGCCCTTCCAACATGCGCTTCAACGTCCGCCTGTTGCTGCGCCTCCTCGTTGCCATCGCTTGGTGCATCGTCTTCACCACCCTCTACCTGTAAGTACCTCTCTCTACTTTCATGTATCACTCTTCACCTGTATGTACCCCTCTTGCCTTTCCATTCCCCCTCCCTCCTCTCATTTGCTCTTAATTCCCCGCACCCACCTTCAGACAACCCAAGTCAGAAACCCTCGCTCCCTGCTTTTCTCCCCCCTTGTCCCACCATTTATGAGAATCCCTCTTCTGCTCTCTCTTCTTCCCTCCTCCTCCTCGCGCACCCTCACTCAACCCTCTCCCAGCATAATGTGGAATGCACGCAAGGCAGCCACCTACTGGTCGCCCACAGCCAACACAGCTCTGTTCACGTTCCTCATAGCAGCGCTCGTCTTCATGACCCCGCACCTGCTGGGCATCCTGCTCTTCCTCACGCCTGAAATCAGCCGCCGCGTGGAGGCCTCCAGCTCCTCCTTCATCCGCATGCTCGTCACCTGCCTCGAGGTGAGAACAAAACGAAGGGCCATTTGCCTAGAAGTGAGGCACTTGCTTGTCACGGGCCTTGAGGTGCGGGAAGGGGTTCCGAGTCGACTCTAAAGCCACTGTGTGGAGGCCTCCAGCTCCTCCTTCATCCGCATGCTTGTCACCTGCCTCGAGGTGAGAAAGGGGGGGTTTGCTTGTCTTGAGGTGGAACAAGTGCTCGTCACATGCGTTGAGGCGAGGAGGGGCTGTTTTGAGTCGCCAAAAAAACCAAAAAGAAAACGGCTGAAAAGCTGCCGCATGATGGCTGGCCTCCAGATCCTCCTTCATTCACATGCTTGTCACCTGCCTCGAGATGAGGTCATGATTGCTGCCCGTCCACGGGTTCATCACATGCTTTGAGCTGACATACCTGCCTCAATGGCTGCTGGACAGGCTGCTGGCTTGTTCCTCTTCAATCTCAGCACAAACGAGGGTTTGTGTAGGTATGCACACCATTCACCATTATCCTCTCTGTGTCTTATCCCCCATGTACCCATCTGCGTCTTTTCCTCCATCCATCTGTCGGCTCTATCAGGATGACAACTTTGTGGGAAGGGGAATGCGTGAAGACACATGGGATTCCATCAAGTATGTGCCCGCCCGCCTGCCCACCCACCCACCCACCTGCCCGTCAATCGTCTGCCTCCCTGCCCACCTGCCTTCCACCTTACCCGCTTGGCTGCCAGTCTACCCGCCCGCCTGCCTGCTGTCCAGCCCGCCTGCCCGCCTGCCTGCCTGCCTGCCTGTCTGCCTGCCTGCCTGCCTGCGTTCTGTGTGCCTGCTGCTGTTTCTTGCACTTGACATTTCACGTGCCTGTGCCTGCAATTTCCTTGGCGAAGGTCCCCCTGTATAGTCTCTGTCTCTCCTCTCCTGTCCTCTCCTCTTCTCCCACCCGTTGCTGCTGGGGTCTGTCTCAGGTACTCCATCTTCTGGCTCCTCCTCCTCGCTGGGAAGTTCGCCTTCAGCTACTTCCTCTTGGTGAGCCAAAGCTGTAGTGGTGTGCCCCTGTCTCTTCGTCCACCTTCTTTATCTCCCTCTTCTTCTCCCCTCTACTGTTTCCTTTCCACCACCCTTCCTCCCAACCCGTTTCGTCTTCTTGATTCAGCTCTACTGTCTCATTCCTTTCTTCCTCTCTCCTCTCACCCTGCCCCTTCCCTTTTCTCATCACTTCCTCCTCATTTCTTCTAGCCTTCTCGTCTTCTCCCACACTCCCCTTCTCCCCCTCTCCCCCTCTCACAATCTCCCCCGCTCCCCCTCTGCCCCTCTCCTCTCCCCCTCTCTCCTTCTCCTCTCACCCTCTCCCCCTCTCCTTTCGCCTTTCCCTTCCCCTCTCCTCTCGCCCATGCAGATCCGGCCTATGGTGGAGCCCACCAAGGCGCTGCTCAACACAACCATCCACTACACCTGGCCGGAGCTCTACAAATCAGGTGCGCGCCCACCGCATGTCATGCCATCCATCCCATCCCATCCCATCCCATCCCATCCCATCCCATCCCATCCCATCCCATCTCATCTCGCCCTTTGCCATCTCATCCCACCCTTTGCCATCTCATCCCTCCCCGTCCCATACCATCCTATCCTAAATGCGTGGGTACCGTCCCCATGGGTGTGTGAATAATAGCTTAGTCACTGCCTGCTTTTGAATTGTGTGCATGTGTGCTGGTGTGTGTGTGCGTGTGCATGTGTGCTTGTGCATGTGTGCATGTGCGCGTGTGCGCATGTATGTATGTGCGTGCTTCTCGCTGTGCTAACAACAGGCAATTACGTCGCTGTCTTCTGGCTCTGGGCACCAGTTGGTGTGGTACGTACGTCCTTGCGTCTCCCACTTACTCTTTATCCAATCTTCCTTCACCGATTCACCAACCCTTCCACATCCTTCTTCCATCCCGCTTCTTTCTCTGCTCCTGTGAGGATAATAAGGAAGGCCAAGCATGTCTGCACCTGAAGCACTTTCTCCATGTCCTTTCCCCATGCCCTTGTGCAGATTTACATCATGGATCTTCAGATATTCTACGCCATTTTCTCCTCGGTTGTGGGCTACATCATGGGTGTCTTTGCTCATATCGGGGAGGTGTGTAAGGGGGACGTGAGGGATAGAGGTACACTGCATGCATGCGAGGCATCCCCGTCCCAGAGCCTACTGTCGTCTGATTTCGGTTGAATGATAGCTGATTCGTGTTTGCCAGGGAAATGACACGCTCCCACTGCTCAGGTCCAGCCGTGTGAATGTTTCACCATGCTTCACCCTTCTCCCATATTCCACCATGTCCTACCTCCCTCTTCCACAAGTGAGCCACGTGAGGCTACTCATGCTGCGCTGCCTCTTCCTGCCCCGCACCATGCACCTCAACCTGCTGCCTTTGTCGTCCACTCTTGCCCCTCCTCCCCGCTCCACTATGCCATGGCCTCCCCCTCTCCTCTCCCCATCCCCCCATCCCATCTCCCTCTCACAGGTGAGCCACGTGAAGCTGCTCACGCTGCGCTTCCGCTTCCTGCCCCGCGCCATGCACCTCAACCTGCTGCCGCCCTCCACCAACGCCCAACGCCGCGGTGGCATGCGCAGCGCCATGGCGCGCATGTGGAACCGCATGGTCATGACCTACGGGCTCGTCTCGCCAGACACCTGGGTGCGTTTGTGTGTTATGAACAACTACTCATGCTGAAACAGGGTAGATTCACAGCACATGAGTGGTAACCTCAGCAGCATGCGCAGCACCATGACTCCCATGTGGAACCGCATGGTCATGACCTACGGGCTCGTCTCGCCAGACACCTGGGTGCGTTTGATTGGTCAGATGCCTAATGCCAAAACTGGTTACCCTGGACTTTCACATATCTCGCAAGGGTTGTTAGACAAGCAAGTGTCCTACGCAAGGGTTTTCGCATGGCTGCTTGAATTGAATGAATGGTCGGCGTTGTTTGTCTCTGTATGTGTCTGCTCGTGCAGGAGACGGACGAGCGGTGGGTGGTGCTGTGGAACAGCGTCATTGAAAGCTTCAGAGAGGAGGACCTGCTGTCTGACGCGTGAGTGGCAGGGAGAGGGGGCTATGGGGGAAATGGAGCGAAGGGGAATGGTGGGAAATGAGAGAAGAGGACCTCCTGTCTGAGGATTGAGTGGGAGGGATCGGGGAGTGGGGAGGGGATTGGGAGTTTGTGTGGAGTGGGGGGGGAATAGGATCTCCTGGCCGATCCATGAGTGGCCGGAGGAAACGGGGAAGAGGGGGAGTTTGGATGTGGGGGGGAGGGGGGACTGGGTGGGAGAAAGGAGATTGTGGGACGGACAGGTGTAAGTTTCGCTCGTGCAGAGGCACCATGAGCCATCGAACTAGTACTCTCCACTTTCTCAACCCCTCTTCGCCTCCTTCTCCACTTCCCCCTGTTTTCCTCCTTCCTGTCCCACTCCCCCCGGCCTTGGCCCCTCTCATGTCATGTGCCACACCACAGCGAGTTGAATCTCCTCTCTATCCCCGAGGCCTACACCACGGCCACTGTCTCCCGCTGGCCCATTGTGCTGCTGGCCGATCAGGTACGGCTCAGCGTAAGATTTAACGAGTTTTTGGTCGCCTCAAAACTTCTTCTCTATCCCTGACTCAAAACCTCCTCTCTATCCTCGAGGCCTACACCACGGCCACTGTCTCGCGCTGGCTAATCGTGCTGCTGGCCGATCAGGTACGGCTCAGCGTGCTTATCGCAAGACCAGGCTCCGCGTGCTTGTAATGGATCGTTGCATGACCCTTTGTGTTTATTTCGTTGCCCAGCTATGGCGCGTGCGCGGTGCTGTAATACTCAAGATCTGCGCAATACGTCGCACTTCTTCCTTCCTCCTCGTGTTCCACCCTCTCCACGTGTTCCACTCTCTCCTCTCCCTACACCCACATACCATCAGGTGGTGAAGGCCACGACCATCGCTGGCAGGTGGAAGAACTCCTCCTCGTCCCTCTGGCGCCGCCTCTGCTCCTCCGACTTCTGCCGCTGCGCCGTGCTCGAGACCTTCGCCCTCTTCCGCCTTTTGCTCTCCCACCTGCTCATCGCCGGCACGCCAGAGCACCGCATGGTGCAGCAGCTGCTGGCGGAGATCGACGGTGCAGCAAGTGGCGCAGCAGGGGAGGCGCACACAGACAGGGACTTTGTGGACGACTTCAACCTGGGGAAGCTGCCCGCCGTGCAGGCCAAGCTCGTTGCTCTCACAGCGTTCCTTCTTGGGGGCCCTACGGAGGAAGAGCTTCCCAAGGTGAGTCGCCTCTCTAGAGGGTGCAACAAGTGGCGCAGCAGCGGAGGCGCACACGGACAGGAGCTTTGTGGACGACTTCAACCTGGGGAAGCTGCCCGCCGTGCAGGCCAAGCTGGTGGCTCACAGCGTTCCTGCTCGGGGGACCCACCGAGGAAGAACTTCCCAAGGTGAGGTTTCTCTCAAGCTCATTAGGAGCTTGGATCCGTACGAGGTCAGGTCAGGTTACTGTATGCTGCTGTTGCTACTGCTACTGCTGCAGCAGAGGCAGCACTCCTGAGCTGTTGAGCACCGCATGGTGCAGCAACTGCTGGCGGAGGCTGGCGGTGCAGCCAGCGGGGCAGCAGCGGAGGCGCACACGGACAGGGACTTTGTGGATGACTTTTGAGAATTCTAAAAAAACATTACTTTTACTTTGGGGAAGCTGCCAGCGGTGCAGGCAACTACTCTCTCCTGCTCTCCAAGGGCGTCATTCCGCGCTCCACCCCCCCCGCCTCGCCGCTCTATGTGGGCGCCATCCGCATGCCCGACCCCTCCGATCCCACCTACTTCGCCCCGCTGCAGCGCCTGCACTCCCTGCTCACCTGCTCCTCCTCTGTACTTTCAATCCCACCTCCCACCCCTCCCCCACCCCGCCAGGCCATCATGCTGGTTCAGAACCTGCACGAGGTTGCCGTGAGAGATTTCTGGAGCGCCGGCAACTACTCTCTCCTGCTCTCCAAGGGCGTCATCCCGCGCTCCACCCCCCCTGCCTCGCCGCTCTACGTGGGCGCCATCCGCATGCCCGACCCCTCCGATCCCACCTACTTCGCCCCGCTGCAGCGCCTGCACTCCCTGCTCACCTGCCAGAACGCCATGGCTACCATCCCTGCGAATCCCGAGGCCAGGAGGAGGGTTACGTTCTTCTGCAACTCGCTGTTCATGGCCATGCCGCCCGCGCCGTCGGTGCAGCGCATGCGGTCGTTCTGTGTGATGACGCCGTATTACAACGAGTCGGTGATGTATTCGCCGGATGAGCTGCGGCGGCCCAACGAGGACGGCATTTCTCTGCTCTACTACCTCCAGAACATCTTCCCAGGTATGTTGTCGGTCGACCTAAACTCCAGCCACGGTGTAGTGAATGCGGTCCTTCTGTGTCACGATGCCGTAGTACAACGAGTCTCCTCATGCTCAGCGCATGTCTCCCGGATTGCTATGCAGTATACTGCCTCTGGGCTTCAGAGTCCCTCAAGAACTCGGAGGCACAACTGTGTGTGTGAGGCGCAGAGAGTGTGAAAGTATGCGTCGCCCTTTGGACTTGTCCCCCCATCCCAGCTGCTTGATAACAGCTTCTCTGCTGCCTTCTATTCCTGCAGACGAGTGGAAGAACCTGGAGGAACGGCTGGGGGTGCGAGGCAGGGAGGTGTGGGAGTTTGACGATGGGGCTGAGGTGTGCCGATGGGCCTCCTACCGTGGGCAGACCCTCGCTCGCACTGTGCGCGGCATCATGTACTACCACAGGTGCGTGCTGAAAGGTGTTTAGGTGGCACCGGGCATCCTCACACACTCGGTGCAGTCATATTCTATTTTCATTATGTACTGTGCTTCGTTCACAGGGTCGTAAGTTTCACCCCCAAAACCCACACCAACCATTTCACCAATCCCCCCTCCCTCCCCATCACAGGGCACTGGACCTGCTCTCCTACTTCGACACTGACCCAGACGCCCCTCCCTCCCAAGGCCGTGAGCTTCATTCCAAGCCCCAACCCACCGCCGCCCCTCCCGCCGAAGAATTGTCCGCTGCCGCCGCCGCCGCTGCCGCCGTCGCCTCCGCCTTTGGTGGCAGCGGGAGGATGCCAGACGCGGGGTGGGATTCCCAAGATTCGGTGGAGCACATACGGGAGCAGATCTCGCAGCATCTCGGGCAGCAGCGCGAGTACGACCCCCAGTTTTCTCTTGCCGACGTGAAGTTCACGTATGTGGTCACGTGCCAGATTTACGGCGAGCACAAGCGCAAGAACGACCCGAAGGCGCGGCACGTTTTGGAGCTCATGCAGGAGAATCCGGCGCTCAGAATCGCGTACGTGGACGAGCAGCCGCCCGCCCTGGGATCGGGCGGCGGGACTCGGTACTACTCCGTCCTGGTGAAGTGGGACCAGTGGAATCAGCGCGAGGTGGAGATTTTCCGCGTGCAGTTACCCGGCCCGATCAAGATCGGCGAGGGCAAGCCGGAGAACCAGAACCACGCCATCATCTTCACGCGCGGGGAGGCGCTGCAGACAATCGACATGAACCAGGACAGCTATCTGGAGGAGGCGCTGAAGATCCGGAACTTTCTGGAGGAGTTTTCGGAGTCGAGAAGACGGATTCTGGGGATGAGGGAGCATGTGTTCACAGGCAGTGTGTCGTCTCTGGCGGCGTTCATGTCGGCTCAGGAGACAGCGTTTGTCACCATTGGGCAGCGCGTGCTGTACAACCCTTTGAAGGTGTGTTGCTGGCTTGTCTCGTGTTGTGATTCTGGGGATGAAGGAGCATGTGTTCACGGGTAGTGTGTGGTCATTTCCTCTCCTTGCTCCCATCTTCCCCCAGCATGTGGTTGCTGACTCGCTGGCACCCCACCCATACCTTCCTTCTCCGCCTCGCACCCTCTCATACCCCCTCATACCCCCGCTTACCCCCCCGTATTGTCTCACACCCCCTTTCCAGGTGAGATTGCACTACGGGCACCCTGACGTGTTTGACCACGTGTGGTCGCTTGCACCCCACCCATAAGTGCCTTCTCCCCCTTGTACTCCCTCATACCCCCTCACAACCCCTCACACCCCTCCAGGTGCGAATGCACTACGGGCATCCGGACGTGTTTGACCGCGTGTGGTCGCTGGCGCGGGGTGGCATCAGCAAGGCATCGCGGGTGATCAACATCAGTGAAGACATCTTTGCAGGCTTCAACACCACTCTGAGGCGTGGGGCGATCTCGCACCACGAGTACATTCAGGTGAGTTGAAGGGCTGTGGACGGTATGATGCAGCAAGGAAAGGGACGAGGGAGGGCTCTCCATCTTCCGCCTCCTCTCCATCTTCCGCCTCCTCTCCATCTTCCGCCTCCTCTCCATCTTCCGCCTCCTCTCCATCTACACCACCTACACCTTCTTCAGCACTCTTCAAAGCCGCTGCCACGCAATGCCATGCCTCCTAAGTGGGGTTTTCTAATACACCACCTACACCTTCTTCGGCACTCTACTCTGCTCTCCCCTCTCCAGGCGCCTCAAGAACCAACACCCATGCTTCCATACACACGGCCCCTTCTCCCCCCCTTCAACTCCCTCTTCCCTCCATCTTCAGGTTGGAAAGGGCCGTGATGTGGGTTTGAACCAGATCTCTCTGTTTGAGGCCAAGGTAGCAAGCGGCAATGGAGAGCAGCTGCTGTCGAGGGACGTGTACCGGCTGGGCCACGGGCTGGACATATTCCGCCTGCTCTCCTTCTACACCACCTCCATCGGCTTCTTCTTCAGCACTGCCCTCACCGCCATGGCTGTGTACGCCTTCCTCTGGGGGAGGTGCTATCTGGTGCTGTCGGGCGTGGAAGAGACGATTTCGTCGTCGGACAACCAGGCGCTATCTGCCGCCATCAACCAGCAGTTCCTCGTACAGGTATGTTGTGGGTGGCAGTAGATATGTGAGATACTTTTGAGAATTCTCAAAAGTGCGCTGTTGGTCAGTAAGCCACTTCTGAGAACTCTCAAAAACGACCCACAAAAAGGTTCCCCTTTCAGTGTGAAGCTGAATTGGCCTCTGCTTGTCCGTGCTAATATGCTCACTAATAACATTCGCCAAATGACTGGATGCCCACAGCACAGGCACTCCTCCTTTCGTTTGCCTATCCACTTCCTCAAACCCGTCCTCTCCTCGGACCTTCCTCCTTACGTCACTGCCAATGCCAATGAATGCGAATTACATTCCTCCTTTCTTCTCCTGCCTGCCTTCCTCAGATCGGGCTATTCACGTCGCTGCCAATGCTGATGGAGCTGATACTGGAGAAGGGCACGGGGGCAGCCATATGGGAGTTCCTGCTCATGCACGTGCAGCTCTGCTTCGCCTTCTTCACCTTCTCCCTTGGCACGCGCGCTCACTACTTCCTGCGCACACTCATGCATGGCGGGGCCAAGGTGAGACAGGCGTGCTTGGGCCAAGGTGGGATGGGCATGCATGGAGGAAGGTGGGGCGGGCATGCATGGAGGAAGGTTCGAGAAGTCTCTGAACAGGGACATGCATGATGCATTCAGGAGCTCTGTTAAACAGGCGCACTCCCCTTTCCATCTTACCTTCATCCCAATTCACCCCTCCCTCCTCCCCGCTCTCCGCTCCCTTCTCCTCCCCTCCCCTCCCTCCCCGTCTTCTCGCCTCCTCAGTACCGGGCAACAGGGCGTGGGTTTGTGGTGAAGCACGAGCCATTCGCGGAGAACTACCGGCTGTACTCGCGCAGCCACTTCAACAAAGCAGTAGAACTCCTCCTCTGCCTCATCATCTACATGCTCTACTCCTCCCTCCGCGCCTCCACCGCCTACTGGCTGCTCTCCCTCTCCGCCTGGATCCTCGTGCTCTCCTGGCTGCTCGCGCCCTTCGCCTTCAACCCCCTGGGCTTCGACTGGCTCAAGTGCTGCGATGACTGGGAGGAGTGGACTGCGTGGTTGTGGACCAAGGGCGGGAAGGGCGTGACGGAGAAGCAGGCGTGGGTGGCGTGGTGGGACGAGGAGAGGGCGCATTTGAAGACGACGGGGTGGGGGGGGTGGATTGTGGAGACTCTGCTGGCTCTGAGGTGGTTCTTCGTCCAGTACGCCCTCGTGTACCGGGTGAGTGGAGTGCTGTTGGCTGGTGATGTGTCTGCCTCATGGAGACGCTTCTATCTCTGAGGTGGTTCTTCGTCCAGTACGCGCTCGTGTACCGGGTGAGTGGAGTGCTGTTGGCTGGTGATGTGTCTGCCTCATGGAGACGCTTCTATCTCTGAGGTGGTTCTTCGTCCAGTACGCGCTCGTGTACCGGGTGAGTGGAGTGCTGTTGGCTGGTGATGTGTCTGCCTCATGGAGACGCTTCTATCTCTGAGGTGGTTCTTCGTCCAGTACGCGCTCGTGTACCGGGTGAGTGGAGTGCTGTTGGCTGGTGATGTGTCTGCCTCATGGAGACGCTTCTATCTCTGAGGTGGTTCTTCGTCCAGTACGCGCTCGTGTACCGGGTGAGTGGAGTGCTGTTGGCTGGTGATGTGTCTGCCTCATGGAGACGCTTCTATCTCTGAGGTGGTTCTTCGTCCAGTACGCGCTCGTGTACCGGGTGAGTGGAGTGCTGTTGGCTGGTGATGTGTCTGCCTCATGGAGACGCTTCTATCTCTGAGGTGGTTCTTCGTCCAGTACGCGCTCGTGTACCGGGTGAGTGGAGTGCTGTTGGCTGGTGATGTGTCTGCCTCATGGAGACGCTTCTATCTCTGAGGTGGTTCTTCGTCCAGTACGCGCTCGTGTACCGGGTGAGTGGATTGCACACAGCTGGTGGCTTGTGATACCTCTCGGAAATCCTTCCAGGTGTCTCTCCTTCCAATATGCTATCATGTACCTGGTAGTCGACTCGAGCGCAGCGACTGAACTGGTTCTCGAGGTGCCTGAAGGATCCCCTCACGTATTTCTGCTTCCAGGGCATGCTAGTGTACCAAGTCAGTCGAGCACACACAGCTGTAGGTTTCTCAGTTGACAGGTTACAATCAGAGTCTGAGTTTGCCACTAATGAGGCACCGCTGTGCCACGTCTGACTGACACATGAAGTATCCACTCACTCACCCACTTGTTTTCTCGCCTCCTCCCCTCCTCTCCGCCCAACCTCCCTCCCTCCTCATCCTCCCCACACCTCTGTGCTTCTTTTCCTTTCACGTCCTCCAATCCCGGCTCTGATTTGCAGTTGGACATGGCGAATGCGAGCACGAGCATCCTGGTCTACGTGTACTCATGGCTCTTCATCTTCGCTATGGGGCTCTTCTGGATCTCCCTCACTCTCTGCGACCTCTACCTCTCCATACGCGCCCACCGCCTCCACCGCGCCGTCAAAACCACCATCTGTCTCGTCTTCCTCGCAGCTTTCATAACCGCACTCTCCTTCACAAAACTCTCCTTTTCAGACGTTTTTCTACTTCCTCTAGTCTTCCTCCCCACGGGATGGGGGTTCCTGCAGCTGACTCTGGTGGTGGCCGGGGCGTTTCCGGTGGTGGAGACGTGGTGGACGTGGGGCCTTGTGAAGAGCTTTGCGAGGACTTATGAGTTTATTATTGGGGTGATTGTGTTTTTGCCCATGGCGGTGCTGTCGTGGCTTCCGGGAGTTCAGGACATGCAGACCAAGGTGCTGTTCAACCAAGCGTTCAGCCGAGGGTTACAGATTACGCGGCTTGTCACTGGGGCACATCCAAATGCAGGTTATTAGTTGTGATATACTCCTTGTGCGGGCAATGGTTATACAATTCAGTGTTGTTTCTGTAAATTAAAACCCGCAGCCTGAATTACAAAAAAAGTTGGGAGGTGTTAACACCTCCCCTCCCGAACCAGGGTGGTTACCAGGTCTCACCTTCAAAACGCGAGGAAAGTCGCAGGGTGTGTAGGGAAGGATCGCAGGGGTCTCACCACCACTCTTGGCTGAGGTGTGCACACCAATATCCAAATCTGTAATTCAGGTCGACAAAAAACGCAGTTCAGGGCCAAACTTGGGGCAGTCATAGCTTAGAAGAGAGTCGTCGCGCCGACTTCCACGCCGGTTTAGGGTTCCGCTTTACGCTCTGGGACCATGCCTCCATTCCGACGGGATGAGTCGCCCTTGCTGATCCGCGCGCCTTACATCTCGTTTTCACTGCACGTACCGTAAGGAGCCATGCCCGCAGAACGCAGCCAAGGATTACACATAGATTCCTAACTCAATGTCAAATCTACTGAATGTAGTCGAGTTTCTGACAGCCCATTCGCGAATCTCGCGCGGAAGACTCCGTAACTACGAATAAAGTCCGTGTCCGCTAGTCACCCCCCCACCGTAGCTTATTGCGTAGGTTTCGTTCATATGCCGGTCCGCCATCGCCTAGGATTTCGCTCACGCTTTCGATCGGCGATCCCGCCACTCACCTCGCCTCTCCTCGCGGCCTCACCGCGCGTTTCCCCGCAGACTCGTCGCCTCCCCCCGCTGTCTCGCCTCGCCTTCCTTTGCATGATCGGCTCGCCGGAAATCGCCGCCGCATCAAGCCCCAGCTCGCGGCCTCGCCGTTCCGCGCCGAGCTGCCTCATCTCGACGACCCGTCGCGGCGTCGCCTCCCCACGCTGCCTCCTCACGCCACCGTGAACGCGCTCACAGCGCCGCACACTGCTGAGGTTTAGCGTGCTCTCGCACGCTCAGATTCGCCGCTTGCGTGCGAAACCTCCCAACGACGCCGTTTTCGAACTAGTCGCCGCAGCCGCATGTGAGGTCGCCCTCCCCATCTCTCCTTCCCGCCTCCCCTTCCCCCTTCCAGCCTCCCCATTTCCCCTTCCTTCCTCCCCATTTCCCCTTCTTGCCTCCCCAATTCCCCTTCCTGCCTCCCCATTTCCCCTTTCCGCCTCCCCATTTCCCCTTCCTGTCTCCCCATTTCCCCTCCCTGCCTCCCCATTTCCCCTTTCCGCCTCCCCAATTCCCCTTCCTGCCTCCCCATTTCCCCTTCCCGCCTCCCCATTTCCCCTTCCTGCCTCCCCATGTCCCTTTCCTCCCTCCCCATTTCCCCTTCCCGCCTCCTCGTTTCCCCTTCCTGCCTCCCCTTCCTGCCTCTTCATTTCCCCTTTCCGCCTCCCCATTTCCCCTTCCTGCCTCCCCATTTCCCCTTTCCTCCTACCCATTTCCCCTTCCATCCTCCCCATTTCTCCTTACCGCCTCCCCATTTCCCCTTTCTGCTTCCCCATTTCCCCTTTCCGCCTCCCCATTTCCCCTTTTCGCCTCCCCATTTCCCCTTTTCGCCTCCCCATTTCCCCTTTTCGCCTCCCCATTTCCCCTTTCCTCCTACCCATTTCCCCTTCCATCCTCCCCATTTCTCCTTACCGCCTCCCCATTTCCCCTTTCTGCTTCCCCATTTCCCCTTTCCGCCTCCCCATTTCCCCTTTTCGCCTCCCCATTTCCCCTTTTCGCCTCCCCATTTCCCCTTCCTGCCTCACCTGGTCCCTTCCTTGTCTGCTATTTTCCCCACTTCCCCTTCCTCCGCGGGCATTCCTCCCCTTACCACATCTACCTTACCCTCCCCAGCCGTCGCCTACCATCCCATAGCTTCCCCTTGTGTCCCCTACCCACCCCTTCCCCCTTGCCATTACCGAACCGGCGCCACTCCGCCGCGAGGAGTGTGGGTGAGGGCAGGAGTGGGGGCCGGCGTAATAGAGGCGCAGGTTTGGAGTCGTGGCTCCCTGCACGAGGTGGGGTGGGACAGCCCATAGCTCCCCTTCCATTGTTTTTTTTTTCCATCACGCCCACCCCCTGCCCGAGCCTTCCCGCCCTCCCTGCACGAGGTGAGACAGCCCAGAGCTTCCATGCCATTAGTATCCTCTCCCCATTTCCTCACCTCCCCATCCAGCGCACGCAGCGTACAGCAAGGCAGAGGAGAAATTCCAATGTGCATCGCCATCACTCACCTCCCCATCCCTCACCTCCCCATCCCTCACCTCCCCATCCCTCACCTCCCCATCCCTCACCTCCCCATCCCTCCCCTCCCCAACACCGCAGAAGAGTGTTGGCGTGCGACCCGCAACACCGCTGTCACGGGCTTATCTTCAAGCTGAGTCGGGGGCGCAGCGACATCTTGAGAGCCACCAACTCCGCCTCACCCCATACCGCCTCATCCCCTTCCGCCTCATCCCCTTCCGCCTCATCCCCTTCCGCCTCATCCCATTCCGCCTCATCCCATACCGCCTCACCCCATACCGCCTCACCCCATACCGCCTCACCCCATTCTACCTCACCCCATCCCCGCCTCCCCATCCCTTCCCTCCCCATCCCTCAACTCCCCATCCCCGCCTCCCCATCTCTTCCCACCCATCCCTCTCCTCCCCATCCCGCACCTCCCCATCCTTCATCTCCCCATTCCGCCTCACCCCATCCCAACCTCCCCATCCCGCATCTCCCCATCCCTCACCTCCCCATCCCGCATCTCCCCATCCCTCACCTCCCAGTCTCTCATCTTACCGTCCCTCTTCTCCCCATCCCTCACCTCCTCATCCCTCACATCCCCATCCCTCCTCTCCCCATCCCTTGCCTCCCCATCCCTTACCTCCCCATCCCCTCCCTCTCCATCCCTCATCTCCCCATCCCTCTCCTCCCAGTCTCTCATATTACCATCACTCTTCTCCCCATCCCTCATCCCCCCATCCCTCACCTCCCCATCCCTCACCTCCCCATCCCTCCTCTCCCCGTCCCTCCACACCCCATCTCTTCCACACCCCATCTCCTCCTCACCCCATCTCCTCCACACCCCATTTCCTCCTCACCCCATCTCCTCCTCACACCATCTCCTCCTCACCCCATTCCGCCCCACCCCATTCCGCCCCACCCCATTCTGCCCCACCCCATTCTGCCTCACCTCATTCCGCCCCACCCCATCCCACAACCTCCCCGTCACCTCCACCCCGTCCTCTCTCCTCTCTGCTTCTTCTCCTCCTTTTCACATCCTCTTCATTCCTCTTCCCCCGTCACCGCGTCCCCTCCTCTCCCCATCCCCTCCTCTCGCCGTCCCATCTTCTCCCCACCACCTCCCGTCCTCTCCCCATCCCCTCCTCTTCCAAACCCATCCCTCCTCACCACATCCCTCCTCTTTCCATCCATCCTCTCCCCATCTCTCCTCTCCCCATCCGTCCTTTCCCCGTCCGCTCCTCTCCAACGCCTCTCCAGGTGTCTCCCACACCACTCTCGGCCCTGTGGAAGGGCATGGTGTAATGGCAGATCCCTCCTGTCCTCCCAACCTCTATTCCTCTCACTCCCCTCCCGTCGCCCACGCTCACTCACCTCCCGTCGCCCACGCTCACTCCCCTCCCATCGTCACCCACTGGTTGTGATGTGTTGGCTGTTTGATACTAAACGACGTATAGACATGCCATGTATTGGATAGTTTTGTATGATACGGCATTATGAGCTTCGGAGCAGTCATACACATGACCACTAGCTAGGGGTCCAACAAATAATATACTAGTACTATTTGTACGGAACAAGGGGAATCACTCAATTTTATAAGAGCACAAATCTGGGGGGAATGTAATGTTGCTTCCTGGTTTTGTCTGCTACACTGCAATCAATGAACCAGGCCGTGGTAAAGCCACAACATCTGGTGCTGGACACCTGTACCCTGCATTGGGGATATGGGGGTGAGTGAAGGGGAAAAGACAGTAAAAGGAGTGAGCAGAAGGGAAGAGAAGAAGCAGCGGGGGACAGAGTGAGAAGGGGGGAAGAGAGGAAGCAGTGGGAAACAGAGTGAGCAGAAGTGAAGAGAGTGAGCAAGGGGGAAGAGAGTGAGAAGAGAAGGGGGGTGGGGAGCAGTGGTGAAACAGAGCGAGCAAGGGTGAAACAGAGTGAGCAACCCTAAACATAGTGAGGAGGGGGGAAGAGAGTGAGCTGGTGGGAAGATAGTGAGCAGAGGGAAAGAGAGTGAGTAGTGGGGAATATAGTGAGCAAGGTGGAAAAAGAGGAGGGGGAAGAGTGTGAGAAGGGCGAAAAAGAGTGAGCAAGGGGAAACAGATGGAGCAAGGGGAAACAGATGGAGCAAGGGGAGCGGAAACGAGGGCGACGGACGGGGGAAAGTGAAGTCAACGGGAGTGGAAAAACGAGGTTGACGGGAGGGGGAAAGCGAGGTCGACAGCAGGGAAGGGGTTGGGGGGAAGCAGGGAAGGGGATGGGGGGAAGCAGGGAAGGGGATGGGGGGAAACAGGGAAGGGGATGGGGGGAAACAGGGAAGGGGATGGGGGTAAGCAGGGAACGGGATGGGGGGAAGCAGGGAACGGGATGGGGGGAAGCAGGGAACGGGATGGGGGGAAGCAGGGAAGGGGTTGGGGGAAAGCAGGGAAGGGGATGGGGGGAAGCAGGGAAGGGGATGGGGGGAAGCAGGGAAGGGGATGGGGGGAAGCAGGGAACGGGATGGGGGGAAGCAGGGAAGGGGATGGGGGGAAGCAGGGAAGGGGATGGGGGGAAGAAGGGAAGGGGATGGGGGAAGCAGGGAAGGGGATGGGGGGGGGCAGGGGAGGGGACGGGGGGAAGCAGGGAAGGGGATGGGGGAAAGCAGGGACGGGGATGGGGGGAGGCAAGGGAGTGGACGGGGGGGAGCAGGGAAAGGGATGGGGGGAAGCAAGTCAGAGAATGGGGGGAAGCAGCGCAGGGGATACGGCGAAACAGGGAAGAAGTTTGGGGGAAGCATTGCAGGGGATACGGGGAAACAGGGAAGAGGACGTGGGGAGCGGGAGAGATGCCGGGGAGAGAGCTGGGGGGAGGACGGTGGGGAGCAGGGCAATTGATGGGGGGAAGAGGAAGAGAGGTAAGCTGTGTGGGGGTGAAAGGCAATTATTGGGGAGAGGGAAGGGTGTAAGTGCGGGTTGGAAAGGGGGCGTGACAAGTGTGCGAGATGTGAAGGGAGCAAGGGAGGGATGCCGAGGGCAACGAGGAGTGGATGGGAGGGCGGCGGGGAAACCGAGGGCGACGGGGGAGAGAGATAGACGGGGATTGCGAGGGGACGAGCGGGAGGGAGGGTGACGAGCGGCAGGGAGGGCGACGAGCGGCAGGGAGGGCGACGAGCGGCAGGGAGGGCGACGAGCGGCAGGGAGGGCGACGAGCGGCAGGGAGGGCGACGAGCGGCAGGGAGGGCGACGAGCGGCAGGGAGGGCGACGAGCGGCAGGGAGGGCGACGAGACGAAGGGGGGCAACGGGCGGAAGGGAGCGCGACGAGGGGAAGGAAGGGCGGAGGACGGAAGGGAAGGCAACGGGAGGACGGGAGGGCGACAAGACGAAGGGAGGGCGACGGGCGGAAGGGAGCGCGACGAGGGGAAGGAAGGGCGGAGGGCGGAAGGGAAGGCAACGGGAGGACGGGAGGGCGACAAGACGAAGGGAGGGCGACGGGCGGAAGGGAGCGCGACGAGGGGAAGGAAGGACGGCGGGCGGAAGGGCGGGTGACGGGCGGATGCGAGGGCGACGGGCGGAAGCGAGGGCGGCGGGCGGGGAAGCAGCGAGGGGGACGGGCGAGGCGAGGGAGGTAGGCGGGGAAAGCGAGAGCGACTGGCGGGGGAAGCGAGAGCGATGGGCGAGGGAAGCGAGGTCGACGGGCGGCTAGGCGGCGAGGGCGACGGACGGTGGGTGGGCGATGGGCGAGGGTCGCGAGGTGGGCAAAGCGCTAATTTCTCATCTCCTCACGCCTATTCTCCGTGCTTCGATTGCGTGGCCACGCTGCACCTAGGGATTCCGGTTGTCTGAAGTGTGTTCGCTATAAAATCCTAATGTAAGAATGTTCGCGCAATGTAGCTACTGAATTTGTGTGCTGCCGAGTGGAGGAAACTAAGATTCGATAATTTCTGTGTCTAAGTTAGTAGCTAGTAATGGTGTGCTGGTTTTTTGTCGACGGAGGTTCTGTAGGTCACATCCCTTCCCCATTGTATTGGTTTCCGTCGCCCAGATTCAATGTTGCGACACCTGTGTGTTCGCAAATTGGTTTCGCCACCCGAAAGTGTCACCCACCCACCCGAACCTCTCCCCAACCTCTTCCCAAACCAAGCGTTGACTCGTTTTTGTAATTCAGGCTGCGGGTTTTAAACAGCACTGGTGCATGTGTTATGCTTCAGGGAGGACTGCTAGAAATGTGAAATATTTTCAATAAATGCACATCTCGCGTATAGGTGCCTATATTTTGATGGCAGCACACCATTGGCTGCCGACTACTAGCGCGGTCACCTCCTCATCCTCCTGACTCATGCAGCATCCGCGGTGTGCCAGATCACCGCATCCCCACTCCACAAAGCCTGAATGCCCTAACAAAGTCAAATCAATTCGGTTTGTGGCTGAGAAACCATCCCGCTGGTATGGAGGGGAGCAGACCATCAGAAATTCTGTGGCTTCGTTTTGACATGTGAGGTTTCAACGACAGGCAAAGTTCAAAAGGTACCATTATTCGCCATGCAAAAACGTACTGTATCTATCTGAAAGCTACAGAACCTTTGGGTTTCAGCGGACCTGAGTACTCGAGATCAAACACCCGACCAGCTAATTCCTTGGGATCAGGTTCTTCATGCAGTCCGAGTAGGATTTCAGAGCATCTAGAGGATACCGTAGTCGTCAGTCTCGAGGGTACTTGCGCTGCATTGAAGCCGCTATCGAGATTGCACTTCTTACGAGTCGGACTGACGACGACAGACTTGAATAACAAGTCTGCTTCGATTACTACTTACGATTTTATGTTCTCTAGGCTCAGCATCAGCAGTGAATCACACAACATTCCGAGGTTTTCTTGGTAGCACAGCGAAGCAGCCATGGGGTTGGTGGGGGAGATCCTGGGTCATCCAGATGAGTTCATGCCGTTGCTGCGGATCCGACACATGGCGAAGATGGTGTCGAAGCTTCCCGACGACGAGGATTTCGCCTTCTGCTACGGCATGCTTAACCGCGTTAGTAGGAGCTTCGCCTTCGTCATTCAGCAGCTGCACCCGCTGCTGCGCGACCCGGTACGAAACGAAGAGAATGTGACCTAACTGAATAGTAATGGTCTCCATAACAGCGGCAAGGATGGCGAAAATCCGAGTTCGAACTTACGAAAATGAGCACGTGATGAAGGAAACCCCATCTCTAACCTACTATGAGCCAGGATCCTGATGAATTACCATCTGATAGTTGAACCAAGAGGTGAGAGGCGTGCGGTCATCCATGGGTACCGTCTGACGCCTCGACTAAATGCCGTATTAATGAGTCTAGCGTGTGTTTCGCCATGTCCCCCACAGGTGTGCATCTTCTACCTCGTCCTACGCGCCCTTGACACAGTCGGTATGTTCACCCTTTCACCTACTCACTCACCCGTGCCTTATCCTATTCATGTCAATCTTCCCCGCTTCCTTCTTCCCACGTTCCTGCACCTGCTTCGTACTTGCACAGAAGCTAGCTCACTACGACAGTTCGTGCTGTGTCCTCTTCGGGTCCTCGTACTTCCACGTTCCTACACCCTTCAGGTCCTCTTCGGCCCCCACATCACTTCATTCTCCACTCGCGCAATGACCCACTCATCTACCCGCATTCAGTCATTCCGTCCCTCCCTCCCCGAAATTCATTACTTCGCTCCGTTCTCCGCTCCTCTCCCACCCTCCCTTCCACACCAACTCTCCCCTCCCGTCTCACCAGAGGACGACATGGCAGTGCCAATAGACGAGAAGGTCCCCATCCTCATCGCATTCCACCAACACATCTGCGACCCCGACTGGAAATTCGTCTGTCAGTGCCCCTCCCTTCCATCCCCCTCCCCTTCTTCAACACCCACCCCGTCCTCTCTCCCTCTCCGCCCACCCGTGTCACAATGTCTTCTTTTTCTCTCTCTCTCTTGCCGTCATACCTGTAATCCCATTTCTTCCTTGCTTAAACCCAACTGTGCAACTTCCCCACCAAGGCCCTTACTAGAGCCTCACTCATATCAAGCTCATCCAAAAGCTCTTCCCCGCTATGAATTCTGTCCACAAATCATCAGCGGCACCAAGGACTACATACACACCTCGTCTCATTGCATCCCGCCCACATGTGACCAGGCGGCACCAAGGACTACAAGGACCTCATGCAGCGCCTGCACCACGTGCCTTCCCTCGCCCGGCCTAACATCCCAACCCCCCTCTCCCCGCTCCCCCCCTGTCCCTCCCTTCTCCTCCACCCCCCACCAGGCGGCAGCAAGGACTACAAGGACCTCATGCAGCGCCTGCACCACGTGCGCCAAGCACTTGAGAAGCTCGAGCCCAGGTAAGGCGAGACGAGCTGCGGCCAGGCCAGGGCATCCCAGACTAAAGCTTGTGTGAGACCACGCAACGGAACTATGGAGCTCAGGAATGACGAGGTACCACAAACGAGAGCCCAGGTAAGACGAAGCGAGGCTAGCTGCAGCCGGGTCATTCCATGGAAGCTGGTGTGAAATTATGGACCATTCATTACATAGGCCATGTAGCGGAATTATGGATGTCAGGAACGGTGAGGTACCACAACCGAGAGTCCAGGTACGTTGCGATACAGCCAGCCATGCCCATCCAGGCCAGAAGCTGGTGGAAGTAAGCTAGATTCTCGGTTCAGGTTCAATCTTGAAGCTCGTGCAGGGATTCAAGATATCATGTTACCACATTACATTGCATTTTGCGCTCCTTCCCCTTCCCTCTCCTCCCCTCCCACTCCTCTACCTCAAACCCTAAACCCTGAACCATGTTCCCACACATGACCCACACGTGGCAGTTACAAGGCGGTGATTCTAGACATCACAAAGCGCATGGGAGCAGGCATGGCGTCCTTCATCACCACCGAGGTCAGCCACTGTCAGCCCCTCTCAGCCGCTCTAAGCCCCTCTCAGCCGCTCTAAGCCCCTCTCATCCGCTCAAAGCCCCTCTCAGCCGCTCTAAGCCCCTCTCAGCCCCTCTCAGCCCCTCTCAGCCGCTCTAGGCCCCTCTCAGCCCCTCTCAGAACCTCTCAGCCCCTCTCAGCCCCTCTCGGCCGCTGTTAGCCGCTGCAAGTGGCAACAAGCCAAACGCTGGTGTCCTTGTGTCGTTCTGCTCTGGCGTGCAACGCTCCCTTCTCTGCCTATCTTCTAAAGCCCCATCCCTTTGCCCTGCCCTTTGAATTCATGTGTTGACCGTTTACCCCACGAATCCACCGCTTAAACTGGGGGCCTCCTCCCCCCAAATGAGATGGCGAACCAGCGCTGCCACTAGCTCACACTGCCATCTACGTCTCTACCCCCCTCTACCATTCTCACGATACCTCATTGCCCCATGCTCACTGTTCAACCATCTCCCATGCCCTCGTTCCTTCAAACACCGCCCCCAGGTAGAGACGGGGTGGCACAGTGAGACGAGTGCTGCCACACACATTGCACTCCACCTCCCTCTTAAATCCCATGCCTTCCCTCACTGTGGAATCGTGCACCCTACTCTGAACGTCAACCCCCAGGTAGAGACGGTGACACAGTACGACGAGTACTGCCACTACGTGGCGGGGCTGGTGGGCATCGGCCTGTCTTTGGAGGTGCCTCCAAAGACCTTCCTACCTCTATCCCGCATGTTAACCCCCAGGTGGAGACAGTAGATACGCTTTTGATTCGACACATCACTATCTCTATCCCGCACGTCAACCCCCAGGTGGAGACGGTGCCACAGTACGACGAGTACTGCCACTACGTGGCGGGGCTGGTGGGCATTGGCCTGTCGGACCTCTTCCACGCTGCCAACCTGGAAGAAGCGTTTGAAGAGTCCCTCTCCAACTCCATGGGCCTCTTCCTGCAGGTGTGTGCGTGCGCCCGTCCCTTTGTCCATTCATCCGTCCATTCATCCATCCCTCACACCCTGTTGACGTGATTCTTGAGTACAATCAAGGGTCTTTCGATCCGGGAGTCCCTCTCCAACTCCATGGGCCTCTTCCTGCAGGTGTGTCTGTCGGTCCATTATCCACCCATCCACCCATCCGTCCGTCCGTCCGTCCGTCCGTCCATCTGGTTTGAGGCATCCGTGTGTGCATGCACGCATACCCCACACACGAGTATGTTTGTGAGTAAGGGACGAGTGCATCATGAGTGCATGCGTCATGGAGCACACAACCATCTGTGTGCTAAGCTACCTCAAGGTCCCCGTGGGAGACCTCATTGAACCTGCTCTTACCCATCGAATTCTCCTTTCTCCCTTGCCACGTCTGTGAATTTCCCCATGCGTGCATGCCTCCATGTTTGCATGTCCCCCCACGTGCATGTGCGTGTCCCTCATGTCCCCCATGCGCCCCATGTGCCTCATGCGTCCCATGTGCCCCATGCGCCCCATGTAACCCATGTCCCCATGGCCCCATCTTCTCCCCATGTTTTCCATTCCCCCATGGCACAGAAGACCAATATCATCCGGAACTATCTAGTGGACATCACAGAGCTCGCCCCTCGCATGTTCCCCATGTGCCATGCGCCCATGTGTCACATGTCCCCCACCCTCATGTCCATGTCCCCATGACAGAAGACCAACATCATCCGGGACTATCTAGAGGACATCACAGAGGAGCCCGCTCCACGCATGTTCTGGCCCAAAGCCATCTGGGGCAAGTACGCCTCGCGCCTTGAGGTGAGCCGCTTTGGGAGGACATTGTCAAGTAGCTTCCCGCCACGTGCCCTGCATTCCCTGCCGCACTGTGCTCCATTGATTACGCGCCTCCAAAGTTGTTCCATTCCATACCACACTCTGATGCATGCAGCATGATCTTTGCCCTTTCCTGTGCGGGGCTGCGTCTCCACTTATCCCACCAGGTCTTCACGTATGTGGAGTGCAACAGGGCTGCACTGCAGCAGTGAAGTGTTTTGAGTCGTCTCCCGCTCACAACATGACCACTCACTCCGCACCGCAATTCACCGCACTGCACCTCACTCCCGCCGTACACAGGACTTCAAGGACGTGGAGAGCAACGAGCTGGTGACCAATGCTCTGGGTCATGACCACTATCTCTGCACCGCACTGCACCGCAATGCCCCTACTCCCACCAGGACTTCAAGGACGTGGAGAGCAATGGAGCAGCGGCAATGAAGTGTGTGAACGAGCTGGTGACCAACGCCCTGGGCCATGTCTCGGACTGCCTCACCTACATGCACCGCCTCCGAGACCCCCAAGTCTTCCGCTTCTGCGCCATTCCCCAGGTCCGTGAATGACAGATCAGCATTCTCCAGGTCAGTGAATGACAGATCAGCATTCTCCAGGTCAGTGAATGACAGCTCAGCACTCCCCGGGTTTGTCACTGACAGGTCAGCATGCCTGAGTCCATGGCTGACAAGACGTGCTCCCTTGTGGTCATGCTCCCATTTGGTGATGCTCCCATGTGGTCATGCTTCCACATGCTTCCATGCAACCATGTCTCCCTTGCCGTTCATGCTTTCCCTGCAACCATCGCACCATGTTGCGATGTCTGCATGATCCCATCCCATGCATCTATGCATCCCTTCTCTGCCCCGGCCCCCCATGCCAATCATAGCAGTTGAACTCACGTGAGAGTGAGATGCACCAGAAGTTCCCAGATTCAGAGCTGTCTTGCTGCTTCCATGCGTCCGTTGGCCTTCCGGCCCCCGCACAGATCATGACCATGGGCATGCTCGCACTGTGCCGCAACAACATCAGCGCCCTCGCAGTCTTTTAGGTGTCTCAACCATTTCACACTTGCATGCATCCCTTGCCCTCACCCACGCCCCCGCACAGATCATGGCCATGGGCACGCTCGCACTGTGCTACAACAACATTGGCGTCTTCCAAGGCGGGGTCAAGATGAGAAAAGGTGCTGTCACCGTAAGACCCCTTACCGCTCGTTGCTAAGGCATGTGTATGGTCGTACCCATTTGCTTCTCACGTTTCTATTAGTGTTTCCTTCAGATTTTTTTTCCTTCCATTAGTTTTCCATGCCCTGCTCACCTTCCGCTTTCGCATTGGGCTGTGTGTGTGTAACAGTCGTGGGGCTCTCACCCATCTGGATCTGTCTTCACCTCTCCCTCACACTGTGCCTTTGTGTTGCACACCCCATACCCTTCGTCGCGCCACACCCTTCCTCGCCCCACACCCCATCCCGGGGGGCAGGTCTAGCGGCGAAGGTGATGGAGCAGACGTGGAGCATGGCGGACGTGCGCTCCTCATTCACAGACTTTGGCTTCGAGATCCTGAAAAAGGTACACCCTGCCCTGCCACTTGCTCACGCAGCACCTTAAAATGGGGGTACTGGCCCTTTCCCTGGCCTCTACACCTTCCCTCCATAACTCTATCCTATTCCCGTCACACCAACTCACGCCCCCACACGCACCCACATGAACTACAGGTGGACGATTCAGATCCAAACTCGCAGGCAACACGGGAGTGTATTGGCAAGATCATCGCCTCGTGCAGAACAGAGGGAAGGCTAGTAAGGGGACGCCTGTCAGTCTGTGACAATGCCAAGTGGCGATACCTATTCTATTTATTCCTCATTGTAAGTGCCCTTTCCATCCTCCCCGCCCTCAGCTGATCGTTCAATCTCTGTCCTGTCTCAGTCCCTCACCCTCTTCCAACCTTTTTCCCTACCATCACCTGTCCTGTCCCTCATTCATTTGCCATCCCTCATCTATGTCCTGTCGCGACCACTATATCGTGACCGCTCCATCCCCTTCCTATCAGTCCTCCCTCCACGGCAGCCCTTTCTCGTTATCCGTACTTCTGTTCACTATCAGAGCTGCATCCGTCTGCACTCACGAGCAGTAGAGCTTGCCATAATCGCCACCCACTAAATGCTTTCTCGCAGCATAACAAGTCTGCTCTGTGTTGGTGTTTCTTGTTTCTCTGCAGCTGACGCTGATCTTCTACGTGGTCTCATACGTAAGTAATGCCTTCTCATCATAGGGGGCTTGTTTCGGAACGGTGGCATAGCAAACAATATAACATTCTGTATGTTTCTTGTTCCGCAATCAATTGAGTTTTTGTCATAAGCTTGGTCAGTAAAAAAAAATGTATACTACACGCATCTATGGTATACAAGACTCCATATCCGTGTGCGATATGAGAATGTCCAACCATAGATGAGGTGCCCACATGTGGTATTACATTAGTTTGCCAGTTAAGAATGTGTGGATCAGTCTGCTGCTGCTTCTGGTTCTGAAATGGTAGCTTTAAAACCATAGAACCACATAGTATCCATGGAGTAGCAAATGTACCAAAGATATTCGGCAATGAAAATGTCTTGCTCCAAGCGCGTCCGAAGTATACCCGTTTGAGAGTGTATCTCGAGTTTCAAGTTGAATCTTGCCATACGTGAATCGTCACCGACTTTCTTCCGCTGACTCGGACACAGGGAGAAGATACGAAGCACAGAGGGCAGGCCACGTGTTTCGCGAACCTTCCACCGATACACCAAGGCGCGAAACAGACGAGCGTACAAATCAGACCTGTCCCCCGTCGTGCGCCCCCCTCACTTCTCCACCTTTCCCCCTGTTGCCCGAAACTGCCCCTCCAAGCCTAGATTGTACTGTACAGCCTTGGGATAGCCCTGCCTTGGGATAATCGATGCCACGCCATGAGGGTCAATCACGACCGAGAACCAAGCCTGAGCGTTTGCTTCGGCGTCCGACTGGACCATCTTCACTGGCGACCGCATTTACTGTACCTTGTCGCGCCTCCCCCCAACCTTCTTTTCCCGAGTCCCCGCCCTTGTATGCGCAACCGACAGTTTCTGCATCCCCTCCTCCCAAACCTTTCTGCCTCTGCCTGATTGCCAGAGCAGATTCTTGGAGCCTATATTGGCCAGAATCAACGATTCTCGGAATTCAATCCAGCTCTTCATTCTCCTGGGACTTGCTTCTGGTTCCGTGTGCCTGTGTAAGACAGAGTGTACAGAACCCGTAGCCATGGCCAAGTCCTACCCTACCGTCAGCGAGGAGTACCAGACTGCCGTTACCAAGGCTAAGAGGGAGTTGAGGGCTCTCATTGCGGAGAAGAACTGCGCTCCCATCATCGTTCGCCTGGCGTAAGTATTCACCTATGCTTCGCCTACGAGATTATGAGGCCTGACCGTTTTGCAGACGCAATGAGATAGATTGACATGGAAGCTGACAGAATTCTTGGTGTACGAGTCTGCATGCAGTTGGCATGGTGCTGGCACTTTCGATGTCAAGGACAAGTCCGGAGGTCCGTTCGGAACGATCCGCAAGCCGGAGGAGCTGGCGCACGGAGCGAATGCTGGTCTCAAGTGGGCTGTCGACGTCCTCGAGCCCATCAAGGCCAAGTACAACATCCTCTCGTACGGCGATCTCTACCAGGTTCGTGCTACTGCCTCGTTCCGATCTTGAACTCAATTGTCCGCACTCGTTACCGTCTTTGTGACATGCTCGTGCGTGCGCGCGTCTAAGCCGTGTAACTTGTTTTGAACAGCTTGCTGGAGTCGTCGCTGTGGAGATCACTGGAGGCCCAGAGATCGAATTCCATCCCGGACGCAAGGTAAGTGACACGTTGCACAAACCCAACCCCGAATCTCATGTTGTTCCACATTTGTTATCTGCCCGTAAGTATTTCTCCTGCAGTATCTTGAGAGATCTTTATTCCTGTGAATGTCCCCAGGATGGGGAGAAGGTTCCGCCCGAAGGCCGCCTACCAGATGCCACGAAGGGCTCCAACCACCTGAGGGACATTTTCTACAAGATGGGTCTCAACGACAAGGAGATCGTCGCACTCTCTGGCGCTCACTCTCTGGTGAGTAGGGTCTGAGAAATTGGGTGCCACTGTCGACGCCAGATCCGTTTTGCATCGCAACGAAGCCAAATGGGGAAACCATCCGAATAACAATGCGACGTATTTTTCGCTGGCAGGGGAGATGCCACAAGGAGAGGTCAGGGTTTGAGGGCGCGTGGACCACACAACCCCTGAAGTTCGACAACGAGTACTTCGTGTAAGTCACAGGCAGTGATTGAGTTGAAACTTGAAATCCCCCCAGTAGGAGTGACAGATAAGGAACGGATCTCATATTTTCCGTGTTTGGTACTGCAGCAACCTTCTGGGCGACAATGAGAAGGGTCTGCTGGTGCTTCCCAGTGACAAGGCTCTCGTGGAGGATCCTGAGTTCAAGAAATATGTCGAAATCTATGCCAAGGTGCGTTGAGTTAAGTCATACATGAAAGTAGGATTGGCTTCACTGCGAGCACATGCCAAAGCTCACTTGTGAGATGTGACTTGTTACCATGGCACAGGACGAGGATGCCTTCTTCGCTGACTATGCTGCGGCCCACGTAAGGCTATCTGAGCTCGGGTAAGCAGACTGAAGGGGCGGGCATGGCAGAAATGTGTAACTAGTTGCAAAATGGGGCAGGATGCATGCTATGGTTTTCAGGATCTTGTTTTCCGCAGCTGCTCATGCATTTTTTCTTGTTTCCCTGCAGATTCGCCGATGCTTGAAGTCTGAACACCTACCGGTAGAGTATATTCTTTTGGATGTTTACTTCGTTGTTCTCATGGTGTAAAAAATGCAAGCATGACGAGTATATGTACCACCAGTGCAAAAGAGTTCCCTGTCGAACCACATTTAGCACCAACAGTTACAGGACGAAACTGACAGATGCACAGTCTTACCAGCCTAATTTGCCCACCACCAGCAAATTGAAACTTGTAGGGACAGTACCCATGTTGAGTCTTTCGTGGAAGAAAAGCTTTCCCAAATCAATCAGTTCCTTTCTTTGTGCTCCCATTCATGCACAACTGTTTACTGTGGGGTGAAAGAGATGAAAATCTTCCCACCATGAAGACCAGCATGCATTTGTTAGACACACGACAGGCATTGAGATTTTTTCTTCTAAATTTCCCCTTCTGGCCGCAAGTCTAAGCGGTAGCAATTGCCGAAACTCCTGCAGCTGGAGCGTCGCCAAGATCTTGCGTGATGACTCCCAGAAGAACCAGGGACGCCCTGAAGATAAACCAGAACAAAACGAGACAAAGCATTGCAAATCAATCAAGCCTCGCGTGGCACAAGTGCACAGAGCTCTCAAAACTGAGCGAATGCCGGAAGACGGGGGACTGCGCAAATGGTTGCGTTGCATCACGTGCAGCAAGGTGGAAACAATTATGTTGTGAGACGACTCAAAACAGGGTGGGTGCATACCGAGGAACGGAGGGCTGCACGGATGGTTGTGCGGCATGTGCAGCAAGGTCGGGGCGGAGCGATGGCTCTCGATTCAACGCATCCTCCAGCTGTGCTGCTGGCAGCTGTGAGGGGGGGGAGGAAGGGAATGGGGGAAGGAAGAGGAGGAAGCGAGAGGGGAATAGGGAGAGGGGGGAGGGGAGAGGGGGAAAGGTAGATTCAGTGCATCCTCGAGCTGTGCTGCTGGCAGCTGTGGGGGGGGGAGGAAGGGAGTGGGGCAAGGAAGAGGGTGAAGGAAGGTAGAGTGGCAGGCAGAATTTTGAGGAGACCGGGAGAGGTTGTGGGTGAGTGTGAGCGTGAGAGGTGAGGGTGAGGGAGAGGGAGAGTGTGAGAGTGAGGGTGCGAGTGAGGGTGAGTGTGAGGGAGAGGGTGAGGGTGAAGCGAGGGAGAGGGCGAGGGAGAGGACGGCAACAGAGCTGTGGCAGGGTGAGAGGGCTCACTTGTAGGAGAACAGGAAAAGAGAGTGGCTTTGTAACGAGGCAGCACTTGATGAAGCCCAGCCACAGCTGCGGATGCGCCCTCCACACCTGCAGGGTAGATCAGGAGGGGGGGCAGTGAACTTAAATAGTGATAAGCTGGCAGGGTTATATGGCATTCGATGGCATCAGATGAAACGTGGTGGGAATGGATAGCATGATGTGGTGCCAGCTGGCATGCGGCGGCATCAGGTGGCATGAATGATATTTAGAGCACACAGTTTTACGTTTCCGATGCGGATCGACGCATAACGTCTCAAAGTTCCATTTTCACCTGTTTGGTTATTGAGACGTCTCAAAAACCATTCGCACCTGTTTGGTTATGAGGCGCGAGAGAATGTCCGCAACAAACGATGCCTGCATGCAATAGAATGACGGGTTTAGGGTGAAACAAGAGAGCAAATGAGAAACAGAGAAAAGTAAGAACAAAAGGGTGATTATCACTCAACTGTTATAAAAAGAGACTGGAATGGAACAAATTTGATCCACTTCACCAGACGGCATGAAGAAAAACAAAGAAGCAAGGTGGTGTGAAAGGAGATAGCGGGGTGCCAGACAAATGTGAAAATCTTAAACTTGCGCAACAGATGAGGAGGGCAGTGAGGAGGGCAGTGAGAGGGGCATGAGGAGGGCAGTGAGAGGGGCATGAGGAGGGCAGGCAAGGGCAGCGAGGAGGGCAGGGGCAGTGAGGAGGGGAGTGCGGAGGGAAGTGAGGAGGGGAGTGCGAATCTGACAATGTCAGGGAAAGCTGCAACAGACTCCATGGCGGTGCGGAAGAGGAGCATGGGGAGGGGCGTCTGTCCGACCTGTGCGAGACAAGTAAGAAAGCAAGGAGAGAAAATAAACAGAAAAGAACGAAACAAGGTCGTCATGTGTTACTTCGGTAAATTTAACAAGGTCTAATGCCGAGAGGCACTGGTAGATAGATAGGGTCTTCGTCTTCCAGGGCCTCTGCCAAAGTCGCCGTCTAAATCAGGGCACATCACGAAGCAGATAAACAGGGTTGTTTGTTATGAATCACAGTTTACAGCAGCAGTCGTACTGACTGAATTTAGACTACACTCCAGCTTCGACACTCCTCCATGCACCATCTGATATGCTCATGCTCCCCTCCCCACGTCACACTATGCGGCACCACAAGCAGCATAGCAGCTGGTTCAGGAGTCCAGCGATGGCTTGCTGCTTGTAGACGGCTGTTGATCGACTCGAAAAGAATACCAGTCGAGTCAGGGCCAGGGCCAGCAGAGCAGCTGGTTGAGGAGGGTGTGACGACTTCTGAGGCGCCTCAAAAGAATACCCGCAACGCCAGGGCCATCAAAGCAGCTGGTTGAGGAGGGTGTGACGACTTCTGAGGCGCCTCAAAAGAATACCCGCAACGCCAGGGCCATCAAAGCAGCTGGTTGAGGAGGGTGTGTTAAATTATTCTCAAGGGCTCGGAAAAATTGCAATTATACTTGAGAACCCATTCAATGATTCTCATATACTTGCACTCTTGTCAACGATGCAAAACGGAGAGCATACCAGCTGGTTGAGCACTTTTGCGATGACTTGCTGCGTGTAGATGGCGCGCTGGGAGATGCAGAAAGAACACACCGCCATGATCTGATGGAAACACAACACAAGGAGTACATGCGAATCAAAGAAAAAGGAGGTTGGGTTGGGAGGTGAGTTTTTGAGACACCTAAAAGACAGCCTTTCATCGCGCTGGGAGATGCAGAAGGAACACACCGCCATGACCTGACGGACGCACAAACACAACACAAGGAGTTGATGTGAATCAAGTTTTGAGACGTCTAAAAAACTAACGCACACAAGGGGTTTATGTAAATTAAAGCAAAAGCAAGGATGTAACAGGACGACACTTCAACGACTTTGATTCGAAAGGGTCCCTTTATTTTTATTTTCCCATAAAAGGCGAATCATCTTGTCAGTTGGTTTTCACTGGAATATGCTGGTAAAAAGGCAAGTAAAAATGAATAGTATCGGAGGAGCGGAGAGGAGAGCACAAGATGAACGAACCAGGAACGAGACAATGCATGTCGAGACTTACCGAAACTCAGGCGTACCTTTTTCAGCGGCACGTTGTCTCTCTTGGGCTGCACGGCATGCAGTGTGGTCATGAGCTCCACTGCTGTCAGCGGTGGCGGCGTGTGGGGCGAACCCTGAGAACGAGTGAGGGCGCAAATGGGGAGGGAGGGGAAAGAATAGAGCACAGGTGTGCAGAAAATTGATTTCCCTCTCACCTAAACCATTTTCCCTCTCACCTGCACCACTCTATCTCTCACCTGCATCGCGCACCCTCTCAGCTGCACCGGTCTCACTATCACCCCTACCGCTCTCCCTCTCACCTCCGCTCTCCTCTCACCTGCACCGCTCTCTCCCTCTCACCTGCACCATCCTGCCTCACTCTCACCTGCAGCAGCCGGTCCTGGGCGATCTTGAAGAGCTCCAGAGGCAGATGCAGCAGGCGAGGGAAGACCTCCAGTGCCACTCACTCGCACCAGCACATCCAGCGAGCTCTCTCTCACCTGCAGAACAGCCTCTCCTTCTCACCGTCACCACACTCCTCCTCTCACCTGCAGCAGCCGGTCCTGGGCGATCTTGAAGAGCTCCAGAGGCAGATGCACCAGGCGAGGGAAGACCTCCAGTGCCTGTAGAGAGGTGAGGATGGTATCGTTTATGGGGTATGAGGGAATTGGAAATGGGAGGTGCAGAACGGGAAAAGAAACGTGAGCAGGAGAAAAAACTGGACCAGAACTCCCACCAATGTCTGGCACACGCCTTCACTGAAATTGCCTCATCAATGTCGCAGGGTAAGAAGCGTCTCAAAACAAATGTGTTAGCACGTGGCTACAGTCACATACACCGCAGTCACGTCACCATTCGCAGAGCTGCAGTGGCATGTGCGCACCTCGTTTTTGGAGAGGAAGGGCAGGATGGGAATGAGGAGCTCAGGTTCCTGGAGTGGCAGGGAGAAAGGGGCGTAAGTGGCGTGACCAGGGGATGAATGTGTGAAATGCGTTGACTTTTGAGACGTGTCAAAAGAGGAAGGGCAGGATGGGAATGAGGAGCTCAGGTTCCTGGAGTGGCAGGGAGAAAGGGGCGTAAGTGGCGTGACCAGGGGATGAATGTGTGAAGTGCGTTGACTTTTGAGACGTGTCAAAAGAGGAAGGGCAGGATGGGAATGAGGAGCTCTGGCTCCTGGTAGGGAGAAAAGGGAATGAGGGGAGGCAAGCGATGTGCATGGTGAGCTGATGGAGAGGGAGGGAGAACGAAGGAATGAAGGAATGCACGAAGGAATGAAGGAATGCACGAAGAAATGAAGCCACTCTTTTTAAAGCATATCGGAGCGGAAAACAAGCCATACGATGGAACGGAGAAAATGGATGACGTAAATGGAAACAGAGACATGCTGGAAGGTTTAGCACCAACGAGGGATTCTTTAGGCTTGAAGAATACGCATGATGACTTTTGAGTCGACTCAAAAGTCACCTCGTTTTCGAGGCTTGACTTGAAGAGTATGCCTGAAAGGGAAAAGAAAAGAGACGTACCGCAGACCTGGCAGCAGAGAGGGTTTTGACCGCAGCGATGAAGGGCGGGGGCGGGGCGGATGGGCGTGGTGGGTCAGCCACACAGTGCAGCAGCTGGAGGAGGGGGCGGGGTCGAGTTGGGGGTGGGGGGGGGCAGGGGAAGAGATGGAGGGATGTGGATCGGACACGAGGGAGGGGCATGGTGTGTCGGCCACACAGTGCAGCAGCAGCTGACCGAGGGGGAGGGAAAGATTCAAACGGGTGACTAGAGGGTGAGAGTGGAATTAGGAAGGAGAGTGACAAGGCCTGGCGGCAGAAGGAGTGGCAGCAGCATCACAAGATTACTTTTGAGACGTCTCAAAAGGCAGCAGAAGGAGTGGCAGCAGCATCACAAGATTACTTTTGAGACGTCTCAAAAGGCAGCAGAAGGAGTGGCAGCAGCATCACAAGATTACTTTTGAGACGTCTCAAAAGGCAGCAGAAGGAGTGGCAGCAGCATCACAAGATTGCCTGAAGAAAAATCTTTGATACAGCCCACCTCACATCCAACCCAACCCACCTTGAGCAAGAGGCGCATTGAGCCCTCTGGGGGGTTGGAGATGAGTGTGAGGAGGTCGGGAGTGGTGGGGGGGAGTGTGGCGAGCATGGGCGGCAGCAGGTCTCTCAGCATGACCCGCTTGGCCACGGGGTTGACTTGCCCAAACACCCGGAAGAACTCCGCCAGTAGGGATGGTCTCTGTTGGGGGCAAAACAGGGTGGAAGGTTTGTGGAGGCAATGGAAGGGAGAGTGTGGGGAAGGGTGAAAGGCTCTCAACACGAGCATGACCCGCTTGGCCACGGGTTGACTTGCCCCGAACACCCGGAAGAAATCCGCCAGTAGGGATGGGAGAAACAGAGGGGAGGTGATGCGAGTGTGAGCGGAAGGCAACGTGAGCAAGCGGGGTGGTACACTCTCAACATGAAGAGCAACGAGGAGCAACGGCACATGCAAATCTAGCTGGGTGATCGTGGCGTGGGCCTGGGAGGTTTTGGTGGAAGAAAAGGAAGAAGAAAAAGAATGAGACAAGGCTGCAGGATGCTGCAAGAAGAAAAAGAACGAGACAAGGCTGCAGGATGCTGCAAGAAGAAAAAGAACGAGACAAGGCTGCAGGATGCTGCAAGAAGAAAAAGAACGAGACAAGGCTGCAGGATGCTGCAAGAAGAAAAAGAACGAGACAAGGCTGCAGGATGCTGGTGCCATACCCGGGAGCAGAGCGCACAGACGAGCGCCAGTCGCCTCTCCACCTCGTGTCCCACCGCCTTCTGCTGCTCCCCTGACAGCTGCACCGCTGCACCTCCCCCTCCCCCTCCCCCACCTGCTTGCCCCGCCGCCCCTCCCTCGCCTGCCTGCCCCGCTTCCCCTGATGCCCCTCCCTGCTCCCCTCCCACTCCTTCCTTCCCACCACCAGCATTCCCAGCACCACCAGCATCACCAGCAGCAGCATTACCACCCGCAGCACCCGGAGCAGAATCAGCAGCAGCAGCAACCACTGGCACCGGTGCCGGCAGCGCCATGCCAGGCAGCGACAGCAGCTGCTTGAGCGCATACCGCTCGATGGGCAGCGTGAGGTACGGCAGGGCGTGCAGACGGTTGGCCACCAGCGCCACGCCTTTAGAACGAATGTCCGGGTGCGGGTGCACTGCACACTGCAGCGCCATGGCTAGACATCTCCTGCGTATGGGTGGGCGCAGGACCAGCAGCCGCCAGAGGACCACCAGGGACTCTTTTACTCGCTTTAGCTCTTCATCTGACCTTGGTCCCTCTGGTTCGTTTTCCGCTTCCCCTCCCTCTGCCCCGTCTCCCTGCTCTCTCCCCTCTCCCGCCTCTCCTTCTCTTCCCTCCACCTTTCCTCCTCCTTCCACATCCGTTGCCTTTTCCCCCTCATCCCCGTCTCCTCTCTCTTCGAACCTCCTCTTCCTCCCAGCCCCAATCCCCGTGGCCCCGCCTGCCCCCCCTTCACCCTCCTTCCGCCCAAGGCCCTCCAGTCCACACGCCTGCCCCAATAGGTTGAGCAGCGGGGGCGGGAGAAAGGGCGATTCCACAAAGAGAGGCAGCAGGAGGGACTTGAGCCCGCCAGGTGCAGCAGCAGCAGCAGCGGAGGAAGGTGAGAGGAGGGACTTCAGCTGCAAGGTGGTTTTGTGCGGGGAAGGACGGGAATGGGGGAAAGGGAAGGGGTTGCTTTGTTGGGAAGGAAAGGGAGGATCAACGAGGTGATGGAGAGGGAGTGTGGGGGAAAGGAATGACGCTTTACAAGAAGAAGCAGCAGGAGGGCTTGATGGTGAATGAAGGTACTCGATGATGGGCATTGGGCACTCACCACGCGAGAGAAGAACGACGTGTAGAGAGCAGGGATCTGAGGAGATGCCAAGTCCTTCGCGCCGCCAGCTGGATTGGTGGCAAGAGTAGCAGTACCGGCAGTCGCAGCACCCGCAGCAGTGGCACCCCCCTGGCCCCTGCCATCCACTTGCATAGCATCGCCAGCTGCTGCTCCTGCTGCTGAAGCATCTTGTGCCGATGCGGGTGATGACGACGTTGGTGGGGGTGCAGGGAGAGCAGGGACGTTGGAGGAGGAGGAGGAGGAGGAGGAGGAGGAGGAGGAGGGCGGAGGGGAAGAGTGATCCAGTGCGAGAGCATGCAGCACGGAGAGCACAACCTGCGAGCCCTGGTGTGTTGGGAAACGGGAATGGCGGGGGGCAAGGGGTACGAGTAAGAAATAGTCCATATGGGAATTCTCAGGAGGGAGGGGATGAATGGTCCAGTGCCAGGGCATGCAGCACGTAGAGCACAACCTGCGAGCCCTGGTACGGGTAAGCGTGGCAAAGGTGGAACGGATAGGGGAAGATTGATTTTGGGAATTCTCAGAAGAAAGGCCAAGGCCAAGAATGGTTAACTGTAAGAGCACGCCGCACGGAGAGCACAACCTGAGAGGCGTGGTGTGGGGCGAAGCGGGAAACTGACGGGGAGATGGGATGGGGAAAGAAGAGGGAAGAACCTGGATGGCGTGGAGAAGCGGACTTGCTTGGAGGGCCCTTCAGGCAATTCTTAAGGATACGACCCACCTTGACCTACTTGTGGTCTGCCAGCAGGTAGACAAGGTAAGAATGATCAACACAACACATCCATGCGTGGGCTACCATTGCATCAGCCAGCCACTGCTCCGCTCACCTTGACCCGGTTGTAGTCTGCTAGCAGGTAGTTCAGCAACGCATCCAGCACCTGCTGCTGCTGCTGCTGCTGCTGCTTGCATCATACATCGTTCACCCTTAACCCTAAACACTTAACCCAAAGCTCACCTCACACACTAACTCACCTTGACCCGGTTGTAATCAGCCAACAGGTAGCTCAACAGCGCATCCAGCACCTGCTGCTGCTGCTCCTCCTCCTCTGCTCCCCTCACCATGCCCACCAGCAGCGCCACCCACAGCCCCGCCTCACCCAGCAGCACCGCTCTGCACCCCCCGGCCACCACTCTGGACACCGCTGCCTGCTGCGCGGCAGCCAACTGGTGGGGGGAGAGCGGAACGAGGGCCACAGGGGTGCGTGGGACAGAGAGGTAGGCTGCGAGGCGGGGAGAGAGAGGAGTGGCTGGAGGGCCTACAGGGGTGGAGGGTACCGGCACCAACGCACCAGATACACCAGCAGCAACAGCAGAAGGAGCAGCGGTGGTAGCAGCAGTGGGCACGATAGCAGATGTGTCAGCAGCAGAAGCAGGGAGGCCGGTCTGCAAGCCTGCGTCTTCTGGCTTGGGGCGGGTGGCATCTGTTGTCCTGTCTGCTGCAGGATGTAGCGGCGGCTGTAGCCCTTGCTCATCCTTCACTGTGCCTGCTACAGCAGCACCATCAGTGTTGTCCTCTGCCTTGGCCTTCACTCTTCGAGGGTCATGGCGACGCGCACCACCCCTGCTAGCCTCCCTCTTCCCATCACCATCCACCACTCCCTCCTCCTCACCACCACCAGCACCACCAGCACCTGCACCATCACCAGCAGCACCAGCACCAGCAGCAGCGCCTTCAGCAGCGCCAGCAGCACCGGCAGCGGCAGCAGCGGGAGGGGGAGAGGGAGGGAGGTGCTGCATGAATTCAATGACCAGGTCGGCCAGCATGCCGGGGGGCAGCGAGGCGATCAGAGCATCCACAGCCAGCATGCCCTCGCTGCCCCGCGCCACCAGCGCACTCAGTAGGGTTACCAGCTGCTCCACTGGGAGGGTAGCTGCTGATGGGTCCACTGCTACTGCCTCTGCCGCTGCTGCTGCTGCTGCCGCCGCTGCTGCTGCTGCGGCTGTGTTCCCGTCTCCTGCTGCTCCTGCTGCTCCTGCTCCTGCTGCTGTTGCTGGTGTATTACCAGCAGGATTGGCTGTGCTGGCTTGGGCAGAAGTGGATGGTCGGATGCGCTTGGAGTCTCGCGTTGCAGCGTCATCAACGGCCTCAGATGCACGTGCGCCAGCAGCACCAGCTGTGGCAGCGCCGCCGGCCGCGTTAGCAGCTGCATCTGCTGAAGCTGAAGCAGCAGCATTGGGACCTCTGGCTCCAGTGGCACCAGCACCGGCGGCAGTGGCTGTGGTGGTGCCTGATGGGGTTGCAGCAGCCCCTGTGTCAGTAGCTGCACCCCTCGCTCTCTTCACTCCTGCTGCCTTTGCCTGCCCAAGCGACGAGTGCAGAAAGCACAAGGGGAAGCGCAGGGAGAGAAGCAGAGAAGGGTGAGAAGCAGGGACGACAGAGCATGAGATAACAACCAGACACATAGACGGATGCAGGTGGACGCACACGCATGCGCGCACACACACACAAACACACAGACAAACATGTATACTCACACGTGGATCAGCAGGTCGACCAGCAGCCTTCCCTGACCCTGCGGGCGCCTTTGCTGCTGCTCCCTCGCCCCCTCCCCCACCACCACCAACAGCAGCACCACCACTTCCACCACCACTCCCACCCGCACCAGTACCCCCAACAGATGCACCAGAAGCACCAGAGGGACCATCAGCAGCAGCGGCGGCAGCGGCGGCGGCAGCAGCGGCGGCAGAGGCAGCAGCAGCAGAGTTGCGTAGGGAGCGGTCGATGTGCCTTAGGGACGAGTCGACGGCCTCTCCTGCTCCCAGTGACTCCTTCAGGAGTGATGTCAAGCAGTCCCGCCACTGGTGGTGGTGGGGGGTGGGGCGAGGGGACAACAGGGGGGGAGATAAAGGGGGGCGAGATGGGGTAGAGAAAGGGGTTAGAGGGATGGCTTGATGTGCCTTAGAGACGAGTCAACGGCCTCTCCTGCTCCCAGTGACTCCTTCAGGAGTGATGTTAAGCAGTCCCGCCACTGGTGGTGGTGAAGGTGGAGGGGAGAGAGGACAAGGGGGAAGAAAAAAAAGGAAGGAGAGGGTTAGAGAGATGGGTTGATGTGCCTTTACGGGAGGAGTCAACGGCCTCGCCTGCTGCTCCCAGTGACTCTTCCACGAGCGACGTCAAGCAGTCCCAGTGACTCTTTCACGAGCGTCCTCTTTTTGAGAATTCTAAAAAAACAGACGCCTGCTGCTCCCAATGACTCTTTCACGAGCGACGTCAAGCAGTCCCACCACTGGTGGTGGTGAGGGATGGATGCAACGAGGCAGGGAGGGAAAGAGAAGAGGGGTGGTAAATGGGCCAGTCGTCATGTTTTGGGCTAGATTTCACATTCATATGGAACAAACCAGCAGTGGAAACAACACACCTCTACCACAACTGCACCCACACTCACACCCACACCCACACCACACCCAAATTATACACGCATAACCACACCCACACCCACACCCACACCCACATCCACACCCACACCCACACCAGCGCCCGCTCCCACCCACCTTCATCCCGCCTGGAGCGAGCGGCATGAGCCGCAACATGACAAGCAGCGCCGCCCGCACGCCATGCCTCACACTACCCGACGCCTGCAGCAGCTGCTGCACCACCCCACACCCACTCTCCTCCCCACTTGGCACCGTCACCGGCGCCGACGCCACTGACGTGGCAGTGGGCGGCACAATCCCCACCAGCGCCGGCACAATGTGACTATAGAGAGTGGGGCAGCGACGGGCGATGCCGGCCAGGCTGCTGGTGAGCGTGAGGAGGAGCGGGGGGGAGAGCGAGGCGACTGCGGGGGGTTGCAGCAGAGAGGTGAGGGCGGAGAGGGAGGCGAGGGACTGGGCTTTAAGCCACGGGTCGGAGTCAGGGTCGGGGAGATGCAACACTCCGTTTGCCATGTCTGTGCCATCCGCCCCGTCCCTTCCGCTGCTCCCGTTCTGCCCACTGCTGCCATTACCGCCACCACCAGCAGCAGCAGCAGCAGCAGCAGAAGCAGCGGCGGTTTTGCCGCCAGGTCGGCCGAGCAGCACGAGCATCTTTGTGAAGCCCACTGCATGCACGCGCACGCTGTCGGGGTACTGCCCTGGCAGCATGTCCCTTATCAGCGGCACCAGCGCTGCTACCTGCTCCCACGCCTCTGACCACGCCTGGGGCTGATCAGAGGGAAGGAGAGTGGAGGGGAAACCGAGGGGAGGGGACTGGAAATGGATGAGAGTCCGTGTTGTTGGCGTATTGACCTGGCAGGCAGCACTTGCTCATTCACTTCACACGGTGCTAGTTTCGATTGACCTGAGCTGTGACAGTATCGAGGCACATTCACACGGTGCTTCTGATGCACCTCACATGCAACAGGAGCGTCAGCAGCAGCAGCAGCAGCAGAAAAAGGCTCACCTCGCCTGTGACGGGAGTGACAGCAGCAAAGGCGCCTTTAAGGAGGGCGGCAGAAGCGGAGATGGCGTGCTTGACTGCCTTGGTGGTCGCCATAGCCGCGGCGGCCAGGCGCGCGGGGAGAGGCGTGAGCGCTGCAGCAGCAGCACTACCAGCAGCAGCAGCAGCAGCACACAACAACAAACCAGAGCCCGTCTCGCCTGTAACAGTAGAGCAGACAGAACGCAGCTCACCTCGCCTGTAACGGGAGTGACAGCAGCGAAGGCGCCTTTGACAAGGGCAGAAGCAGCGGAGATGGCGTGCTTGACTGCCTTGGTGGTCGCCACAGCCGCGGGGGCCAGGCGCGCGGGCAGAGGCGTGAGCGCCGCAGCAGTAGCAGGGGACGGCGTGGGGGGCGCGGAGGCGGCGGAAGGGGAGGGCGTGGGGAGGGGCATGGGCGGACAGGCGCGGATGATGGCGGCGAGCGCGGAGGCCATGAGCGCAGAGGCGTCACGGTGCTTTATGGATGAGCCAAGGCGGTAGAAGAGCCTAGGGGGAGGGCGGAGGGGGGGGGATTGAGGGGGACGAGATTGGGATGGGTGGGTGGCATGGCCGCGAGAAAGGTATGAGGCAACATGGCAGCGACGTCGGGCAGCATGGCTGCCGATCAGCACTCACTCACTCGACCGAGTTGCAACCGGGTGGCTGGCACCATGGCATGGATGCTAAAAAAAAATGCGCTAGAGATGCACTCACTCTACCAAGTTTTTTATCACAAGAACGACAAGTCTGCCTGAAGCTCCAGCAGGCGCGGCAGACGGGAGAACCGCACGTCAGGCGATGAGCATGAATGAATCACTTTACAACGACACTCACTCGACCGAGTTCTTCCGAACGAGGAACGTCGAGTCCGCCTGAAGCTCCAACAGGCGCGGCAGCGCGTCGGGCAGCACGGTCGCGCGCACGTCGGGCGGAAGGCCCGCCAGGTACTCCACCGCCGCCTCCATCCGCTCCGCCTTCTCCTCCGCTCCGCTCCCCGCCTGCAACTCCGCCAGCATCTCGTCCGCCTTCCGCTGCGCCTCCTCCATTGTGCGCGGAAGGGGGAGGGGGAGAGTCCGGGGAAGGGGGTTGGGGGGAGAGAGAACGGGAAGCAAAAGCTCCGAAGACGGGGGACAGCAGGCTCGAAGGAGGTCTGTTCGCACCGTAGGCTGATAGCGTTTCGGCTCCTTCTAAGTTTAACGGGGTAGTCAATACGGTGAATGCGGGTTGTTGTGACTGTGAACTACGGCAGTGTTGCAACCGATTAGGTAGTTAACGCACGTCCTTCAGCAATCCAATGCTCTCCTCTTAGAAGACCCGCGCTTCGCATCTCTAGAGATAGAACCTAATCGCGATTCTCGATACGCTACCAGCCTACGGACACACCATCGAGTGCTTTCGATCCGTTCGCGACACAATAGCATCTCACTGAAATACGCATAGGATTCGGAAGCGATCCGGGAATCGCGAGCTGCGAGCTCATTTGCAGCCGACAGGCGTCCCTATCCGTGAAACGTCGGTGATCGTGCGGTTGCCGATTCAAGAGCAGCCTCCAGAAACCTGCATAGTTTCCAAGGCCAGAATGTGAAGTTAGCCGCGTGTAGTGAGTGGCTGGACAATCTACGCTCAAGGAAAGTGTGGAGTCAGGGAAACGATTGCGTTCTAAAGCGGTGTAATTTATCTCTAGAGCGGTGAAGTAAGGTTTTGAGCGAAACCAAACTTGGGGAGACTGCCTGAGTGGGATATCGGGAGAGTTGCTCCTAGCAACTCGGTATGTGGGGCTGCCGTGTTACAAATTTAGCATAGCGAAGAAATTCTAGCAGCGCTTGGAGCAAGTAACGCTTTTCGTCATATATTACAGTAGAACATTGTCGCAGTTCGCAACTCTCGCTAAAAGAACCCTAGATTCTGGTCTCCCAAACACCCACGCACAGATTCGACTCTCCCTACCATCCCTCCCCGTTCAGAGTTCCCTTCCATTTTCCCCCATCTGTGTTTCCGCGTCGCCACTTACAGGCTTCTAGACTCGGATATCGAGGAGGAATATTAGCTGTCGGCCATATCTTGCAACGAGAACCACAAGCTCTCTACGTCTTGATTTATCTAGGATTGAGACGTCGTAAGGATCCGACATCTCAGCACATGCTAGTTTGCTAGACGTTCCTTCGAATAAGGTCGTTCAACATGCCAGGCGAGACGCTAGCTCTTCCGGCGCCGCCGCCGGGCGGCTTGAAAGACGCCACGCCGTCAGTCCTGACGGCCGAAGAACGGTCTGGGCAGCAGAAACCGGCAGAGAAGCCGAAACCGGTGGTGGTTGCGACGCAGACGAAGACAATCGGAATCATTCATCCTCCTCCCGATATTCGCAGCATCGTCGACAAAACCGCCACCTTCGTCGCCAGAAACGGCCCGGATTTCGAAAAGAAGATTCTCGCCGCGAACAAAGGCAACGTCAAGTTTAATTTCCTCACACCCACCGATCCCTATCATGCGTACTACAGGCACAAAATTAACGAGCAGCTTGCGCAGCTTAATCTTCCGGCTCAGCCCGAACCTATAGCGTCCGAGCCTGGTGCAGGTTCGGCAGCTGGCTCGGCAGCCGGAGCTCCTGCCGGGGCGGCTCCGGGAGCAGCCGGGGCTGCAGCTGCGGTTGTCAAGCCTGCAGGCCCCGCAGGGCCTTTTCCGGAGGCTGGCAAAGACACGGCGGCAGCAGGGACTTCGGCAGCAGCGGCGAAGCTTCCGGATCTGCCCGAACCGGAGCAGTACACGGTTCGGATTCCGGAAGGCATGTCCGGGCAGGATTTGGACGTGATCAAGCTGACCGCTCAACTCGTGGCGCGAAACGGAAAGACGTTCCTAACGGGTCTGATTAGCCGCGAGCACATGAACCCGCAGTTTAATTTCCTCAAGCCCACGCACAGCCTATTCACCTTCTTCACCGCTCTCGCTGACGCCTACTCCAAAGTGCTAATGCCTCCTAAGGAGGTATTAGACAAGGTGAAACGCGACGCGGGGCCGGGTGGGCAGGCGGCGATAATGGCGCGGATCCAGACGCGGCTCGACTACGAGAAAAAGCAGGAGAAGGCGCGGAAGAAAGCGGAGGACGAGATCGAGCAGGAGCGATTACAGATGGCTTTAATCGACTGGCACGATTTCATAGTCGTAGAGACGATCGAATTTGCGGACGACGAGGAGGCGGAGCTGCCGGTTCCGATGACTATAGAGGAGGTGATTAGAAAGAGCAAGCAGCTGGGCGCGGACGAGGAGCTCGAGGCGGAGGACGCGGCGGCCGTCGCGGCGGCGGAGGCGGGCGCGAAGCCGGGGACGAAGGCGGCGGCGGCGGCGGCGGAGAAGGCGAAGGGGGAGAAGGAGGCGGCGCAGACGATGGACGCGGAGGAGATGACGCTGGTGGAGGAGGGCATGCGCGCCGCGGGGATCGCGGAGGGGGAGGGGGGGAAGGGCGCGGAGAAAGGGGAAGGGGAGAAGGCGGAAGGGGAGAGGGGAGGGGAGGAGATGGAGATGGGGGAGGAGGGAGGTGCGCCTGCTGGTGTTCCTCCGCCCCCACCACCACAGATGCCGCCGCCGCCGCCGCCTGCTGAAGTGGAGGAGGTGAGTGGGACGTGTGTGCAGGGGGAGTGGGTCAGGGCAGGGCTGGGTTCGTTCGTTTGTTGGAAATGTTCGTTTGTGATGAGCTGGGTGGGGAATTTCAGTGCTTTGGTCCTTGGAATGCGCATTGTGCGAACTAGAAGTGGCCCACCCACACTATTCCCTCTCTGTCCGCCCACCCCCTTTTCCCCACCCCAACTCCCCTCTTCCCCCCCTTCCCCCCCTCTCCCCCCCCCCCTCCCTCTTTCCCTCTCTCACCAGAACGAGATGGACATGGAAGAGGAGGAGGAGGAGGCACCAATGCGCATCGTGCGCAACTGGAAGCGACCGGAGGAGCGAGCAGCTGCCGATCAAGACCCCACCAAGGTGGTGGTGTCCCCGATCACGGGCGAGCTGATCCCGATCGCGGACATGGCGGAGCACATGCGCATCTCGCTCATCGACCCCAAGTACAAGGAGCAGAAGGAGCGCATGCTCGCCAAGCTGCGCGAAAACACCCTCGCCAACGATGACGAGATCTCGAAAAACATCGTCGGGCTGGCCAAGACGCGCCCGGATATCTTTGGGACCACCGCAGAGGAGGTTTCGGAGGCCGTGCGGGCGGAGATGGAGAAGAAGAAGGACGAGGGCGCGCCGAGCCGGGTCATGTGGGACGGGCATACGGCCAGCATCGGCCGAACCGCCACCCAGGCCTTGCAGCAGAGCCTTGCTCAGCCGCCCGCCGTGGAGAAAAAGGACGAGCCGAGCCGCCCGGTTTCGGGCCCACAAGCCCCGGCTCCGCCTCCTCCTGCTGCTCGTCCTGCTGCTCTCCCGCGCCCTCCTGCCGGGGGTCCCCCTCCGGGCATGGGGCACATGCGTCCCGGAGGCAACATGCCTCCACCCATCGCCACCATGGCTGCTTACGGCATGCCCCGCATGCCCATGTCTGGCATGCCTGGAATGCCGGGCATGCCGGGTATGCCTGGTATGCCTGGTATGATCAACCCCATGCTGATGGCTCAGAACCAAGCTGCTGCTGCGGCGGCTGCTGCAGCAGGAGGGATGTTTGGCATGCGGCCGCCCATGATGGCTCCAGGGCAGCCAGGGATGGTGCCGGGAGGGTTCCCGGGGTTCCCGGGGGGCATGCCCATGGGTGTACCTATGGGGATGCCGGGAGGGGTGCAGATGGGTATGGGTATGGTTCCGGGGGGTATGGTGCCTGGAGGCGCTGCTGCGGCGGCGGCAGGAGGGGGAGGTGGAGGGGAGGATGAGCATGATGCAAAGAGGCAGAAGACAGAGGAGAATCTGATTCCGGAGAATGTCTTCCTCGCACAGCACCCGGTCAGTGCCCTCATGCGCTCACCCGCTCGCATTCCGCCTGTGATTTCCTCGGCTCGCTCTTCTATTCCGGGTGTCAAACTTGTGCACTCGCATTTGGCTTTCCTGCCTGCACTCGCACAAACTTGTGTGCTCCCAGCCCACTTCTCACCTCATCAGACTTTCAGTTTTGTCTTTTCACCGTTTCACCCCTGTTTTGTCTTTTCCTGTTTTGTTTCACCCCGTTACACCGTTTCACAAACTTGACTCCGTTTCACCGCTGTGATGTCTTTTCCTCGTTCCCTTGCCTGTGTCCTGTTCAGGGCCCAGTGCGGGTGGTGGTTATGCTTCCCTCTGTGGAGGGCGAGCCGGCACTCAACGGGCAGAAGGTGGAGGTGCTGGTGTCGTCACTCAGCGAATCAACGGGCGCATTCAAAGAGCATATTGCGCAGGCTCTGGGTGGCAGCGTGCCGGCCAACAAGCAAAAGCTCAGTGGCAAGGCAGGCTTCTTCAAGGATTCGCTCTCCCTAGCGTATTATAATGTTGGGCCTGGAGAGGCGGTGGTTATGAGCTTGAAGGAACGTGGAGGCAGGAAGAAATAGAGATTTTTAGTGGTATTGGGCAGCGTACAGCTGGATGTAGTACTGTTCTAGTGCCTTTTTCCTTCTGGTGTGGCTAATGGACTCAACTAATGGGATTGGTGAAATTCAGGTACAGAACTTACCATATGTGGTGTGTGGATCTAAGGGTGCGTGTCCTTAGGTCGAACTATTGCCAGAGTTCGAACTTCTAGAAAGGTTGTAGACGGTAGGATACAGTTGATAGAATTGTCGCCACGGTACAAAGCGGTGTTAGGCTCGAACTTTGACAGTCTACACCAAAAGACACGCGCCCTAACTATTTCCTAGTGTAACCGTTGTAGTGGCGAATTGGCTTGTTCCAAGGACAAAATTTCCTGCATGTCATACCTGGTTGAAAGGTTGCCACGCGCAGGTTTAGGCTCGGCAGATTCCAGCGTTGATCCCAAATCTGCGGTAACCTCGTCAGCTGTCGTAGTCTTATGCCGCCACGTCAACCCCTTGGCCAGTGGTGGCCTGGTCACGCGCGTCTCACGCACACCAGTCCCCTAGATACAGACCATATCCGTCAACACAGTGCGATCGGCTGTGAGAGGCTGGTAAGTGTTTGCGAACTAAAGCGATATATATCAAGTAACCATGTTCGCCATGCCTAGATAACCTTTCCAACAAGGCTTCTCCAGACTAGCGAGTCAACTCAAATAGCAAGAGCTTTAGTTGAGTCGTCATGATAGCATAACCAGCACACCAGATTCCACCACTGTTGTGCACGGCTCTGCGCATTCCTCGAGAAATTCGAGGTCGCTTAGCTTCCCTGTTTCTTACTTCCGCGTCCATTCCTTCTGAACTACCGTCTCAGACCCTGCGCAGCAATCGCTGAGGCGAATTTGCCAGTCAAAACTGTCAGAAGTTTGCACCACCGACCAATAGTTGTTTTATTAAATCAACTCTGAGATGGAGCTCGCCACAAATCAAACGGTGCTGACGTGCAGCATGGTAGCTTCCCCGCAATACCGGTGTCCTATTAGAAACCAATCCGGCACCGTTCATTCTCGTCCACATTCAATGCACCCCATCACTTTACCCTCTCACGCCCGATGCGCTTTACGTCTAGTGGACCATACCCAAACAATACGCGGTAGTAAACTTATAGTTAGTGCAGGCAATATTTGTTTCGGCAATACCGGAGCGTCTGTCACCAGTGCGAATGGTCTTCAGCGGCGAAGAGACAGTTTCTTCACAGGACACACCCGTTTACGAGCGAATTCGTTAACAGCAGTTCCTGGCTTCATTGGCCCGGACTCACCACTGCGCCTACATGTCTCGGCTTCGGGAAACAGGGAACATGTGAGTCATGCTATGTGCGTCTTGTTGTGTGAACGTTTTTCTTTTTCTAGTTAATGATTATGTTGCTCCAGGACATGAACGGAGACACTGACCGTTTTGTGATGAGGAGAGTAGGTTTTGGGAAAGCTGAAATGAGCTGTTCAGGTGTGAATTTGGTGCGGAAGTGTGTCTGAGTCGACGGTACGTATTTTCATTTGATCTCTTCATTTCCTACGCTCGCATTTCTGCAGTCCCGTCTCCTAATCGTACATTTTTCCATTGCTCAAGTTTTTTCTTCCTTCAAGCCGGTACCACGAATTGCGTTACTGGTTTTTTTTATTTTCTTTTCTTTCATCATTTTCTTCTTCTTCGTCTCCTTCGCTACTGCCAGCAACCCAAGGCGATACCGGGAGCAGCAGAGGCGTCAGCATTATCCAGTACCAACAGCGGGAGTGAGAGTGACAACGGCTGGAGTGGCTCTGCCGCGAGTGACAGCGAAGACGAGGGCAGCAGCAGCAGCGGCAGCGACGGCGAGTGGTTCGTGGTGCGCAACCCGCTGGAAGCTCAACGGCCGAAACTGAAGCGCAAGGCTTTGAGCAAGCGGAAGCACATGTCGCCGTTTTACCTGGGGAGAGCTGCCACTCTTCGCAAGGGCAAGACCAGTCGCAGCAGCAGCAGCAGCAGTACTGGCAAGGCTGTCACCACCGCCACCAGCAGCAGTAGCAGCACGGCCAAGCTATTGATAGACGCGTCTGGGTCCGAGCTCAGCATGGTGCGAGAAACCAGTAGCGAGTCCTTCGTAACGGGTATAGGAGAAGTGCTGACAGGGCGAGGGCGGAGCGAGGTGGAGCTGGAGGATGACGAAGTACGCGAGGAAGGTACCAGGTTCGTTACTACGGGGTCTGGTGCGGTGCTCTCTGAAACTGACAGGGGCGGAGATGCAGGAGAAGGGGTGGGAGCAGAGGGGAGAATGGAGTCAGGAGGGGGTGGTGCCTTGGCTTCTGATGTTGATGGGTCGACGGGCGGGTGGGTGGATACGGGAAATGGCAGCAGCAGCAGCAGCATCGCGAGCAGCACGGTTTCCAGTGTGTCTGGTAGCTTTACCTCCTTGGGAGATGGTGGTGTGTATAGCGACAGTGACTGCGAGGAGGGTGACAGTCCTGGTGACATCGGCAGCTTCAACGCCGCAGATTACACTGCAAGCGCCCTCAGCGTCGAGCCTCCCAGCACCAGTAGCATCACCAGCAGCAGCAGTGTCAGCAGCGTGGACGGTGGCAGCAGCAGCGACTCGGAGGGCGAGTTTGTTGGCGGGGACATGTGCGCGTCCGCGACGGGCGTGGTGCGCGTGCAGTCGCGGAAGAAGGCGGAGATGTATCTGGTGCGCACGGATGGCATCAGCTGCACTCGCGAGAAGGTCACTGCCTCCACGCTCGCCTTCTCCCACCCCTCCACGCAGCAGCAGATGCTCATGTGGCGCACCCGGCCTCGGACTGTCTTGCTGCTGAAGAAGCTTGGGACAGAACTTATGAGTGAAGCCATGGAGGTGAGTGGCTGACGGGAGGGCCTTAAAGGGAGAGGAGGGGGTGTGGGACGGAGGGGGGCTGTGTGTGTAAGAGAGAGGGAGGGTGGGAATGAGAGAGAGGGAGGGTGTGAGGGTTAGTCTGCAGGTGATGCTCATGTGGCGCACCCGCCCGCGCACAGTGCTGCTGTTAAAGAAGCTCGGCACGGAGCTCATGAGTGAAGCCATGGAGGTGAGTGCGTGGGTCGAGGAGGGAGGGGATGGGAGTTGGAGGAGTGGCAGGGGGGCGTGGTTCTGCAGGGCGAGGGGGGCATGTACATGGCCCTTGTACCTACCTATCTCTCATTAACTTCCTGTATCACATTCCATCCCGTTATAATGGCGCCAGGTGGCGCGGTTCCTGCAGCGTGAGGAGGGCATGAACTTCATCCATGTAGCTGTCTCTTATAACCTCAACTCATCACTTTTCATCCCCGTTATCAACGTGTCCCATTACAATCCCACCAGGTGGCGCAGTTCCTGCAGCGCAAGGAGGGCATGAACGTAACCTTTCATGTATACTCTTACAGCCTCAAACCTCTGTATCATATTCCATCCCCGTTATAATCACATCACACCAGGTGGCGCGGTTCCTACAGCGTGAGGGGAGATGAACGTGATGGTGGAGCCAGAGCTCGTATAACCCCATACCTCTCCATTCATTCCATCCCCGTTATAATCACATCACACCAGGTGGCGCGGTTCCTACAGCGCGAGGGGAGATGAACGTGATGGTGGAGCCAGAGCTCGTATAACCCCATACCTCTCCATTCGTTCCATCCCCGTTATAATCACATCACACCAGGTGGCGCGGTTCCTACAGCGCGAGGAGGGCATGAACGTGATGGTGGAGCCAGAGCTCGTATAACCCCATACCTCTCCATTCATTCCATCCCCGTTATAATCACATCACACCAGGTGGCGCGGTTCCTACAGCGCGAGGAGGGCATGAACGTGATGGTGGAGCCGGAGCTGCACGACACGCTCTCCCGCATGCCCGGCTTCGGCTTCCTGCAGACCTTCTACGCCCAGGACACCAGGTGGGAGGATATGAGGGTGTTACTCTCAAGACACCAAATGGGAAGGGGTGGGGAGGGAGGGGGGTGCTACTTCCAGGTCACCAGGTTGGGGCGGGGTGGGGGGGGAGGGAGGTGCTACTCCTAGGACACCAGGTGGGGTGGGGTGGGAGGGGAAGGGGGTGCTACTCCCAGGACACCATGTGGGAGTGGGACCAGGTGAGGGGAGGGGGTGCAACGCTACAGTCAGGACACCAGGTAAGGGGAAGCTAATCAGGCAGGATTAAGGCAAGCATACTAGCTGTGGGAGGCGGAGGAGAAGCGTGAGGTGGCTGAGCATCACGCTTCTAAGCGGGAGCAGCAGGTGGCGTGGCTAGCCGGTGGTATGATTGCAGCGGAAGATGAGCTGGCAAAGATGACCGAGCAAGCTGCATGAGAAGGTGGACTGGGTGGTGTGTCTGGGGCGGGGGGAACGTTCAGTGGCTGTGAGCTGACGTTGTTATGTGCCCTCTGCTGCCTCCTCCTCCTGCTCCTTCCCCAAACCCCCACCCCACCAGCAAGCTGCACGAGAAGGTGGCTTTCGTTGTGTGTCTGCGGGCCGACAAATGGATGGGGATTGTGAGCTAACGTTGATTCCTTTGTTCCTGTTTTGACCGTCCCCACCTCTCCACGACCTTCCGCGCCCCACCAGCAAGCTGCATGAGAAGGTGGACTTTGTGGTGTGTCTGGGGCGGGGGGGACGCTCAGTGGCTGTGAGCTGACGGTGTTATGTGCCCTCTGCTGCCTCCTCCCCACTACCTCCCTCCCCACTCCACTCATCCCCACCAGCAAGCTGCACGAGAAGGTGGACTTTGTGGTGTGTCTGGGGGGCGACGGGGTCATCCTGCATGCGTCCAACATCTTCAGCTCCTCCGTGCCGCCCATCGTCTCCTTCAACCTCGGCTCCCTCGGCTTCCTCACTGCACACCCGGTACGCACGTGCCCTGGGGAGTAATTCGCTTCGCTATGCACCCATTCGAAGCACTCGCTCGCTAGGCGGTGATTCACGGGCAGGAGCAGGCGGCCGGCGTGTACATAGCACTGCGCATGCGCCTCAAGTGCGAGGTGGTCAAGGGGGCCCACCCGGCGCCATGTGATAAAAGTAGTGCTTTGAGACATCTCAAAAGACGGCCGGCGTGTACTTAACACTGCGCATGCGCCTCAAGTGCGAGGTGGTCAAGGGGGGCCACCCGGCGCCAGGCAAGTCGATCGCACAGGCGCCTCAGAAGCACTCCACTCTGTGCATAAGGAACTGGGGTTCTGCATCCCCCACTCACTCACCCTTTTTCTCTGCCTTCTCCGTCCCCCGTGCCCCTCTTTGCCCACAGTACGAGCAGTACAAGCAGGACCTCACGGCGGTGATTCACGGGCAGGAGCAGACATTGGGGGTCGTGTACATAGGCTGTTCAACTCTCCTTCCCTTGTCCCCACCCCCTCCTTCTCCCAATTCCTGCTCACAGTACGAGCAGTACAAGCAGGACCTCAAGGCGGTGATTCATGGGCAGGAGCAGACGGCGGGCGTGTACATAACGCTGCGCATGCGCCTCAAGTGCGAGGTGGTGAAGGGCGGGCAGGCGGTGCCGGGGAAGGTGTTTGACGTGCTCAACGAGGTCGTCGTGGACCGCGGCTCCAACCCCTACCTCTGCAAGATCGAGTGCTACGAGCGCAGCAAGCTCATCACCAAGGTAGGCGAGCAAGCAGGAGTGGTGGTGGTGGTGGTGGTGGCTTCTGAGGCGACTCAAAGGCACGATCAAGTGCTGCAGCCGCTGCCTGCATGGTGCCTCTCGACCCCTAACTCTGCAAGATTGAGTGCTACAATCTCATAGCCAAGGTGTGGCTGGGTGCGGCAGCGCAGAGCCAAGGTGATTCACATGCTGTGCTATGTGCCCTTCATCCTCTCTCCATGTGCTCTCTTCCCTCCATGTGTTCTCTGCTTTTCATGTCAACGCCCATGGGCACTTCTCCAGCTATTTGTCCTTGCTCCTGCTATCTGCCTATTACATGTCGTTGCAAGGACCTCTTTCTCCTCTCTGCCATAGGTGCAAGCGGACGGGGTGATAGTGGCAACGCCCACGGGCAGCACTGCATACTCCACTGCTGCCGGTGGCTCCATGGTGCGTGGCGAGCGGGTGTGAAGAGGGGGGGTTGTGGGAGGGAGATGTGGGTGACAGGGATCAGGTGCGGGGGAGAGGTGTGTGCACAGCTGTGTCCCCGTGCATGTTTGTGTGTATCCTTATGTCAGCATGTACATGTGCAGGGATGTGTGTTTTTCCTTGCTCCTCAGTCTCTCCCCTTACCTCTGTGTCTCCCACCACGTTTCTCACTGTGATCTCTCTCACTTGTTCTCCTTGCATCTCCTTAACGGTCCGTGCTCACTTCCCTCTACCACCCATTCCACTCACACAGGTGCATCCCAACGTGCCATGCATGCTCTTCACGCCCATCTGCCCGCACTCCCTCTCCTTCCGCCCCATCATTCTGCCCGACTCCGCCCTGCTCGAACTCCGAGTGAGTCCTTCGCACAAACACGGCCCTTCTCTGACCACCTTGTCACCTCTAGTCTCGGTTCACCTTCTGCGTTACCTGTGAAATCCACTCGTGCATACCGGAGGTATCTCATCTCCACCCATGGCGCCATTGTTTCTCTTCTTCACACTTTCCTTGTTCCTCCCTACCTCCCTTCTCAATCCCTGCCAGGTCCCTGCTGACGCGCGCAGCAACTGCTGGGTGTCGTTTGACGGGAAGAAGCGGCAGCAGCTCTCGCGGGGGGACTCGGTGCGCATTTCCATGAGTGCGCACCCTGTTCCCACCGTCAACAAGCGTGACCAAACCGATGACTGGTTTGCCAGCCTCGTCAGGTGCCTCAACTGGAACGAGCGCATGGAGCAGAAGGGGTTTAATACTGTCTTTTAGAAGGATGCACGTATGTTTGTGTGAATGGGTAGTTGTTTGTTGGGTTGGGAACGAAAGGTCCTGACCGCTAGCTGTCTTGCTGCCTGACTTGCCAGATGCACCGTACCGAAGGGTATCTGGGTTTGTTTTGTTGTGCATGGACCATTGTAGTAAGGATTGATACAATGGGATGATTTTGTTTCCGTTGGCTGGCGGTGCATGCGATAAACCACACATCAGCAAGGTTGATTAAGGGTTTATTGCACACCCACTTGCTGTCCCCTCTCAAATAGGAACGCACATATGGGTATATGATCTGAACAGACAAATGGACCAAATGCTTGGCAGTAGTGGAAAGTTTGGTGTCTGTCATGATTGTAGCTACAATTCGTAACACGAGGTGAATCAAAGCTCTTATTCATGTAACAAAGACCAGTTCACCATTCTTGGACACACACAGTGCACTGCGAATGAGGGAAGTTGTGGTCCACGAATAGGGATAATTTCGTCACACGCGTGTGAGGAGCGGCTGCCAAACACCGAGCAAGGCATGAGATCTAGCGCAGGGTATTTTCGCCTCAAATTTTGGATCGGGCCGTAGATATTTCGTTTCAACGATTATCGGCCACAAGCTCACACAGACTAAGCTCCGAATGCATTTTTTCCCACTGCACTGTTGAACCGTTGGAGGTCTTCGAAAAGCAGGGCCAGAAACGAGCCACCCTGGCGTGCGCTGTCAAATAGAATCTACGCTGGGATGGTCGTCACGTGATGGCAGCTTTGGTCTGCACATGGCCGCTTGGAGGAGCCTAGCGTCCCTCAACCACCAGTGAAGCTCGAAGAGTATCCCACTGGAGCCGACGTGGAAAAGTGGGCAGCTGAAAGTGTTCTTGTGGATACGGTTTTGACTGAGCCGTTTCAAGGCGCTCACAGCCACGAGTTTTTCCTCGAAGCACTCGCTCTCCCCAAGTTCACTGGGTGGTCCGCCAACGAGGTTGATCCCCCCCACAGCATGATTGATCTGCCCATTTTCCGTGTTCTGCGCGCAAACACGTCAGCTGTAGAAAAAAGCTCCAAAGCGCGTGACAAAAAGGACGCACCCAGCGCTGGCTTTTTTTCCGCTTTCCTCTGCCGCATCATCACCGCGCACAGGGGGAAAGGGGAGCCGTTTCGCACCTCCATGTGCAATTCTCCACCACAAGTCTTCCTCGTTGTGCTCGCTCCTCTTCTGCGGAGGTTCTGTTTTCCTCCACCGCAATGGTTCCACCTTCCGCAATCCGCACATCCACCAGCAAGACTCCCCCCTTCGTCCACCTCGGGACTTGGGATCGTCTCGTCTTGCCTCCCTCACCTCGAGAGTTGCAAGAGCCGGGAAACTCGAGGGATGATCCCTTGGTATGAGCTGCTTTCTAGCAGTTGTAATTTTAATGTTCCTAATTTGTATGCAGCTTATGAGATGGTCTATGACCAGCTGATGCATTCGCCCAGGCAATACTCTGCATAATCGCTTGAAGTGAGACAGATCACATAACACAGATCAATAATATAGTTGTCGACGGTTCATAGTACCGTGTTATATCAAACGCTTCAGAACGCTGATTATTGAGATAAAACTGGCCGTTGATTGATATTCAGGCATATAAGACTAAAAGGTGCCTTAGACCGAGCGAGCAGATATTTTGTTGCTGCTCCTGACTTGTAATATCAAACGACCCCAACGGCGATCTTCAAGTTCAATCTTCCTCACTTTCAGATGGAAAGCCCACCTTACGTAGCCGCAGCTGTCGGAGGAAAGCGTAAGAGAGAGGAAGAAGAGGAGGATTTTCATTCCGAACTCAATGGCTCAGTAAAGACCCCAGTTGTTGCATCTAGCTGTCCGTTCGACCAAACCACAACATCATCCCATCCGGTACTTGCTTCTCCTCGCGAGAAAGACTTCCCTCGCGTCTCGCAAGACTCTCCTTGCGTAGCTGGCGTTACCGCAAAATCCGAGACGCTTTTCGACGACCGCGAGAACGCGTCGCTACCGCTATCGCCGTCCAGAAATGTCACCCAGATGGTCCCGCCGCCGGGAGTCGTGTCTCAAGAAATGGCCGCTCGAGTAGTGGCTGGGTCTCAGCTAAAAGAGGAAGCTGTTGCAGCAGCGGAAGCTGCAGCGGCTGCTGATGCCGCGGCTGCTGCTGCGGCGGAAGAGGCGACGGGATGCCCTGCGGGAGAGAACAAGGCGGTAGAGTTGACCGTTGAGCAGATTGATTCGATCTGCGAGGAAGCAGCAGCGGCTGTAGCAGCTACAGCTGCCGCAGCAGCCGGCGCGCTGGCGAGTGAGAAGTGGGAGGCAGAGGCCAGCAGCGAGGAGACGAATAAACGGAAAAGAAGACGGAGAGTTCACAAGAAGACAGCGGAGGGAAACTTCCCGTCAGCGTCGAATCAGCCGGAGGATGGTGGGAGGTCGGATGGAGGAAGGGAGGAGGGAAGCGAGACGACGGAGAGCGACGGTTCTGAGGAAGAGAGAGGGGGGACGGGATTGGATGCGAGAATTGGAGACGCAGCGGATGCGGCGGCGGGAAACACGGAAGAGGTGGAGCTGGATTCGCAGCAGGAGGATGGTGACGATGCGGGTCTGTCGCTGTTCGACACGGAGAAGAACGACTCTATGATGGACATCGATGGCGGCTCGGCGGCGGCGGATGCGGCGAAGAGCGCCGGTCGGAAGGGAGGCCAGGAAGGGATGCAGGAAAGAGTAGAGGCGGCTTCCAGGTTGGCGGCTGTGAATGAGTCGCGGATTGCCGTTGAGATTGACGAGGATGACGCCGTCAATCACGGCGGGAAGCCCGCGCGCTCTCGGCGGCAAGATGCAGCCGCGGAGGTCGCGCCGGAGGATGCGGAGAGCAAGCATGGCGCGAAAGGCCGCGCCGGGAAGTGCGCCGCCGAGCACGGCGGGAAGGCGACGGGGAAGGAAGCGCGAGCGACGGCGACGGCGACAGCGGCGCTGTCGCAGGTGCTGGTTCGCACGAGCCTGGAGTCGTGTCGCACGGTGGTCCTGCGAGTCAGGCCGAGCGACACCGTGGACGACGTGCTGTGGCAGATACAGTGAGTGACGTACGAGGATGTCAGCATGGCCATGCCAAACAGTGCATCCATTAGTTCAAGTCATGCCAAGCAACACTGTTTTTCTCTTCTGTTTTCCCCTATCCCTCACAAACAAACGTTCGTCGCCCCCCGTTCCCCGCCCTTTCCTCCCTTCTCTCACCAATAGGCGGAAAACGGGCCTTCCAGCGCACGAGCACCGCCTCATCTACGCTGGAAAGCAGCTCGACACCTCCGTGCGCCTGCAGGACGTGCCTGTGCCGCACGATGCCACGCTGCAGCTGATCGGACGGCTGCGATCGACGCTCTTCCCCGACGTGTGGCTGGTGGTGGCGGAGATGGAGGCGGGGCTGGCGCAGCTGCAGCGCCTGGAAGCCGTTGGGGCGGGCGTGGGGGAACCTCCGCCGAGCGCGGGGAAAGGCGACGGGGGCGGAAGAGGGGGCGTGAAGGAAAATGGGAGGGAGGGCGGAAGGGCGGACGGGGGAGAAGTCCCCATGCACGAGCAGCGCGCGGAAGTGGCGGAAGGGGGGAGGGGAGGCGGCGGAGGAGGCGGAGATGCGTGCAATTGTGCAGTGGAGAGGGGAGGGAGGGGGAGAGGCGGGGGAAGAGGCCGGGGGAGAGGGAGAGGGAGGGGGAGCGGAGCAGCAGCAGAGGGTGCTAGTGGAGGTGTTGTGGAGGTTCAAGCAGGGGACAGATACGATGCCATGGAGCAAGAACCCACCGAGACGCAGCAGCAGCAGCAGCAGCAGCAACAGCAACAACAACAACCACAGCAGGACCAGCAGCCACAGCAGCAGCAGCAGGATGAGCAGGAAGCGCCAGGAAGCGGGGGTGGGGGCGGAGGCGCAGTGGTGCAGGAGGCGGGTGGGAAGGGGCGGCGGGAGCGGCTGAGCAAGTACTACGAGGACAAGATCCACTGCGCCATGGCGCAGCTCTTCGTGCGCGCCGTTGACACCATCCGCTCCGGCCATGACGGCTGGACAATCAAACTCGCCGAATACATCGAGGCCTTCAGGTACACTCAACGCTTGAGTTGATTTGAAAAGTGGGTAACTTCTGGTCTGCATCGGGTTTTCAGGTTCTTCAGGCGTTCTACTGACTGTTTTCTAACAGTGATTCTCAAAAAGCAGTTCATCTCTCTGCTTTCATGTCTTCTTCCTCGTCTTAGTCTGCGGGCTTAACATCACACTGGTCTTGTGATTTCCACCTCCGTCCCACTGGCAGGCTGGCAGGAGGTGTGCGGGCGGCCGTGCAGCTGCTGCAGCTGAAGGAGCCCCACCACATGCGCTTTGCTGACCAGACCGTCGCTAGTTTCCTGGACGAACGAGGTGAGAGAAAAGCTATCAAAAGAAAAACAAGAAAATAGAGAAAGGAAAGGGAGAGTACAAGTCTATTTTACTAAAAAGATGATGAGTGTGCACTCACAAACAATGCACTGCATTGAGAATGTACTTTCCATGACTTCCCCTCTTCATGCACTCCCGCCTCGTTTCCGCCCTCATGCCTTGTATCCCCTCCCCCTCCCCCCAATTCTTCCCTCCTCCAGCCCTGATCACGTACATGCACGACTACGCCTGCCCGGGTAAATTCGCGCGCCCACTGCTGGACTACCTGGGCCCCGTGCTCATGGAGCTGCACGTGCTGCTCGACTCCTGCCGCCTGCGACCGGCACTCACCACCAGGTGTTGGGACGCCCTGGTGAAGCTCTTTGGCAAGGTGCAGCTGGGTCGCTTCTGCCCGCAGCTCAACCGCTCCCCTGACTGGCTCGTGCGCAACCTTGCGCCGTTCCTCGAGAAGGCAGCTACAGACCTCTGCATAAGCCTGCACCAGCTCACCCTGCTAGCAGCAGCCAAGTCCGACAACCTCACCTCTCCCCTCACCTCCTCCACCTCCTCCGCTTTCAAAACGTTCGCCTCGGCTATTGTCCTCTCGCTGCCCTTCTGCCGCCCGGCCGTGCGCCAGTCCGCGTTCTGCCGCCCGGGGTGGCTGCTGACTGTGTTTGGCTCGGTGCTGAGACACGTGGACGCGTGCCTGGCTGAGTCAGCGCGGTTTGCCAGGCGGCTGCTGCTGCTGACGGAGGGGCCTGCTGTGCTGGCGAGCACTGCTGCTGCCGCCGCGGCTGCTGTTGCCACTGGTACTGCAAGTTTGTCCAGTTTCGCTGGTGCTGGTGCTGGTTTCGGCACTGCTGCTGGCTTCGGTGCTGCTGCTGATTCATTGATACCGCCACCAGTTGCTTCCTTTGGCTCCTTCCCTGCGACCTGGCCGAATTTCACCAGCCTCCCTTCCTACGCTGCTCCCTCCCCTGCCTACTCGCCTGAAACAGCTGCTGCTGTGGCTGCAGCTGCGGCGGCACAATCAGCCCAGCTGTCCCAATCTGCTGCATCACTGCACGCGTACCAATACCATTCGATGACAGCAACTCCACCAGCAGCAGAAGCAACAGCAGGGCACGCATTCATAAGCGCAAGCCACCAGGCGGCCTCTGCCCTTCCCTTCCCACACAGCCCCCCCTGGCACGACCACCACCACCACCACCATCACCCCGCCACGCCCATGCACACCTCACCCCACCGCACCCAGCCCTACCAATCCCCCCAACACCCAGCCCCCTTCCCGCCCCCAGCCTCCTCTCCCTTCGCCCCGCCCTCCCACCCCGCCTCCCCACTCCCGCCCCTCTCTCCCCCGGACCTAGTCGGCCGAATGGCCCTCTCTCTCCTCCCAGAACCCCTCCGGGAATGCATCCCTGCCGTCCTGCAAGGACTATACCTCCTAGCAGCAGTAGCAGCAGGGGCGGGGAGAGGCGGCAGTGCAGAGCAGCTAGTGGGGTTGCTGGTGAGGCACAGGGGGTGTGTGAACGCGGTGATTCAGAACCAGCACCTGGCGCCGGGAGGGGACCTAGCGTGGGTGTGCGAGCACAGGGAGCTGATCGACATGGATGTGAAGAGGCGGTGGATGGGCGCTCTACTGCCGGAGCCTGCTGAAGACCATGCCAACCGATGCACCGTCATTGTGAGTCCACGTGATGGCTGGCTGCTCGCTTGGCAGAGTCACAGTGAGTCGAGGTGATGGCTGAGTCCTCCAAAATTGGTTCACGCCTGTCGGCTGCAAGCTCGTGTCAGCAGGCCACTCCCCTCCTACTGCCAATATTCTCTGAAAATCTCATACTCTCTTTCTCTCTCATCCACTCTCTGCCATCCCAACCCACCAGGTGCACCGAGGCCCCTCGCTACTCCACGAGTCCTTCGATCAGATCTTCTACGCGCCGCCAGAGGCCCTCAAGTCCGGCCTGCTCGTGCAATTCGTCGACGAGGACGGCTCCGGCGCAGGCGTCCTCCGCGAGTGGTTCATGCTTGTCGGCTGCAAGCTCTTTTCGGGGGTAAACGCCCTCTTCTCCGCGTGCCCGGACGACCACCAGCGCTTCTTCCCCTCGCCCTCCTCCGCCATCAACCCCGGCCACCTCTCCTACTTCCGCTTCTGCGGCCGCGTGGTCGCCCTCGCGCTTATGCACAACATCCATCTAGACGTCACCTTCGCCCTCGCTTTCTACAAGCTGCTAGCCGGGCGGGAAGTCACCTGGAGAGACTGCAAGGACATGGATCCGGAGCTGTTTGCGAGCTGCAGGGCGATCATGGCGCTGCCGGCCACGGATGTGGATGCGGACGTGCTTGGGCTCACGTTTGTGTGCAGCGTGGAGGAGGGCGTGGGGGAGAGTCGCGTTGTGGAGCTGTGCCCGGGCGGGGAGTTCATCAAGGTCACCAACAGCAACCGCCACGCGTTCATTGACCTGCTTGTCAAGCGAAGGATTGTCGCGCCCATGAGGCTGCAGGCTCTGGCCTTTGCCGCAGGCTTTTCGGAGCTCCTGCACTGCCGGGACCTCCCCATCTCACTCGCCCTCCACACCTCCTCACTCCATGCCTCCTCCCTCCATGCCTCCTCTCTGCACGCCTCCTCCCTCCGTCTTCCCCATTCTGTTCCTGCTGGCGTCAGCATTCCTGCTGCTGCCGTCACTGTGGCTCCTGCTGGCGTCACTCTGGCTCCTGCTGGCGTCAGCATGCCTGCTGCTGGCGTCACCATGACTCCCACTAACCCTATCAACCATATGCCCATGGGCGCAGCAGGGAATGTGGAAGCAGAAGGGCAGCAATGGGGCCGCGCTGCGCCACCTGCTGCTGCTGCTGCACCAGCATCAGTGCCAACACCACCAACCGAACCAACCACACCACCAGCATCAGCAGTATCAGCAGCACCGCTAGCACCAGTAGCATACGCCACAGCCCCTGCCACAACCCCCATCACACACTCCCCAGCCACCGCTACAGCCGCCCTTTCCTGGCCCACCTCTAATCCCAACGCAGCTGCTACAGCAGCAGCTACAGCAGCAGCAACAGCAGCTGCGGCGGCGGCTGTAGCAGCTACAGCTTTGTGGGCTGCCGCCTTGCAGGGGACGTCTGGACCTGTCCCTGCTTCCATGGACACCCTTCCAGCACTCATGGCTGCCCATGCTACAGCTGCTACAGCCGCTACAGCCGCTGCCACTGCTGCTGTTACCACAGTTGCCACACCTGCCACAGCTGCTGCTGCCCTGCACAGCGTCATGAGCACCCTGCCGACAGTCATCACCAGCCAGCCGTCAGTCATGGTACCCGTCGCTACAACCCCTGTTGCTACAGCTGCACTGACCAGCGTCCTCCCCGTGGCTGCAGCCGTTGCTGCTACAGCCGGTGCAGGTGTGCCACCCAATCCTGCCTCTGTTCCATCAGTTGTAGCGCCAATGACAACTGAGTCCCCGATGGTGGCGGCTGTAGCGCCAATGGCAGCTGTGGCGCCGGTGGTGGTGCCGATGATGAGTCCGGCTGTAGCGGTGGTGGAGAGCGGGTGGGTGATGCAGCAGGCACTGCGGCCGCTGGATGCGGGGGACTTTGAGGCGCTGCTGTACGGCGAAGAGAGGGACATTGATGTGGCTGACTGGCGTGCACACACGGACTACCATGGCTACTGGGCCACTGACCCTGAGGTGTGTGGATTCATGGAACCTGTTATGCCATGGCCCCTCTTTCAAGTCTGTTTCGTTCCACAGACCGATGCTTCTTGGGACTGCTGGTGGTTATGGGGTTCTTGATGCTGTTTTCTTGACTCTGCTTCTTGCATGTCCCCTTGTCACTTTGTGGTTGCAGATCGAGTGGTTCTGGGAGGTGGTGGAGGAAATGACCAAGGACCAGCGAAGGCGTCTCCTCTACTTCACCACGGCCATCACACGGCTCCCTGCTTCGGGCTTTGCTGGCCTACAATCTCGGTACGAGATGGGCTGTGGGAGCTTTCAGAATTATGGTTTGCTCTTCTTGTCCTGAGTTGCTGTGGCAAAGGGCGTTTGGAATATCCTAAGATGCTTACTCGAGTGTCCTTTATGATGTTGCAGGTTCCACATTCATCTTGCATTGACTGACACCACACATCTGCCGACTGCGCACACATGCTTCCATCAACTCGTGTTGCCACCGTATTCGTCCAAGGCGATGATGAGGCAAAGACTCCACACCGTCATCGCTGATCACCTTGTACAAGGATTCGGTTTTGCGTAAAGGTTCTACTGATTAATTAGAGTAGCCATTGTAATGAGGCTCCTCCTAGGTCCTTTTCTATCTTATCATTACAACTTTTCATGTAAATGGTAGGTGTGTTGCTAGATGGCAAACGCCATCACAAATTTTGTATAGTGTTGCCATGAACAATGAATTGCTGATTGTAGAGAAGTATGAATGATTGTTTCTGTGGTTTTTATCTGTGTAAGCCATAGGAAACAAGTGCTTGCAGTTTTCCTAAATTCGTATCCGTGGTTTGCTCCAGACGGCTTCGTTATAGGAGCAGGTTGGGCGTGCTTCGCTTATCTGTGGTGTGGTGTGGAGTGGTTGGTGCCCCTCCCCTCGTTAGGCTCCGTCCTTCTAGAACCCACGTGAACGAAG